AGCACCCGATGGAGGTTCCCAGCGAGCAAAGCTACTCCGCAGCAACTTGGGTGCCGTCCATCAGCCGCCAGGACCCGACCCGGGTAGGCGGAAGGTGGTGAAATGCGTGGTCAATATAAAACAGACCCGCAACACGACGGCAGTGGTCACGGAGCCGCTCATTGAACCGCCAGGCCTCCTGATTGTCGCGACGCACGGCGTCCAAGCCGCACTCTCCACGGCGGCGATTAAGATATCGCGGCAGGGCGAGGGTGGCGAATACCGACGTGATCTCAGGGCGCTCCCGAGAGATGTTGTGGAGCAGATCTCGGTACCTGTTGAACGCCGCCACCGCTCCGATGGTAGTGAGATCGTTGCCACCCACGTGCAGCACGAGTGTCGTCACAGTGCGAGGCAGAAAGTCCATGAGGCCGCCGATGTCCGAAATCCGAGCCCCGGTTTGTGAGATGAACGCCGGGGCGTCCTTCCGATGTGGGTCGAAGTGCTGGTGTAGATACTTAATCTGGGAGTCGCCAATCACGGCCGTTGTGGTAATAAAATTCGGGTACTTCCACTGCATACGCCTCGAAGCATGATCGGCAGCCATGGCGCTGGCCATCGGCGTGCCGTTAAACATATCGTAAAAAGGAGGTAAATGCTTTAAAACGTATTTATTGGACGACGTTCCGAGCGGGGACCGCTCTTCATCGGGTCCTAATGTTGCAGTGAAAGCTGGAAGCCCTATATATATATATATAAGAATAAAAAAAACACCCTGTATATATATATATATACAGGGTGTTTTTATTTATTCTTACACATTTGTTTAAAAAAAACGTGAAAGCTACACTAATACGGTTTGTGCAGGTTGATTATACGGCCAGGCGGACAGTATGTGGGTGGCTAATCTTTGCGATAAGTAGGATAATTAATTAAAATTCGTTAATTAACTTTTAATTACTGAAAGTAAACATATGGTTTCAATTCGAAACTTGCTGAGCACCATCGACAACTCCTAAATCAACTATTTTTAGCAGGATATATCGCCGGGGCAGCGTTTTACGGCGTTCTGTAAAAACGCTCCGTTTGGACGCGTTTCTAGATTTCGGTTTCTTATCGGAGCTCATCTACGCGCCCGCGATCCTGCTCCCCGGTGGTCGCGGCGCGAAGCCTCCTCCTCGCCTCCCTCGTAGAATGGAGGGAAGTACGGCGCACGTGTGTTGCGCGTCTCAGCGCAACACACGTGCGTGTGTTGCGCTGAGACTATAATGGGAATGAATGAAGATTGACAAGTGCAGCCGTAGAAATATTGTAAACGAAGAGGGGAGATGATTATTGAATTTATTGCATTAAAGTTAGGAAAAGGGAAAGAGCTGGGGAAAAAATGGGCCAGGAGCGGCTCTCTTTCCCTTTCCTCTCTTTCCCTTTCCCTTACTTTAATGCGATAAATTCAATAATCATCTTCTCCCCTCTTCGTTTACTATATATATATATATATATATATATATATATATATATATATATATATATATATATATATATATATATATAACGGGCATGGTGGCGGGAGGCCGAAGGCGTGGGTATAAAACTGAGAAGAAACAAACCCTTAGTGAAAACAGCAACAACGGACGATTTAATCTTCGACGTTTCGGCCGGAGTCCGGCCTTCGTCAGGAAGTTACTAAAAACAGTCTTCCTGACCCGGACTCCGGCCGAAACGAACTCCGGCCGATGATTAAATCGTCTGTTGTTGCTGTTTTCACTAAGGGTTTTTTTCTTCTCAGTTTAATATATATATATATATATATATATATATATACGCATTTATGATCGCGTCTCGCAGATGCTACTCTTCAGGTGAGGACAGCGCGCTCCTCACGACGTGCCGATAAAGTTCGCTTTTCACTCTCTCTCTTTCTCACTATGATTTCAAGCGGCGCCGGCAGATGACTCGTCGACCCGTGGGTCGGCGGGCCTCTTCTCCTGCGCATTTCAACAAGAAACGCGTTTTTTTTTTTTTTGTTTTTTTTTTTTTAGTGTCGTATTGTGCATGCGGTGCGTTCCTTATAACCCGTAGTATCTATGTTGCTTAGGCATAGGTTCGTCGTTTGTCTTAGTTTCGTGGCTCAACGGCAGCGAGGGCAGTTATATGAAGACGGGCTAAGCGGGTACGGGCTAAGCGTGTACGTGTCGGCGCTTCCCTGGAATTTCATCCCTTTCTAGGTCTCAGGCTCGCGAGCATCAGACACTAAACACCTAATGTTAGGATTCATATTTTCTTGGCAAAACATCGTGCCTGAGTTGCAGTTCTGGACGAAGCATCTCCGGCCCATTGTCACCGTTTTGAAGCCGCGTGAAACGCGTGGGCAAACGCCGCACACGGCTTCTTCAATCTTCATTCCATGTAGCGTACGGTGACTGGAGTTCCAAATGCCTCCGTTGCAATTCGAAACGAAGATGCGGATATTTCTGGAGCAGACGCTGAGCAGGCGAAATTGCGGCACCGGAATGTCATGGCAACGGGATCATTTTTTTCGCTCTCACAGAGTTTCGCCGTTTGGCCGCCGGCGACACTGTCAGCCGCGGGCACGGTGGCCGCGGAATGATATGCAGCCTTTCGGATGCCCGTCGAACGAACGCTATCTGATTCCTCACGCCGCGCATTTAGCCCCGCCCTCTCCTCACCTAAAGAGTGCGTCTTACACCGGAATGTAGGAACAAATGGTTCCGGAACTAATGGTCCCAAGTCCAACGTAGGAAAAAAATGGTCCAGTAAGAAGATTGTTTTGAAACTAAGAAATACTTGCAATACGCTTCATCCGTTACGCAATCACTGATTTCCTGGTAGAATGAAGAATCTCATCGATATTTTGAGGCAGGTTACTTCGAAGAAAGTGGTCGGGTATTGAACTTAATTTTATTCAAAATCGTCAGAATATTTTCGAAATGAATACTGTTCAACAGTTATCTTCATACTGTTCATTAAGTGAGCTTATATGATATTTTCAAATAAGGGGCTTTAGAATATTTATAATATCAGTAGGCTCTTTTAAAACAAAAAATGAGCACCCCTAGTCATAGTGTTGAAGCCATGAAACTCGAATTACTTCCATCTCGTCACGACGCGTGGTAGTAGCACACATAACGAGCGGAGCTCGATGCCTTTATAAGTGCATGAAGTTTCCATAGCTCAAAACATTTCTGAGCTTCCCAGTAAAATATAAAAACCGGTCAAGTTTGTGCAACCGTTAGCCTCGAAATTAGGAGCTTTTCTTATAAATTGGAAACCGTATAATGTTTACCGGCGAGTGTTATTGGATTTTATTGGATTTATCCAAAAACGCAGAAGCCACATTGGCGATATTTATCTGGGACCATTATTTCCTAGTTTGTACTTGGGACCATTAGCTCTGGGACCATTTGTTCCGGGAACATCTATTCCGGGACCATTTGTTCCGTTTCCCCTTACACCGGGGCTTCAGCCAACATTAGCCGCGAGCATCTTGAGTAAAGCCCTTTGATAAAGTGTTTCTTACAAGTACCGCCGCCAACCAAAGTTGTGGAAACGCACAAGACACGTGCCATGAAAGGATGCTCCGCCACCATTCACTCCTAAGGGCTACTCATTTCACTGTTGCACCGGCATTTGCTTCCAAGGGTCACTCGAGACACGAGCCTCGTGCACTGGAGCATTTGACGCTATGTTTCGTTTCAGCTTAAGTCCAGACGCGGTCGATGCTACAAGCGCGAGAACGTGGCCCTGAACAGTGCCTGCACTGCACAAGCGCACATACTTGGCAGAGGCGCAAAAAGCCCGGGGCTCGCGCTTGTAGCATCGGCTGCGTTTGGACTTAAGCTGAAACGAAATATACTTGAAAGACAAAAGCAAGCGCATCGAGGGGTCTTGAGATGGTCTTGAGGACGCGCTCGAGACCCCTGTCTCCGAGAAAAACAGGCCTACGCGCCGAGAAAGTGAGGGAGAGGATTAGACGAGAGCGCGCGGAGACGTCAGAACTTTGAGCTCCGGTTCGAATGATTAGTGGTTAGACGTAAAGCTAGCTGCCTTTGTCTCCACTGCACTCGTCTAATGTGGAACGCAGAACGCCGGCGTACAACAAAAGCAATCTTTGAAAACAAAAAAAAAACGGCCAGAAGCGGAGCGCTGCACGATTTATAACTAAGTCATATCGCCTCACGATTTTTGTAGTATCCTGTTTGGACAGGCCTTTATGCAGAATTCTCGTAATTTAGAGACATGCCATGGCGCCAATCATTGAAAACAATATCGAGCTTCAGTGTCCTGGTACTTTGCCAAACTGTGAAGCAGTGCTCATCCTATGCGGAGCGCAAGTTCATCTGCTTCTTGCACAAGGATGCCAATGATGTCGGAACACCAAACTCCTATTGGCCTACTGAAAAAAAAAAAATATAGTGGATAGATTTTAAGGCATCTAGCATTGAGGCCTACCCACAATCCTTTCACTGAAACCCAATCAGAGCTCGGCGTCCTTTTGACGTCACCGCAACTCCTGCGTGAAAAGCAGACGGCTTGCTTTCCGCATTGTTCGGTGGCATGTCCTGCCAAAAAATGCCCTTTTTTGGTCACCAGCCGTGCTGACTAGCAGCCAACCAAGACACCCCTTGTAGACTTTTCTAGGGCTCAGCGTTGTGGCTATTCTACTCAGACAGCACGTTTTTCATAAAATAAAAAAATGGACCTTACATCTTTAGAAAAAAGAAAATAATCAGCTGACGGTTGTTAGAAATGTTTAGAGACTCATGGAGATCTCAACATGGACACCGACCTAGACATAAAGTGTGCAGTGCATTTCACAAATGTTTGGCCGGTATAAAGAGACCTATGCATGGTCTGCTTGTTCATCTGTCACAAATAAAATGTTGCGATTCTTTCAGAGTTGGCCAAGCATCTTTCAGAACTGCGTGGCTGACCCTCTGGCTCTTGCACTAAATGCAGAGCTTTCTTGTGGCCCCTACTTGGAGGGTGATATTCAAACCAGAAATACCATTCACTTTTATTTGTACCGTGAAAAAACACAGAAACAAACAAATCAAATGCAAGGATTGAAAACTAGAATAGGGTAGCATCGAGTGAGGTTGTTTTAAAGTTTTAAAGAACAAAACCTAAAGAAAGATGCACATCTCCATCTATAACAAACCCTATGGAACCATTAGCACTTTTAAAGTGCAAACATTGGACATATTAGAAATATTGGTTAGCATTGCTCCGCAGTGGCCAATGGGCAATTAGTCTTTAATCTGGAAGCGCTTTGCTTTACAGGGTTTGAAGGTATGTTATATCCACCACGAGGCACAAGTCACAGGTGCCAAGAGCCTTTTGGTATTCCTTGGAATGGTCTTAAAAATGAGAGCAAAAAAGTCTGGGCTTAAACTCAGCTGAAACATTGTTATGCGTTTCAGCATGCCCTTAAAATGCACTCTTGAGATATGAAACATCAAAGACAAAAAAAAAAAAATGTGTCCCTGCCAAAGCACAAAAATAAATAAGACGACTTGTAAACTAAATCAAACACATACATAAAAAAAAGAAACTAGTTCGAGTAGTTTTCCTTCATTCAGGAAAGACCCAAGTTCATGTTACCAACAAGTTAGTTGCACTTGGTTGAATTGGCCCTGTTGGTTGAAGGCGCATTTTCATTAGCCAAGTAAATTGGATTAGCTCATTATCTGACCACTAGGAATGGTAGTGGTGTGACTGTACAAAATGCAGTAGTATACTAAACTTTTTTTCACTTACACAATATTTTGGAAATGACAAGTAAGCGATCTCTTTAAAGACATGAACTCATCACTAGAGCTAATTCCTGGTGCTGGAGTAGCTGCAACTGCTAATATAATAATAGCTAAAACAAAGAAAGAAACAAGAACAAACACACAGATGGGTGACCACAGCAAAAGGGTGAAAACAGTATACTAACAATCACTAATAGTTCTTACAATTGTAATGCCATCGCTCAAGGGCTAGCCCGTTCAAAGGCTCACCGATAACGGGCCAACATTTCAAGATTATCGCCATCGCCGTTAACACAGTGTAAAGGCTGCATTCTTGTTCGACATTTTTATAAAGTGTAAACCTCTAATAAAAATAGTGAGAATGTCAAATATGTACAAAAACAAAAGAGTTATGTACAGATCTTTTTTCCAGACTGCGGTATGAAGACAGCTGACAGCAAGCTGAATTCCTCTGCACCATCCTTTCAACAGGCTCTTATGTACAGTGGTGCTCTGCTAAAGAACACAGTTAATTCTCAATTCAATGAATCCAAGAAAAACAACTCAATAAGTGAGAGAAAAAAAAAGATTTTTGTGCATTCCCTGGTATTTCTGAATACACACTGATATATTATACTTTTATGAGACTATGGGAAGTGCAAGGAATGTCACGGTGCTTCGGAGGTATCACAATACTTCCGGAATGGATTATTTTTACTGTAAACCTAGCCGGCGCTCGTTTATGAATGAGCATCTGGTAGGCACCACTTAGCACATCTACCCCAGTCAGCAGCATCGCTATTGCTTCACAATCAGTTTGACACATGTTTCAGCCACTTTTGGCACCGTTCCATCCTGACCAACTTGCATTACGGCTGCAGTTTCCTAGCTTCTGTCTTTCGAGGTTGCCCGTAATAAACCAGAGACAGATCCACTATCTCCGAGGGCAATGTAAGAATGCATTATAAAATTAGGCTGCGTTAATGAACCATAATTAGTCAAGCCAATTAGTCAACAGCAAAAACCAAGAAGTGGCCTATGATGCAAGAAAATTGCCCGGATGTTCACACCTGCCCTAGATGGCAGTTGATTTGAAAATAAGCACTCTCATAGATCCAAATTTCTAGAAAAATTTCAAAATGCCATATTGTGAGTTGATAAACTTTTATCACTTTTTTGCTTAACTATACTAAGGAATGCAACTCACTTCTTTTTTAAATGTTACCTAAAAGCTGTCCTACTGCTTACAAGCAATCCAGCTGCATATGACAATGACCTGTTCATTAAAATGCACTCAGCCTGTTGAACATACAGCATATGCACTCTCACACCTGAATGACACAATTTTTAGAACAACACATGAAGCTGCACTTGGAACCATGTACAAAAACCTCTCATAACCTCCTTTAACTTCGCTACCAACAACGTAGCTCGCCAGAAAGTCCTGTAGACCAACCCAGCTCATTTCTAGGCGTGCAAACACACTTGAACCAGTCCTGAGATACATCTTAAACATGTCCCGAATGTCTGTCAAAAATGTGTCTTGGAAGAGTCTTAAGCAGGCTTCAGTTGCAGTTCACACATCAGTACAAATCGTACAACTCAATTGTGGAACTCCCGCAAAGACGCTAACACTTCGAATCTCTCCCAAGATTCCACTTGCAATTTTAGGTACCATCTAAAGGATGTGCTTCATGACGGTACTCTTTGGAGCAACTATGGCAAAGCGTCATCTGGATGCTGTGCTTCAAAACTTGTGTGACCGTCGGAGTTACCATACCAGTCGTCTCCAAAGGCTTTAGACAACGGGAGGCAAACCTTGAGGGAGAGGTGGGGTATGCGCGTATGCATCTATAGACAGTTTCAGAATTGGGTTGATCTACAAGTAATGTTGGTACAAACGTACGTTAGAAGGACGTTGTCTGGAATGTACTCTAAACGTGTCTCGAATGGAAGTGGAGAGTCTGTCGGGTTTCTTTAAAAAGGGACAGGATTAGAGCTCGTGCGTCGAGCCTCGCCAGGACATCTGGCCGACCCCGGTCCCATAGGCTACACCGTCACCAAAGTAGTCCGAAGGCACTGGTGGTGCAGCGCCACCTGCAGTGCCGTACGGCCCCTGGACAAAGCGCGTGAGCTCCTCTTGCGTGTCGAAGATCATCACCATGAACGGGGAGCCCGGCACATGCTCCCCCGACCACTTCACCTCGATGCGGTAGTCACCAGGCTCGGTTGGGTCGTACTTGCAGAGGATGGTTCGGTCTTTCTGGCTTTCCCGCTGCATCTCCACACGGAAGGCACCTTGAAGACAAGTGCCACATAGAGCGGTCAGCGGCGGCTCAGTTTGCGCAATAGAATGTTCTCCCGAGATGCTAAGGATAGTGTTGATGCAATTTATGTATCGTCACTACCACAATTTGTGGTAGTGATGGCACACAAAATGCATCGTGATGGTACACACAGTCCATCAGTTCCTTAATGCATCGTGCTAAGATTCTGTACAGAGGTGGCTGAAGATGGTGCATTTTGTGCCTTAAGTTCTGAAGCACGAAATGTACCATCTTTGGCCACTTCTGTACAAAATCTTAGTGTGATGCGAGAAACCGATTGATGCGGTCCCTTCAAAGGGTCAACGATCCATTTGACTCAAGCAGTATTTTAATGTCTCCGTAAAATTACAATTAGTGAGCCCCCTTTAATGTACATAAAACTAGAAAGATGGAAGCCTCACAGAAAAGTGTGCAAGGAAATGACATATGTTCCCCTTTTTCTTAATGATCTTGAAGAGCACTAAGTGTCACCTTGCACAAACGATGTTGGTGAAACATACTACCTTTGGGTCCTCTGATGCGCACCGTCAGCTGTCCTGCCCCAGCGCCCCGGGTGTCGCAAATGAAGCGGCTCTGGTACACTGCAAGCACGCCTGGTTCGATGCCTGGCCCATAGACACGCACCTTGGAGGCGTCTGGAGCTCCCGCTATGCGCAGGGTATATGGACTTCCTGCAAAGCGATAAGGAAACCAACGTTAGATAGACGATCCTGCCTTTACTGCGCAGTCTTTTGCAAAGTTGTAGCAGCTGTTAACCTTCTAATAATCTCTCTCCAAAAACAAGTGCCGTAGAAAACATACAAAGTTTGTGGTATCTGTACATAATACTTCGAATGAAACCTACTCCATAATCCTGAGGAAAAAAACAGTGCAACTGGACAAGGACGACAAACAACTTGACTGACCACTTGTTGATTCATCTGAATATGTGCTGATTGAGCTCTTCTTGTGAAACTGCTAAGATTGTATGAATGCTCGAATTTTCGAATAGCTGTTTCGAGTAATATTTTATTCGATATTCGCTCTGAGATTAACAGCAATATTCTTATTATTTTAAGTGTTGATCACAGCGTGCCAGCCCCATTGAGCGCACCTCTTACCGAGCACCGGTGCACAGTGGAGAAACAACAGCCGCAATGCTCAATTCCGCGGCTGTTGCTTCTCTGCAATACACCAGAGCTCGGTAAGAAGCGCGCTCAATGGGGCTAACTCGCTGCGATCAACATATTGAAACATACAAATACTGCAGTCCCGTGCTCAAGAAAAAAGCACACTTTCAAATTGCGCATGTGCGCGCATGGTGTATTTAAAAAGAAACAAAAACTTTGTCAATGTTCATACTTACAATGCAGTAAAATTTCCCAAAGTGTGGATATTATGCAAGATTATTTTAGTCAGATGCCTCGGCAGCCTGCGTTCATCGTTAGTGATTGTCTTTTTTTTTTTTTTTAAACTCAAGATTGAAGAAAGAATGCTTGCATAGAGCAAGAAACTTTATAAATCCCCTCGATTAGGTATAGCAAAGAATCTCTATAGGGTTTATGCTAAATTAGTCCTTTACTTGACATCTCAATGTAGGCATAGAGCTTCCCGAGGACACAGTTCATAAGTATAGTTAGATTAAAATTACCTTAGGTTAGAAATGGACGAGTGGAAACTTGAGAACAACTTTCACAAGTTAGGCTAGCCTACCGTTGCATGGTGTAATAGCGAAAGGCTTGGAGAAACTATTCAATATTCATTTAGGAATTATTCGACCAAGATCACTACTTGCTTCTCAAACTAAAAAATCTACCATTTGAACATGTCTAGAAACCACCAATGCAGTATTTTCAAGCACACAAATGCGTATCATAAAATACTGTGAAAGTGCCCACTTCGTTCAAGCGCCCACTATTAACAGTTCCCAAACTTGGGAATTCTACAAACTATATGTTAAGCACCCGATTTGATCGGACCATGCCTAGACTAACCCAGTTTTTAGTGAAAGTGGGGTAGGCGCTCCCCCGGTATTTTACAGTAGGTTTAGATATTTGCCATCTATTCCATAACCACCTATCTAACAATCGCTTGTTCACAACTTTCGCCACACAGAGAACTTTGAACGCATCACCATATATGGCAGTCATGTGACCCAGAGGAAACAATACGACCACTTTCACTCGAAAGAAAGACAAATAAGATGTAGCCACGTGATTAATCCATCCTGACTTTGTTTCTTTGACATATGATATAGCTTCCGCCATTCAGGGCGCTTAATCAAGGAAATACTGTGCTATACGAACAAGCCCACAGAGACACATCTCTTCGTGCATGGGGGAGGTAGTAATTATGTGTGCGACAAATGCAATGAAGCTGCAGCTGTTGTTTGCTCTTCGGAAGTGGCGGCGGTGGAGAGCAGACGGACATCTAAGCAGTGATTTACTCGTCCGCCAGAGTGCGTCTGATACTTGTTTGTTGCCAGAAACCCTTCAATGAATTTTCTCTCCCTTTTCCCAAAACCCAAGTCCTTATCCGTAAAGAACCGGCGGGTGTCCAAAAGCCATGGAAAAGGTAAGATAGTCATTGCTGGGACTAGCAGACAACGCCAGCATTCGGAGTCTGAATGCTGACCCCGACTCTACTGCTCCCTCTGCGCGAGGAGCAAACAACGCTCTTGCTCGCTCCGATGGGAGGGATGCAGTGGGTTGAGAAAAGAGCGGCTAGCCTCTGTGCCTAGCCACTACCTTCCAATCAGAGCCCGGCACCTCGACGTCGCTGTACCCAATGCACAAGAAGCAGCAGACAAACTTGCTCATCACACAGTCCGGTGGAATCCAAGAAAGATGCACATAAAGTACAGATCCAGGACCCCAAAGGGGGAAGGGGGGAGGCTTTCCTGCCAAGCTTGGCAGCCCATCGCTCACCTGGGATGTGGTCCCCGCCGTACTTGATGGTGAGCAGGTGGCGTCCCCCTTCCTGGGGCTTAAGGTACAAGGTGAAGGTGCCGTCCCGGTGGTCATACAGCTCACAGTGCGCCATCTTGTGCGGACCCATGCAGTGAGCAGTCAGCTCCCCTGCACAACACAGGGAAGACATTTCAGGATTCAGGACATTTATTCTGCTCGTAAGTCTTTGCATTGTTTCGCGTGCCTCGACGTAACTCCGCCACGTGGATCGGACACGACGGTTGACGGGGAAGTCTAGCAACGAGCAAGAAATTCAATACCCAGAAACATTTTGAACCTAAGGTCCAAAGGCCGGAACAACATCCTTGACACTGGTCTCGTTATAGAGTTCGACGACGTTGACGAAGAAAAGCAACTGCACATTTTCAACACTAAATTTAACCTCTTTTAGTAAAAGAAAGGGATGCCACATTTGTTCTTCAAGCACTAGTTAATGTTGATGTAAACCAACATGATTCGAAAAGCAGCTTGTGTTGCCTTACTTCATCCTGTTTTTTTTTTTTTTACTTTAATATTTTTAAGCCACTTTGCTGCAGTATAAACTACTCAAGATTCATACCCCGCTTCGACCAATCAGTTAGACAACAACTTAAAAAATGAGGGCACTACACCACACATTTATGAATGATAAATGTCTCGCAACGGACGTTTCTATAACTCGAAAACCCTCCCATGTCAAACAGTTGAACTGCAAACTGCGAGTGCTCAAGTTGGGGAGAATCACTGTATGTGGCACCGACATTTCTTTCCAACTTCAAAAACAATTAGAAGAGCTCACCCGGTCCTCCCTTGCGAGTGTCGATGAAGGCCTTGATCTCCTTTCCTACGGTGCCCCCTCGCAGTCCCTCTCCGGAGCAGAGCACCTTGGCGGCGTCGCAGCTGGCTGCCACACTCACCTTCAGTGGACAGCCCTTCACCTGACGCTCCGACCACATCACATTGAGCAGGTAGGCACCTGAAGCATCAAACATGGGCAAAAACCATTCAGAGGGGGTGCAGGTGCTGCTTGTACAATGGCACACCACGATACAGCTGGGGGTGCCAGCATGTCGTTATTACCCTAAGAGAAATAATGCATCCCTGTTTTCTTTCCAATTTCCTATTCTTGATGGAGGACAAAAAGACTGATCACCCATATAACTCGAGTCGTCCAATTAAAATGATTTCTGAGATGGAATAAACAATCGGCGCTTTATTGCATTGATGCCAAGAGCAGCAGGGGACCTTTGGCTACTGATCAAGGATGATATGCGTTTTCAAAGATAGGTAGGTTTGAGAACCCCTGACCTAGAAGATGAGTGAATAAGCAAAGTTCTCCTTTTGTCTTTTAAGTTTTTAATATAATTATTATAATATGATGCTTTTAGTGTAATCTAGTAGAGTCTGGGACGAGCAATTTTCGCCTGGGCTTTTTGTGAGTTGTGCACCAAAGTTAGCCACACTCCTTTTAGACCAAGCTCGGCATCTGAGGGGGAAAGAGACAGCCCACCCTCTCATACTTGATGTATGAGATGCATAGCTTTCATAGTGCAAAGAGGTGTAACCTGTCAAAGCTTGCGTCTGCACCACAGAGGCTATTCTAATTGTTCCAAGATATTTGTCAACACGCTCTAAAAACCAAACAGAAAATAGTGTTCACGTAAGGAAACAGTACTTCAAGGTATCCATCTCATCCCCACCCTGTAAGGGTGCAACGCTTCGCTGATTAAGTACCTTAACTGCAGTAATATGTAATGCAGAATGGCAAAAATAAACAGTATTTATTTATTTTATTCGCATGCACCAGACTGCATAAAAATTTACGCAGCAATTCCCCGTTTTACCATTTACATGCCTGTCATTAGTCATGTGAGAATAGTGGATTTTGAGTTTGAAGCGAATTCGAAGCAAGTAGAGGTTCTGGCTGAATATTTTCTAATTGAATATCAAATATTTTCTCAAAGCATTTCACAACTGTTGCACCACACTACACAAAAATCCAGCTACACTCATGAAGGTTGTTTTTAATCTTTCACTTGCCGATTTATAAGCTAATGCTAACTATATTTATGGACTGTGGCCTCAGAGAGACAGATGCCTTGGGATGGCAAGTGAAAGATGAATTTGGCATAAAATTAAACCTATATAGATGCCCAGCTATACCTAATTGAGTGAATTTACAAATCTCATTATATGCATATGTTTTTCCTTCAATTTCCAATTAAAAAAAAAACAAAGAATCATGAATGATGAACGCAGGTTGTCAGGACATCTCTGCTTAACATACCCTAGCATAACAGCCACAGTTTACTTTCAAAATTTTTTCTGTAATGTAGATATCAACATTCACAAAGTTTCTGTTTCTTTTTAAATGCACGAGATGCGCATGTGCACCATCTCGCTTTGAAAGTGTGCTTTTCTCAAGCATGCAACTGTGATATTCATACTGTTCCAAGTATTGACTGTGGCGGGTTACCCCGTTCAGTGCGCTTCTTACCGAGCACTAGTGCACTGCGGAGAAGCAGCCAGCAGCCCCCACAGAGCTCACTTCCATGGGCATCGCTTTTCCGCAATGCACCCATGCTTCATAATGGCCGATTCACACGACGGACTGATCCGCGGACAGATTGATCACATGAGGACATGCCCGCGGTTCATCGGTCTCCCAAGACAACGAGCAGACGCCAGCGAGGACGAACAAAACCTGTTCGCCACCCACAGTGTTGCAAAACTCCAACATCACACCGTGGCACCGTTGTCCAAGAGAGAAATCGACAATTGCTACTGCAATAAAGAATCATACAGATCGAGACAGTAACACCGTGATAAGGTTCGTGCAAAGCGACGATAGTGACACAGGCATGGTCGTGCTCGAGAAGGCTTCGGCATAGAAGCGACGAAGTTCTGGGCTTGCGGAAGGGCGTTTGGAGATACCTTCACGTACTCCGTGCTCGTGCACAACACTTAACACCACAGCCAGAAGAAAAGTCTGCCTCGGGAAAAGGCTGATTAGACGTGCAAGAATCATCGCGGCCAGAGCCGTACATGGGTAGAGTTTGGCCAGTCTATGATCTCGCTGCTGTAACGCCCCCCTCCCGAGTGAGCCAATCAGCCCGCGGTGCAGAGCAAGAGGTGTGAGCGCATGTGCATGAACTCCCGGCTGCTCCCAGCTGACCAAGAAGGGCCGCCATTTTCATTCATTCGCCCGGCGGAATGCATGGGATCGGCATCTATATTTCGGTTATTTCCTTTTACATCGCAGGTTCTGGCAAGAAAATGATATGCTGTTATTGTTATTCCTCAGTGGGTTAAAAAGCTAAGAAATTAAGTTTTTTCCACGTATGGCCACAGACTTTTATTCAGGCGAAAAAAAAGTCGGCCCGTAGCAGACGACGCGTAGCCTCAACAGTGCTCTGTGCCGACAGCGTTGCGTCCAAATGGCGGTCGTCTCCTCTTTGCTAACTTCTTTCTCTCTCGCTCCTTCGGCGCTCTCCTCCTTTTTCTTCACTTTTCTCCTCTCCGGCACATTGGTCTCAACATCCACAGGCCAAACTCTCCCCATATACAGCTCTAATCGCGGCATGCTCGATGAGTTCTGACAGAAGCTTCTTGACATGAACCCGGAGGAGTACCAGAACCTGCACCGCACCAGCTGGGCAAAGTTTTTGCAGTTTCTTTCACGCATGCAATAGCGTGACTTGATGAACCAGCAAACGCACAATACGCAATGAAGTGCCATTTTTGTTTTGTTCGCTCAAAAAAAAGAAAAGAAACCCAGGCGAAAATCAGTCCACTTCCAGCTGGATTATGGAACTGGAAATGAGGCATTCCAGCTGGACCCAGCTGGAATCCAACTGGACCCAGCTGGAATCCAGCTGGAATGCCTCATTTCCAGTTCCATAATCCAGCTGGAAGTGGACTGATTTTCGCCTGGGAAACATTGTATTGTTTGCAACTCAATCCCCCGCCAAAAACCCGTGAGCAAAAAGGCACTCAACTTTATCAGTTTGCGCATCCATAAAGGAGGCGTGGATCGCAGGAATAGGTGACATGACGGTCACGTGGTACATGGTCCGCGGACGAAAATCACAATCCGGTCCATCGTGTGAATTGACTATAAAAAGCACCCAAGGCTAAAATGCTGCAATCAACACCGAAAAATATGAATATCGCAGTTGATATCAAAGCGAATATCGAATAGTGTACTATACAAAAACACTATTATAAATTTGAATTATTCGCAAAACACTACCTGTTATGCATCAGTGCTCACTTTGCTAGAACATATTCAAAGTACCTCATGGTTTCCACAAACTCCTAGATTTTCTCGACCGTACCAGCCCCAAATATGGTGCTTTTCCAATTGAAGGGCTATTTTAGCAAACCTGAGCCCCTCATGCATTGACACATTAATGTGACCAAACACTCCATAGTATTATGAGCAGTATTTTTTAAAATGTCTGTAAGCATCTGCGCAGCTTTATTGTGTCAATGCCAAGATCAAGAAGGGTTCCTTGGCTGCCATTCGAGGCGGGAGGAAATTTCTCGGTGCCAAAAAGGTTGACAACCCCTAGAGAACAACCTTCCCAGATTGGTTAACTTGCATTCCTTCACTGCCCATTTCTAGAGATGCGGGGCTAACTCACCTGGCACGGTGGGAGTATACAGTGCCCTGTATGTGTTGTTGCCAAGGGAGATAAGCTGAACCGGAATGTCAGCCTTCACACCCGTCAGGCTAACCTCAGGTGACCCTGAAACCGGGAAAAGAAAGCAAAGTTAGCACTTAAATGCTGTAGGGCCAAACAGATGAAGGATTGGCTTTTTATATGCCACAACTGCTCCCTTTTTGTCAATGCTGTTGTTTCACTCAAACACAACAAAGATGACAACACACACACATACACAAAAGAAAGGGCAAGAGACAGACATACAGACGGAGCAGAAGTTTTGGTTTCAGTGCTTTTTTTCCCACCGGTCTTCGTGAAGAAACATTATTGCTTCAAAATATAAACTCAACTTTGTGCTTGACTAAGCTTTTCAAAAAAACCTTTAGAAGGTTTGGCCTGTATCTGCGGAGTTGCACAGCATTCACACGCTCCGGGTTCAGATTTTGATGTGACACAAAACCATTAACACTTCATATTAGGCATGGGTGAATAGAGGATTTTGGGTCCGAATCGAATTCGAAGCAAATAGTGATTTTGGTCGAATAATTTCAAATCAAATAGTTTGAATAGTACAAGCAACAAATAGCACAAGATTTGTTTAAACTATAGCTTTATATTTGCCCTTACTTAGTATTAGAAGTGCTGACATTGTTAATTTCAAGTTTACTGAGTTCAAAAGCACGAAATAGTCGAAATGATCAGAAGCTTGTGCCACCTGGCTTGAAATTCAAGTCAGAGTATTTGGAAAGGTCAAATAATTTGATATTGTTGAATAATTCGATATTGTCAAATACTTGAATTTGAATCGAAGCGAATACCGAATAGAACAGAATTCGATGGGCTATTCGTAATAACCGAATATTCGCCCATCCTATACTTAATATTCTTTCTAAACTCTTCCAACAAAGTTTAGAAATGACGCCACAGCACGAATGCAACCATTGTGGAGATACGAAGCAAGACGATATACTAGCCCAAATTTGTAAAACCGCCCATTTTTCCTGTTTTTCTCGCACAGTCTAAAAGCTGCCACCAAGACTACTGTACTAAGTAGTGCCAACATGTGGCAAAATTGTGACAAAGTGCCAATACCACATGCAGGCTAACTGCACTGCGGAGCGTACATAAAGTGACGCATGCAACACATCATGTGTCAAATGTAGGCAGCCTGCCACACCGGTCAATCAAGATGAAGATACGAGCCACATCACACGATGGCAAAACACAACCACAAGCACTTCACAAAGTCGAACCGACTCCACACAAACAAAAACTTAGACGCAACACCAACATGAATTCACAAGTTTAGGGTTCACCTGGCCCGGCGTCCGAACCGTCGACGACAAACTCCGCCTCCGATCCGACCTTGGCACCTGTGAGTCCATGACCCCGGAGCACCACCCTCGTGTGGTCAAGCGCCGGAGCCAAAGGCTCGGCATAGGCGACGAACGGGGAGCTCGGGTGGGCCAGGTCGTTGTACCAGATGTGCATCAGGTGGTCTCCTGTTCGGAAATAGGCCGCAAAAACGCAAACCGAAAGTGAGTGCGTGCTCCTTGGGTTTGGGTGGCGTCATTACGGCGCCTGGAATGCATCTTCGAGTGGTCCCGAATCGGCAGAAAGTGGTCTCTAATCGGCAGAAAATTACAAGAGCCAGCGTGTCATGCTGTCGAACGTAGCGATCCTGGCGACAAACCAAAGAAATTTTGACAAGAAAAAAAAATTTCAGGGGCACCTAAGCCCATCTTGTGAGTTCTGAATGCGAAAGCATTCTCGGCGCCGAGAGGAGCAGAAGCAGCTGCAGCGCCGGCAGGGAGTGCAGCGGTGCGCTGCACAGACTGCCCCGTCATGTATTCCATGACTTGACAATGATAGTGGATTTGGCCTACACGCAGCACATTCCTACAAGCAGTGTGCCACGTCTTTTTCACTTGGTGCTCCAGCGGTGACATCACGCTCCCCCACTGCACAGGCGCGGCGCGCCTGCCAGCTCCATGGCTTCCGTGACAATGCATCTGCATCGCTGCGCTTTTCTTTGTGTTTTATTTCTGAGTCGCGTCCACTTTGACCTCAAGCAACCTTGCCGGCTTCCGTGACGAAGCATCTGATATGACGTGTCGCAGCCAATGAGACTATAAAAGCTGTTTCGCTCAGCCAATGGGCATTCAGGTGCCACTTTTCGCTGCTACAGACACCACCGGCTTTTCTCCATGGGACAGTTAATGCTTTCGCATTAAAAGTACAAGCGAATGCAAGTGTCGCCATCATCGCAGCATCTCAACTCGTGGCTGCAGAAGCTTCCGTTGTCTGTCGCGCTGGAGAGCAACCTAGAGCAGAACAGGTGTCTGCTCGACGTGCCGCTGCTGCAGTGCCGACGGCAGGATCACAGCGGGCATCGGCACAACACAAGTGTGATGTTGTCGGGCAGAAGTCGAGGAACCATAAATGTGGATGTGGTAAACATTCCACTCGGAGGCATGTACCGGACACCCTAACCAGAGTGCCCGATTATTGCTGCGCACACTTTACCACACCCCGTCACGGTCTGTCTCGTTGCCTAGGGAATGCTATTGTATCTCTGAGCAGATTCTGTTTGCTTCGTGCGTAAGACTGCTTTTCTCGAGACATCACTTCCATCATATTTAGTAATACATTGTCGAACCATTGTCAAACCTATCCGAGTTTTGTCAGTTTGAAATCATAACAAGGTGTGGTTCCTTAGAGAGAGATTTCGGGGCATTGATGCGTAAGAATGTTTCTATCTTCTACCGATGGCAGCGGTGAGACACAGCCTATGGTAGTGAGAATAGATGTTGTTCATTCCACTAGTTTTCCATCCAGAGAGGACAGATGTTCAGATCACTGTCTTACTCATATATGGGTTATTACTATCTTACTAAATATATTGGTAACATTCTTCAGGAGCTAGCAGCACTTCCTCTTTTCTTGAATATGTGAGCCATAGAATGCACGGAATCCACACATAGGTATGTTAATCATGTGTGCGGGCGGTCCAGATGAAACGTGCCATGACGGCCATGTCACGTGTGTGACAAATAGTCCACGCACAACAGCATGGACATGCCCGTGCGGACCGCTGACATCTGCAAAGGTCAGAGATTTTGCATTCTGAAAGCTAGGAAGTTGATTAGTTGTCTAAACAAATGTATGACCAAATATGGCATTTGTTAGCACACACACTTATTGAAGACAAAATAGTTCATAGCCTTATTGTGCAAAGTGCTCAGTCAGGCAGAATGTGAAGTCCACACCACACAAGAGTGTTCACCTTGTTCACGGGGTGTAAAGGTCACCCTGTACCGATGTCCGCTCGTCTGCTCCAGGCGGGCCTCCACGAGGTCGCTGGGCCCTCGAACCTCCACCCTGAGCTTGCCTGCAGGTGCCAAGAAGCGATTTGAAAACCAATTACGAGCTGAAGACACCTTTAACTATTAAGTTAGAGAGGAAGCAATGAAAACAAAGTGCCTCTACCAGCATTAAAAACTTACAACTTTTTTAAAAAGTACATTGCAGAGCTGTATGCAGTAAGCTCATGGCAATGCTGCTTAGTACAAGCATTTAGGAGAGTAAAGTATTTTTTATTTTTTTTTGTAAATTGAGCTTACTATAGAGGAATTCAACAGTAGTTTTTGATAATATCAATGTATTAGGAATGTTCAATATGCAAAAAAGTATCCTATGCACAGTAAAATTTGATAGGTGCCTGTCACTGGTATGGTAATGATATACAATGGAACCTTGTTGGCATGTTCCCAGTGCCCACATTTCCTCGACTGTTACGTTCACGACCGTAGGTCCTGTTGAACTCCCATCAAGACATCTGTGCTAAGTTTACGCTCATTACATCTGCCGGATCCCCTGTTCTTACATTCAAAACTGCCACCCAATGCAACTGCAGCAATGCAATGATCTGCTTCGCTGCGGCTACCCCTTCCTTTGCTACATTTCCTTGCTAAGATCACATGACTATTGTATCAACCATGTATCTCCATTCAGTGGCATTTGCACTGTGCTAGTCAAATCAAAGTTCAGGACTTTTCATTGGCACGCAATCGACGCAAGAGTTGCTCTTGCACCGGACACGATGCAGGAGCAACAGGCCATCTCCAAGTCACAACAAGATGCTTACATCAGCCTCAAGAGGAGCGAGTGCTGCCCATTCAAACGAAAAAAAAAAAGGTGCTTGCCTGGCCCAGCATCCCCGACATCCATGGAGATCTTTTTCTCCTGGCCAACCGTGAGCGGGATGCGTCCCTGGTCGTCCATCAGGCTGTCCCAGCCCCCGATGGCTCGTACCTTCTGTGGATCCACCACCTTGGGGTGGAAGGGGCTCCCTGCAAACATGATCAGTACAAGTTCAAGAAGCTGCCCCAGCATCAGTATTTCTTTTAACACAGAATGGGTTTAAGTGCTGGGATTCGTGAAGAAAGCGATACAGAACGTCACAAAAAATCATCACAAAAAAACGTCACAAAATGTGTCACGTGGATTCCAGGAGAACATCTATACAAAAGAACATGTAACCGAGAAGAAAGAGCGAAATTCCGAATGCCCCCCATCAAGAATCAAACCCAGGACCCAATTCAGACACACTACCATTGTGCCAAGGGGGAGACTTGGAAAGCGATAGTCACTTTGTTATAACAAAGACAAGAAGCATGTGGGTAATGGTGCGACCATATCACATGGTCATGGAAAAGATTAAAAAAACCCGCTTACTTTAGTTCAGGTTACGGTTTTAAGTCCTTGGAGTGCAAGTCACAAAGAAAGTGTAACAAGTGCATTGTTTCAACAATTTATGAATTAGAAACTGAGCAGTAGGGGGACAGCCGCATTTGTTTTAATAATTTTTAAATCGACCAATCTAAGCTGGCATTTTCACAACGCAGTTATAGCCTATTTCCCTAAACCTTAAGTTGAACCAATTCCCTATCTGTATATGTAGTACAAGTACTGTCTTGCTGATATAAGAAAGCAGTTAAGCTGCTCGTCACAAAGGATTTCCAGTCCATACGAGAAGTTAAAGAGCAAATGTATGAAACCTGATACACACCTGGCACATCCTTGCCATTCCAACGAATGTGGATGTCAAACACTCCAATCTCAAGAGGCAAGTATGACACAGAATAGACACCCTCATCTTCTTCCTCTACGGTCAGCTCAGGCTCAGAGTCAGGACCTAAGTGTGAAGGAAACATCTCCGGTAAGAGTCGTCTCAATCCAGTTAGGAGTCACACTACGTTATCCTGAGACCCAAGTCATGTGACCAAAACTGGGAGGACGCTTAAGCTTTGCCTTTAATGCAACACGATAGCATTATTGATGCTCGTTCGCACCACCTTCTCATGCTCTTCCTGCCAGTGAGCAGAAATTGCGGCACACATGGCCTAGTCAGTAGCTTATCTGGCTCACATCCAAAGGGTCGTGGGTTCGAATCCCACCTAGAATTCTTTAAATTTTCCTTTAAGACAAATTAATTACTTTATAAAGTGAAATCATTTTAAACATGTGGCAACCTTTAGATGGAATTACACTTAATGTTTTTTAATCACTTTCATTCCACGCATGACGTCACGTTTCACGTGAGCGTTAAAGGTTGTTTAAAATTCCAGCGCGAGTCATGTGGCTGTGACGTCATGACCCTATCGAACAGTCACGATTGTCCCATCACAACGCCACCAATGCCGACGCCGGCTTTTCTGCGACATGAGCTCCTTAACACTATCGCGTTAACATCAGATTAGATCGGAGTAGCCGGCATGCAAAACCAATCCATGGCAGAGTAATGTCATGTCACCATTAATTTTCATTAGATTACACACTGCTATGCAAATATTCAAATTTTTGAATAGTAGCTTTTAATGATATGCTATTCCAGGGGTGGCCAAGGTGCGGCTCTTTGCGTGTTAAAGTGCGGCTCGTGGCTCCCTACCCTAACCCCCCTTCCCGCACTCTGCCGCCTCCATCCCGGTCACAAGAGCACTTCCCCAGAAAGAGAAATGAAATTCGTTTTAAAGCAAAAGTCAGGTTGCGATTTGGTAGTTTTGAGCTACTGCTACCTTACATACAGTTGGGACTGCTTTTGACTCAGATGGATTAAAAGTAGCCAGAGTTTCGTTTAATGCCCTAAACAAAAATATGCCCCCCCCCCCCCCCGCGGCTCTTGAAAGTTTCGTGGTGTTTGCGGCTCTTGGGTCGGGTCAGCCTGGTCACCCCTGTGCTATTCCATATTTGCTTCGCGCCGAACTGAGATATTCACATTTCTCAGGGTTGATCGCGGCGAGCCAGCTCCGTTGAGTACACTTCTCACCGAGCACCTCTGCACTGCAGGGAAGCTACACCCACGGAGCTTGCAGGCCCCACAGTTATTGCTTCCCTGCGCTGCAAGGGTGCTCGGTGAGAAGCGCACTCAACGGGGCTGACCAGCCGCAATTACGCAAGAGTACATGTTAGGCAGTGATGTCTTGACAACCCGCATTCATCATTCGTGCTTGTTTCTTCTTTTTATTTTAGTTACATTTGAATTAGAAAAAAAAATTGCATATAGCAAGTAAATTTATGAATACCCTTGATTAGGATAGCTGCAACAAATCTGTTTCCTCACCACAGTTCATATATTTATATTAAAATTAACTGAGCTTAGAACTGGATCAGTGGAAGGCTGGGAACAACTTTGACAAGTTCAGCTGAATTTTCGTTTAAGCATGGTGCACGGTAATCAAAGACTTTCAGAAACTATATGATATTTGATTAAAAATATTTGATCAAAACCACTATTTGCTTCGAGCTCAATATCCACTATTTGCATATGCCTGCACAGTGCCATTGTTAACTTTCAAATGTACATCATCTTAGTGGCTGGAAGCCATATGTTGTCATGTCAGGCGGCACCAACCATAGTTTGGTCACATACCGTAAAATCCTGAGCATGCCCCACCCCTGAGAGATAGCCCACCGCTATTTTTGGCTTGATTTGCTATATTTTTTTAAACACTGAAAGATAGCCCACTCTTAGTAATAGTAGTGTTGGCATCCATGATGGCCTCGGCATTAATGCGGCTAGTTTACTACGGAGGAATATAAGCAAACGTTGCTGGCTGGGAAGTACAGTCACCTTTGCTTTGTTGCCCCTCGCCACCATAAGAAGTTTGGAAGGGACACAAACTAAAAATAGCAATCTTTTAAAACTTTTCTTGATTGTACATCAAAAGTTAGCCCACTCCATATTTTCAGCCGATTCGCTCTTGATGTTAGGTGGGCTATCTCTCAGGATTTTACGGTAGGTGGCACAAGCTACTGCCTGATATAAAAAGCATAGACAATACCATCTATTCATGACTGTCTAGGCACATTTTCATCACTTCCATCACGCGATGCCAGCCCCTTCCTTCCACTTCCTTGTATAAGACAACTTAAATGAGGTACCATAAACCAGTGTCAAACCTTAAACTGCATGTCGATGTTCTGTTGACTACAGCTCTGTGCTAAATTACATCGCAATATGTTAAGAAACTCGTATATGTAGTCTCTCCAGAAGGTCAATGTGCCATCGCGTCCACCCCGTATATTCTGTTACGACAACATGAGGCAAAAAACTTGCTTATCAAGTATCCATGCTTTGTTAATTATCAATTGTTACCTTCTAAGAAAGATGGGAAAACGTGTCAACAAAGGAATAGGAAGAGAGAATTCGAGAATATGTGGCAGCCTTCGCAGACAAGGACAAAAAGAGAAGAACGCGACACAACTGTGCACTATATGCACAGTGGTGTCCACTTCTCTTTTTGTCCCAGTCTTCGAGCACTACCATGTATCTTGAATTCAGCACCAACTCGCCCAGCAATCGGCACCGAAGATGAAAGATGTACCGACCGTCAATACGGACATCAGGTCGACCCCACAGCCCGCGGGCGTCGATCTTGAAAGAGGCCATGATTCCATTTTGGGCCACCGAGAGCCCATTCCCCGACACTTTTGGGGTGCCACCGTCCTGGGCAATGAATGTGATCGGACTCCCTGGAGAGATAAGGAACAAAACAATTGTACAACCCACAGCAGGTGTATTACGGGTGGAACCAGCTGAACAATGAAGGAAGGAGAAACAGAAAAGACAACCACTCGCTGGACTACCAACTATTTTAATAGATCGTCCTCCACTTCTATTAAATCTTATGCATATCAATTTTTTTTTCCTCTAGTTGTGTTTTTTTCTTATTTCTATTTTTACTTAGCAGAGAGGGCGTCCTTCAGAAATGTATCATAACCAACTAGCTCAACTCATCCCTATAGTAAGCAGGTGTATGCAAACATTTTACTTCGCAACTCCTAAAAAATGTCTATCGTCGACGGTCATTTGTTCAATTATATAGGCCAGTGGTTTTCAACCATTGAGTTTTCTGGGACCCCTTCTGTATCGGCAGAAGTGGCAGGAGACTCCATCTACCATGGAGGGGGGGGGGGGGGGGGGGGGAGTGTATGGGAAGTATTGGACGACTACAATTACAAAAAAGTAAATAAAGAAAACTGATTGCATGCAAACCAACTTTAAAGCTCTGAAAAGGAAAATAATCAACCCTACTCACTCGGTGCCTATGGTTTAGTCTCTTTAGCTAAGCGCACAACTATTAGGCTCTTGTGGCTGCTGCCTCCAAGCAGTAAAAGCTGCTTGCAGATATTCTCCAGTTTTATTAAGAACCACAACCTAACCAGAATAAATCTCTTGGCTCTCGAAAGAATCATAAATATTTCCGAGGAGAATATACACTCTAATTTGCAAAACTATATATAATATTGTATTTGTTCGCATAATGAACACAGTTTTTTGCCTCAAAAATTTATGCATATTTGGGGGGTGCATTCATAACATGGGGTAAACTTTTGTGAATTTACACATTTTGCATAAATGTCACGTTAGGTACCCATCTGACAGGGGCATTACTATAGCATGTCTTCATTGATGGAGGCGCATCCACGGCTGGTCGTGGGCGCACAACAGCAACCGTGCCCTACAAATTACAAACTTTTAATGCGTCAGCATTAGAATGCTCATCTTGACGAAAACCCGGCGGTGTCTTTCGTTTGTCAGTTGTCGCGTGCGAAGCTCCCATTTGTCCGAAGTGCTAACTTGAGCACGTGTCAACCTCTCCCCCTTTACCCGGCGCTGACAAACCGACAAACATCACCGAGTCTTTGTCAAAACGGGCACTTTCGTTTCGTCAAAGTCACGCGCACAGCTGGTGCAGAGCCAGAGAGGAGGAAGCGCCGCGCAACACCTCCTAGATGACAAAGCCGTAGTGCTGAATGAGATGGCTTAATCAGAGAAGGCCAATGCTGGACACAGATTGAAAACAAGCGCTGCGTCAGTGCTTAGCTTAGAGTCAAGTTTGAGTCGAACGTTGACGCAATCGTCGTGTCCAGTCTGTACCGAGAGATGGCCTTCTCTGATGACAGCATCTCATTCAGCACTATGGCTTTATCTAGGAGGTGTTGTACCATGGCGCAGTGGAACGCAGGCGTGCTCAGTTGCTGCTCAGCTGTCTTCAGTTGTTCTTCGCTCTGGGCTTCTATGGTTGCGGTGCGTGGCCTGTGATGTGTGTGTGTAGTTAAGACGATGGATGCGGTTCACACCACGAGTGATATGGACGCGGCTCCTTCCACGAGTGGTATGGATCTGGTTCTTTCCACAAAGAATACAGATGACCGTATCCAAAAGCATCAACATACTCTGACAGTCGGAGTACAAAAAAGGGGTCAACAAAATTACAGGAAGATCCATTGGTGGATTTTCGGGGAATCCGTTAGCACGACTCTTGGGAAACGCCTCAAACATCCCCCTTTGGGAAATGCTAACATTGACTCCGTAACGAGGCCAAAAAGAGGCAGCAAAAAAATAGAGGAAGCAAAAGATAAAGCCAAAAGAAAAAAGTGAAGGGGTCAGCATTAGCGCTTACCAAAGGGGAACATGTGTAGTGTTTCCAAGGGTAATGCTAACACATTCCCCTTAGAATTTACCAATGAATCTTCCTGTAATTTTTAAGGGCACCTTCGGCATTCTTTTTGCTAAAGAAAAGGCACTAACAAAACTCACTCGGCACAGAGAGCGACAAAAGCGTTCCTGGGCCTAACCACTTTCACAATTTCCCTATTCGAAAGCGGACCACAGATGACGGCGTGTTTGTTGACATCAATACATTCGATGGACGAAACACCTCCGGGGTCTGGGCGATTCCTCAACCTCAGCTTTGTTGGCCGTGCGCACCACTCGGTTACACACTGTTCACCAAATTCACAACTTCACACTTGCCGCCATAACGCATGCATCTGCTGTCATGCTTGGCTTGGCTTGGCTTGACCTGGCCGCTTCGTGGCTAATTTGACTTGGTGGCTGGCTGGGTCAGACACAGTCCAAGACTCGCGAAGTCAAAAAATAGGGTTGCGTTCACTATGCGTGGGAAAATGTTAATCAAAATCCTCATGAGCGTTCTGGAAATGGAGTGCATTCATTATGCGAGTAAATATGGTATATGTACTAAGAAAAAGGTTGGTGGCTCAGATATTCTGTCAAAGGCAACAAAGGCGTGATGGCACTTGATCGGGTTTTTAACGAGCAGCACTTGCTATCCCAATGATATACAATGTGACACGTGGCAAAGGAATTGTGAATGTATAAAGGCCTTGTCTTCTTCATCCATGCACTTCTTTTTTGGGGGTACTGCATCGTTTTTCAAAAAATGCCGCCATGCACACAATCTGACCATCCAACGCCTCCATGCATACTAGATTATTCTACTAATACACACTTTCTACCCTACTACGCAGCCCCCGTCCCTGTGCAATGAAAAAAGAAGGGAGTATTAGGGAACCACTCGCCCCTCCCCAAGCAAACGCTACGCCATTGGTGGAACATGCCACGGCGTCAAACCAGCTGCTGCACTCGGTTCCTGAACCTCTTCAGTAGCCTTGCTATGGTGCAACCAACATGAACAAACGAGATCCACGCAGGTTTCCCATACAGAGCTATCGCTTTATGAAAAGAAAAGTATCATGCTCATATTTCTAAAATCCTTGTCCGAGCAATGGTGAGCCAAATGAGCCTCACCTGGCACTTCGATGCCTCCGTAGGTGATGGCAATGCGGTATTTCCCGGGCACGGTTGGCGTGAACTCGATGAGCTCGCCGTCGCCGTCAGGCGTGCCCTTCACCTCAATGGGCAAGTGGCGCCCGAGGGGACTGGTCACCGTCACATCCAGCTCGGAGTAACCAGCATCACGTCGGTTCACTGTAAAGAGCAAAGTCATCCCTAGTTTGTCAAGACTATTCTCACTGTTGTTCTTCAATTAATAAGTATAAAACATAATTAAAAAGCATAAGCGTAACAAACAGGAATTAGAAGCAGGAACTCGTGCTCCATACTGGCAGACCATTACTTTATTTATTTTGGCCGAGGCTACATCCACGCGCGGGGACGTAGCCAAGTCGGGAGGAGATAAGGCTCCATCCACGCAAAAGGTCACGTGACTTATAATATAAAGAGATAATTTGCTTTTGTGTACATATTATACCTTCTTATAAGTAAATATAGGATATAAAAATAAAGTGGTTATATTTCATTGTTGTTTTAAGGTTAATATGTCACGTGACCTTATAAATGTTTAGACAATTCATTAATGGTTTACTGTTTTCTAAGACCAATAGCAAATATGATGCATCATGAAAATAGTACCAATTGAGACGTTGCCTCGTCTTTTTCTACCTTCTGGTGTGTCCTCTTTTCTGCCCCAGTCTCAGGTTTACAATCATGTTCAATATATATCTTTATATTTATGTTGTCCAGGAGTCACACACACGTGTGGGCGGCGTGCGTGCCATCCGTGCGTGCGGGCGGTGCGGGTGCGGGTGCGGCCTCCGGGGCCTTCGCCCATGTGCGCATCGCTGCTGAGGCGAGGCGGAGAGGCTTCGTGGTGTGTGTGGTTGGCTTGGTTCGAAGCCTTTTAATGTGAGCTTATGTGTACCGAAGGGGACAAGTACGTGCCCACCGCTTCGTACGTTCTTGATTTGCGCGCACGCTTGCAATCACACAAAGATTGTGAGAAAAGGGAAAACATGCACTAGTCCCATGAATAACAAACATACTGAGAGCATTCAATCGAGAAAACTGGGTAAAAGATTCCAGAAACGGTTTATTCCATGACAAATAAGACAGTAGCCGATGCGCAGATGCCACTCGTCCACGAGATCACCGATGAACACGAAGCCCTGCATGCGGCAGAACTCCTGCAGGAGCCAGTTCACGTCTCTGTGCCGATCATTCAACGCCTGGATATCGGCACTCTGACTACGCTGACACTCCATCGAAGAGAACCTGTTCCCCCGCCTAGGAAGGACGGAAGAAAAGGCGATCTGCATCGTCGATTGCGTCCCAAAATCTGAGCGGCCAGCCAACAATACTTGTCAACGTACGCGCTGGCACAAACGCTGGTGTTGTTTGTACCAAAATCGAGCAGGGCGTCAGACACCTTGGAAAACAAAGCCTCGATCCTAATGCCACTAAACGCCCGCACTTCGACAGCCTCCCGATTATTCGATGGGAAATACTAGGACAAGTATTTCACCGTCGAACCCCCGGCAACCAAAACTTGAGGCAGATCAAGCGCGACCGTGCTAATACTCAAACGGCCAAGCTCCTTGTCCGAGAAAACAGAAATAAAATAAAAACGCTTCAGAGAAAGTCAAAACCGCTTGCGGAAGACCAGGCAGGCACAGTCGACAGTAGTCCGCGCACGGCAGGAACGCAAGGTGCAACGGCCGCCAAGCAAATGGAAAAACAATGGGCGCAATGGGAGGCTAGACCGGAAGTTGATCGTAGTGCGCCGGAAGTGACGTATTGCGTGGATGGAGCCTTATCTCCTCCCGACGTGGCTACATCCCCGCGCGTGGATGTAGACACTCCCATTTATTTTTCTTGCCTTATTTTTATTGTTTTATTTGTTTCTTATTTTATATTTTTGTTCCTTATTTATTTATTTTTATTTACTTTGTTTCTTATATACTTTTTTATTTATTTTATTCTCTTTTTTTTATTTGCATTCAAAACCTGCCACTCTTAACGGCACACTTGCATTCAAGTAAATGAATTTTCCCTTCCAGGTCAGCTGTGCTCATAGCTCAGTGGATACAGTGTAGACCGCATATAACGTATGTCGCTGGAGTCGCGAAAATCCGCACTATAAGCGGTACCGCGCTATAACCAAAACATCAATTTTTCAGGCCAAAATACATGCCATGAGACAACTTACCTTTGTAAAAGAATTTATTTCATGTTAGATGAAAAATAAAGCTTAGTTTGTGGAAAGTCTTTATTTCACCAGACTAGTACAGTTCTGTCTCAAGTGTGTCACACATTTTGAAAGAAATGAGCGACTTTTGCCTGGCGCAGCCTTTTAACGGCGTCGCGGGTTGCGGACGGACGGTGCGAGCGTTCAGGATTGCTAACCCTAATCCCTTTTCTCCGGAGATGAAAACGCATGAAAATTCGCATCCTTCATACGGTACGCGCCAGTAATACCTTCAACTTGAGCACAGGCATGAAATGCGCCAAATAAGAAATCCGGGCGATGTTCGAGGACACAAATGCTTAGAAAGCACCACTGTAGTCGAAGTAAACAAACAAGACGACACGGGCGTTTCTGCCGTCTTGAGAGCGCCGCCACGACATCGCTGCACGAGTAGGTGGATCTTCCCTTCTAGTATGTGCTGGGTTATCATAGTGACATACAACGAAAATTCACAGTCAAGGATAGCGCTTTTACGCAGAACGATGAGATGAACGCCGTTTTCGACGACGATCACAACCGACACCATGCTTGCGGATAGAAGCAGTCGGCCCGCGACCGGCATGCAACGCGCGCGAACACTTCTCCTTGATCTGCGATTGGTCTGTCGGTGCAGTTGTTCGTTTCTTTGTTTCCAACGCAGCAGAGGGGCGGAGGGACGCACGCACGTGAACGACACGCGCGTGCGTCCCTCCGTCGCTATGGTAACTGAAGCCTCTCTCTTCGCTTCTCCCCAATTCTTCGAGCACCATCCTCGCCCCGCGCCGTCAGCGCCGTTATCTAGTGTCGCACAGGGAAGCGTGCTCGCTGCTCCGGTCGTCGGCGCGGTCGGCGGGCTGTGCCAAAAACCGCACTATAACCGGTATTTCCCTTCGCGCACCTGCATTTTAAGCGGTATGTAAATACATGGAGTTCTATGGGAGGCGAACCGGCAGTTTAAAAAACCACGTTATACCCGGTCCTGCACTATAAGCGGTTACGTTGTAAGTGGTCTATACTGTATATAGCATCCGACTACCATCGCACTTGTCTGAGGTTCGAGCCCCACCGGGGCTCAAAATTTATACATCACCATCATATATAACCCTGTTGTGTGTAATGCTCCCAGCGTGTCGCTCGCTATGACGCTCATTCGTGACATTTTTTCCATAAGAAACGACCCATAAAACACATTCTTTGTTAAAAACGTTTTTCACTTCGAGGTAAATCAACTTTCAACAACAAAATATGCAACAAATTCTTTCACCAATACACAAACAGAATCTGCTCCCGTAAAGCACACACCAAATTCTTAAGGAGGAAGAAACGAGGAACACAAACCTAGCTGAGTGAGGAATCCGAACAAAAGTCGCTTACGTGCAAAGGAGATCTTCTCGTTAACAGAAAAGGTGGTGCCACGGACTTTCTGGAGCAGCACGCGGCTGGCGTCAAACACCTGGCAGAGGAACGGCGAGCCAGGGATGGCCTTGCTCTCGTACAGCACCTCCACCTTGTGACTTCCTGCATTAAAACAATGCACAAAATGAAAGCCACTCTTTTTCTTTTACACAATTGAAGTACGAAATGAGGCATCCGAATCATACTCGGCTATGCTCGACTGCTTATCTGATCCTCCTACTTGACGGTGACAGCGCAAGAAAAATCAATCTCACACCAGACACTCAGGAAGACAAGCACACGCCCTGAACTTACAACTCTTGTGTATTCAACTACTTCATTTTTCTCTTCAACGTCTGGGTGGACCTTTCAGAATGTGATAAGTAGAAGAAGTAGCACGAAATACAAAGGAAAATTCTAAAGAAAAAGGCAAAAGAACAGTAAAAGAGAAGAAAAATGAAGAAACGGAAAAAATATCTAAACGAAACACTTTTACAAATCGTCCCTCTCCCTCATCGCTATCATTTAGATAGAAATTGGAGCTTTTTGGTCGACAGCGCTATAGAAGGACTACTTACACACTTGTCCTTCAGCTGTGCTATCCTTTCCGCTTCCATTATCTCTCGTGTCAATGCGTTTTTACTCCTACCTATTACAGAACAATTTTCAAAATGTGCTACACAGCCACAATCGCGACAATGGATTCCCAAGTGTCCAGCTACGACTCGGTGGGTGTTATAAAAATGCTCTCTTAAACGACCATTCAAACACCTTTCAGTCTGGCCTATATACTCTCTACCACATGAGAGTGGAACAGAATATACGACTCCTTCAGTACAATTTACAAACCTCTTTTGGTGCTTTTTCAAACAACCAACTTCCCGGTGTGCCGATCCGTTTCCGGCTTAGAAGCTTATTTGGTGCTGAAAAAGCAACATTAATGTTAATGCGGTTACCTATCTTTTTTAGACCGTGCGAAACTTGATGTATATATGGAACAACTTTTCTTTTCTGTATTGCGTTTAGGCCGTTCACCCCATCTTATTCTCTTTAATAAATCCTCTGCCACGGCTCTAAGTAATGCACTAGGATATCCTGTTGACTTTAACCTGGCGATTTAAGCATCAAAGCTAACCTTAAGTGAATGAATACAAGACTTATTAAGCGCATTGGTGAGACATAATTTAACAATGCCTCGCTTAAAGGGCAACTCCGCTTCATTTTTGATATTTAGAAAACTATGTAGCCCTCTTCAGTATCATATAGGAAGACCCCATGTCAAATATTACGTTCTAATTCCGTTTATATATTGAATAAACTGGCCAGCAAACCTTCAAGCGAGCCAAGTCGCCGAAATCTGCCAACTCTAGCGTGCGGCGCGAGGCGCAATCACCAGCGCAGTCAATGCCACGGAGACGGATCGGCCAACGTTGAGCCACTACGTCAGAGGCATGCATACGTCATTCTCACGTTTTGTTTGTTTTTACTTCTCAGAGCAAAATTGAACGATGACACATGAGTTTCTCCTCCCGGTGTTGGCTGACCGGGCGTTCACGTGATCACCGTAACACGGATGCGCCTGGGATGCGCTGCCCTGCGCGCTTATCGGTCTGTTTCTCCGCTCCTTTTCTCCCCTTTCGTCTTCTCCCCTTCCCCCTCGCCCCCGGGCCATCACCGTCCACGCCATGCGAAGCAACCTGCCCGCGTCCAATAAAAAAAAAAAAAAAAAAAAAAGACCTTGCTCGGTTTTTTGCTTTCTCCCGAACGTCACAAGACCACGTGGTTCGACGTGACGTGCCATGACTCTGACGACCCGAGACCAATGTTGCCTGACGCAACCGAAGTTTCGGTTTCGGTATCTGCTGTTGTTTAAATTAGGATTACACAAATAATATTCCACATTTCGCGAATCCGAAGACGTAGAGTTGTTTAGTAGTGCTTTGTAAAATGTGAATCACATGGAAGCCTACATTTTTCGGAATTGAGCGGAGTTGCCCTTTAACAAGCTTGGAGTGTGCTGACTGAAAATTAAGAAGTGGTTTCTTCCCTCTCGGTTCGTATGACCAACATACATGATGCTCCGAAAAAATTAATCTGAGGTCCAAGAACCGCAAGGAACCTTCTGTGGGGAGCTCATGAGTGATTTCTAGTGGATCTATACATGACTTAAAACAGGAAAGAACGTTAGAGACCAATATTTGAAAGTCATTAGCTGCACAATCTAGCACAATCAAAAAAATCATCAACAAAGCGAAACACCTTCACAACAGTAGAAGCATCTAAGCTACGTGAAAGGATCCGGTCCCGATGCGCGAGGTAAAGGTTACTCAAAACTGGTGCTATGCATGAACCAATGCATACCCCTGCTTTTTGAAGAAAAGTGTTACCCTCCCAACACACAAACATAGATTTTAAATATACAATGAGCAATTCAAGGAAACCACCTTGGGAAACTCCTAGACTATACTCCGTTTGGTTACCGTACCGTAACGTCCCAAAGAATGACCCACGTTTTCTGTTCCATTTGCTCTTGAGACTTGTACAAATCATTGAAGCGTTAACGGAAGCAACAAGGCACAGCTGGCGAAAGTTCAACGTACCAGCCGTTACTGCGTTCCATTCCACCAGGAGGCTTCCATCCTTCTGCTGGTAACACTTCACCGGCAATGGTGAGCCATTTGGTGCTGTGTGAGCCAAGGAGAAACAGAGAGAGAAAAAAATTCAGAAATAAGCGACAATGCTATTAACCATGTCAACACCATGATCTTAAAATAAAAAACTCTGGGATGAAGAAAATGGCATTGCCCCACGTGCTACGTAAAATATGCATAAAAAATTGCGCAAGAAACAGAAGGAAGCTGATGCAAAGAGAATCAAATAGTATGAACATTCAAACCAAATACGAATCAAATTGTTAAATATGTATTTGGGATGTTGTGCTTACCAGAAAACGACCAGAAGAATCCACTGTAGTGCAAGTCAAGTGTACAAAAGAAGCAGAGGCATTTTAGCGAAGAAAGGTGGCATGTCCTAACCAGGGTGTCTAGCAAATTATTATTCTGAAATTCCATGACTTTTCCAGGTTTTCCCAGACAATTTCAGGTGAAATTCCCTGACCACTCTAGAGGCGGTTAAATATATAAGACCATTACAACACAAGGCATTAACCATTGAGCACAGTAAGGATCATTTTTCACGGGCTTAGTCCAACTTGCATATTCTGAAATATTCGGGTTCGTCCAGTCCGAATTAAACCAGCACTTTCTTGCTGCCGACATCGTCAGTGAAGAGGCCACTTCCGAAAAAACGATGAAAACACAACGCTCAACCACACACGTCGATAACCGAATGGCAGCATGGCCGTATGGCTGGCATGGCCACCAGATGCGCACTTTTGGATACTTTCGGCTTAAGGCTAGGATTGGATTGCAGTTTGTGGCTTTCCCATTTGTTATCTAGTAGCTCTAACTGGATCAAGCCTAGTGTCGAACCCTCAATTCAATCCAATCCAAGGCTTAGACCGGATTTCTCAGCAGTTCCCTTTGCATCGGGCAGCACACTCCACATTTTGTGAGCAATGCCCGTGCTCCGCACTAAGCAGAATTTATTACCTATTTTTCTGCCCCAAAGTCATCAAGTCTTCGCTCAAGGCACTCGATGGCGTTTCCGACCAATTTTTTCTGACTGGGCTCGCTTTTTGACAATATCCCTGACGATTCTCCGATTTTTCCCGGTAATTAAAATTTCCCTGATGACAATTCCCGGTTTTCCCAGTCACTAGACACCCTGAAAACCCTAAAAATTACCCCATATATTATGCTTGTGCAGAAAATAGCACTTCACTAATTTACTACACTTAAGTCAGTGTCGGTGAACCTCCTGACAAAGCAGTGCAACACTTGGCAAATATTATTTCTTTGACACAAAGAAAGACAAAGTTGTACATTGTTTGAAATGTACCACTTTGAAGAATAGGTGTTACTAAATTCATATAACAACTGCCTTGAATTGAAATAACAGAAAGAACATTCGGGCAAACTGGTGAACTTGCAACAGCTTGAAAACTCGAGACATATAGGAACAAAAAAGTGAACAGCACTTCTTATCTTCAAGATAAGAAGTTTGAATATGGCACTTAGAAAAGCAGCAGAAGCAGCCCTAAGAGACAAAGTAAACAACATGGACAGATATCACTTCGTCTGTGACTTTGTTCAATTGTCCATCATTTCTAAGCATTTCTTTGTTTTGCTTTGTTTATAAGCAAGTTTTACTAACAGTCCAAGTGTCTACATTACATTTGCTGCATGCTCTACAATAGTGGTCACCCTGATAGAAGTTTGGCACGAGCAAACAATTAAGATGGCAAGCAGCTGGTGAGGCTGAAGTGTAACTTCCCCGCAAAGGAGAGTGACGTACCGGACACGAGAATGTCGAAGTCCTTGGCGTCCCCGTAACCACCGGTCTCGATGACGAAGCTGCACGTCTTGCCCAGCTGGCAGGCCTTGAGTCCCGAACCGTGGGCAATGATCACATGGCCCGGGTCGCGCACCTCCACAATCTGCGGGCAACCTGGCAACAGGCACGCAACCGCGCATTGAGGCTACGAAATCTCCCTAAGAAAGTGACAAGAGAAGTGTACACTTAAAAATTTCAAAAGGAAAAAATAAAGAAAAAAAACATTGTCTGCAGTAAATCAAGGTGGCGATGCAGACGAGTTGGTCCATTCTTACAAATTGGTGATATGGTGTGCAATAAACAAAGAAAGAGATGGACGGTAGACAAGACGAACGCTGAACTTCAACTAGTAGATATTTATTGAAACAATGTGCAACGAGGAAAACAACCGCACCATAATTGATAAATGTGTGACTGGCTCACACATTTATCCTCCTTTCGCTTCTGATTTGTGGTAACAGGCAACACAGCTCCTAACAAGGCAGTATACCACAACCAATTACCTAACCCCATTACTCCACTGTCAGACCTCATGGCATTTTTTCTGTTGTAAAACTTAAGTGGCAAAAATTACAAAATGAATGGATCCCACCAAAACAGAGTTGATGCCACCCAAGGCTCGAGCGACAGTGCGAAAACATACCTGGTGCCTGGTGACCGTTGTAGTAGACGTCTATCTTGTGCGGCAAATCCGACTTGGGCACGTAGGAGACCTTGTAGACGCCTGGCCCAGACTCCCGAATGTTGTTGCGGACCTCGCGGCCTCCCGCCGTGATGACGACGTTAAGGGTGCCGTGGCCCGCACGCGTCGTGTCCACTATTGGCAGGAGGGGAGGTCGTCGGGTTGCAGTTTCCCACTACAATCGCTCACAACTGCTAACAGTATGCGGAGCACAAGTTTGTCTGCTTCTTGCATAGGAGTTGCGGTAATGTCAAAACGACACCAAGCTCCGATGGGCTTTGATTGAAAGGATAGCGGGTAGACCTCAAAGCTAGATACCCTGGAGGTCTATCAACTAATTTTTTCAATCAGCCAATAAAAGCTCGGCATTCTGACATCATCGCAAAACCTGTGCAAGAAGAAGACGAACTTGCGCTCCGCATGGATGACTCCCAAAGGTTCTGTTGGAAGTGACAGATAATAAATTAAAGTGGAGTGATTTTCACCCTTGAAAATAAATCCTTTACTATTGCTAATAACAAAAAATATAACAAGAACACAAAAATTTTACCAATATAGGTACATGATCCACGCCCTCAATTTACCAGTATGCATGTTAACTAAGAGATACTGCAGTTTCTATTATTGTGAGCTGATTGCATTTTCAGTCCTTCGCTGCAAGTCGAACAATTTGCACGTACTGGTTTCATTGCGATCTTACAACATTGATGCACATATCTGAGCATGAATTGGGTATACTCTATAACAATCATTCTCTCTACTTTACACTTTGGCCTTTTAAAGGCACATGACAGCGTGATGTTGGATCATGGTACTTAATTTCTATAAAAAGGAAACTTAATAACCTCTTCACAAAATGCCTATTGATTTCTTAATGATATACCTTTAAGAGTTTCATCACTGAAAATTTTTTTTTGATTTGATTCTATGCTGGTCAACAGACACTTTCCAAAATGCAATTTGGCCAGTTTCATCACTATCATCATCTGAGGTATGACATCTGTGCCATACTATACTCCGTTTCACGATAACTTGGCGAACTGTGGAGGCTAGGGCCCCACGACCCAATAAGAGCATCAAAGCGAGGCACGTGACCCGAGGTCACGGGAGCATTTGTGTCACCACGCCAAATGCGGGGCATGAGGCCTAGAGGAACTGGCTGTCATCTGCTAGCCAAGAGCCATCTGCTCCGAAACCAACCAGCTTCAGATGAACGTCCACCGCAGCAACATTTCCGACCGCTAGAATAGCAAGCACTTCAGGAACAGTTCATAAGACAACCATACGCTCAAGTTAGCCACGAATCTGTGAAGGGGTGCTAATGCAGTATGAGGTTTTGAGTGGAAACGGCCAATTACACGGCTGCAATCGCCGGTGATTGCCAAGAGCCACGGCACTACAAGGCGACAAAATCAAGCGGATATGGATGTGGCATTACTTGTTTTATGTAAATATAATTGAAACTTATAAATTTGTGATTATTTATTCATTATTCTTCATATCTTCTTGTTATAGATGGAATCACGCGAGTTCAATTGCCATTAAAAGAAAAGAAGCCTAGAACTACTGTCGTGGAGGGCTCTGTTGCTGTTGCATTAACGGGGCCGCGGTGGACTTGATCATGGAGTGTTGTCATGTGCCTTGCTCCAGCACCCTTATAGGGTCGTGGGGGTCGCAGCCTCCACAGTTCGCCAAGTTATCGCGAAACGGAGTTTAATGCCGGCCTTCTGGGGACTGATGAAGAAAGAAGCTGCAGATGTGACCAAGTGGATGACGTGAGGCCTATACATCTGAAATGATAGTACAATGCGACGGAGAACTTGAATACTGCGCATTGAATACCAGAAAATATTTTCGGGGGGTGTTTCAAGGTGCTGGTGCAATCACACACACAATAAAAAATATACATGTAAGATACGGAAAGCGCTCTAATTAATCTCCAAAAGTGAAAAAAAAAAGTTACGTATTTACACGATTGTAGGTCGACTCGATTGTAAGTCGACCCCCCCACATCGCACATCAACAAAAAAACATTTTTTTTTTTAGATGCGCATTTTATTGCAAACACATGAGAACGGCAAATTATCTGTTTCGAAAGCCGAGCCTCCCACACACAATCGATGCCTTCTGGCGTGCTTTGGCTATGCATGCACGTGCGAGGTGCATGAGATGGCCAGGCGTTATAGGAACTAGGAAGTTCACGCTGGAGGTGGGACAATTTACTGAATTTGCTGCTCACTGTCGTTCTCACTCCATCCGCGACTAGACTACGACTCGTCCGCACTGGTGATGTCAGTCCCGTCGTCATCACTGCTACGTTCTCGAAGCACGTCGGCGGCGTCGTCCAATGAAATCTCGCACTTCGCAAATGACAGGATCAATCGCATCTTCCGCGCTTGCTCGGCGATTGCGTCGGACGTCACGGGTAGGGACCGATTGCGCACATTTGCGGCGTACGTTGCAAGCCTGACCTCCAACCCCAGAAGGCATCCCCACCTATCCAGTCTTTGGCCTGCGGAAGCGTCTTCGTTTGCCATCACACATCAAGATTCCACGCCACTGCAGGCTCCACTGGAGCATCATCCACTCCGACGGGTCGAACTTGCGTCCAACAGTGCAGTTGTTGGTTGCTTCTGAGTGAATAATGGCCATAAACGAGCACCGAAAACCTAAACTGCCCGGATCACGCGTTTCAATACAAATGAACATAGTTAGCGCACCAGCATGATCTCGTACTCGATCAAACGATGTGCGACCGTGAATCGTGCGAAAAACTGCGAAGAGAAGCCGCGGTGCCGCGGGGTAAGCGAGCCATGAGGCTGTTCCAGCGGCCTCCGGAGTGGCTCTTACGAGAAGTGCCGTCACCCCCCAGGAGTCGGGCGCTCCGTGCTCTGTTCACCGCCGTGCATTCCGGTTAATTTGCGAATCGCTACCAATAAAACTCGTTTGCGCAAAGAAAAAATAATTAATTTGTAAAATGAGCGCACAAAACAGTGTAATGCTAGGGGTACGGCTGGCTGAACTCGTAACAAGCCGAGGTGTCCATGATATCACGATTGTTTCGTTTTTGCCGGCGGTGGAAAGCTTTGGTTCAATTATAAGTCGACCCCCCCACTTAAGATTTTCAAAAAGTGAAAAAAGGGTCGACCTACATTCGTGTAAATACGGTATATATCAGGTACAATTTCGGGGGGTGTTCTGACACCTGAACACCCCCCCCCTGGCTACGCGCCTGATACTGTGCGAGTGTTCACTTCTAACATGGGTCCAACCAGTCCATTGGCACACAATTGGCTGTAAAGCCCCTTGATGTATAGAATTGGATCAAAAGGTTTATGTAGTCTGGCACTTCGTCCAGAGTGACTGCATTGTTGTCCTCGTCCAAACCGAAAGAAATTGAGAAAGAACTAAAATGGAGCAAATGGTCTGCCACCGGCTTAAGGTGTCATCGTCAAAACTGAAAGAGATTGAGAAAGAGCTGGAATGCTGTAAACGCATCTTCCCCTGGCTTGCGAACGTGACAGCACCCGACGAAAAACTACATGTTCATCCCCGTCACGGGTAAGGCAAGAGATAAACTGCAACGGACACCCGACTAGCGAAAAAAACAGGCACGGGGACTCCCGTCTCACACACCCCTGAACGTCTGGGAGCGTCCCACGATGCCGTCCTCAATGTCCACGACCTTGACCCTGCTGGGGTCGCACACCTCAACCACGAAAGGCTTGCCCGAGATGGGGCTGCCCCCGTGCAGCACTTCCACCCGATACAGCCCCACCTCCCGGGTGTGGTACTCCGCCCGGTATGTGCGCCCGTCCAGCTGCAGCACGTTGGTGCGCACCTGGTGCGACTCCGAAGGACCTGGCATGCCCAATGGAAGAGAGAGAACAGAGGTGGAACCACTGAATGAGCCACAATCCTGTGCAAAGACTGTAAACCTGTTTGACATCAATGAATCCTCTTGACTGTTACACGAGGAACCCCTTCTGGTTTCGGTATTTGCTCACCATGCCACCCAATCTCGTTAATTGTCCACTATATCTAATTGACAAAAACACTGCGTCAAAACACTGTCACATCACAAAAAATCATGTTGCCAATGTCTCGAGCAAGGCTGCCAAACACTTGCGGGCCTGCCGAAAAGTAGTAACAGACTTGGAAACGGAGCAAAATTGAACAAAACATCCGACTGCTCCGATCTGCCATACAAAAAGAAACTTGTATGGAAAATTTGCTGGGCAATTGGGTTCCGCACATGAAACGTTCTAGCATCACGTGACGTCATGTCACGTGACACCATATACCCGCTAAATTTAGTGGGGAAACCGAATTGGTGTGTGGATCACATGACCTTAATTTTCCCACTAAATTTAGAGGAGAAAATAAATTGCCATATAGATCACGTGACATTGGGTCATGTGATGTCAATTTCCCCACTAAATTTAGCGGGAAACTGAACTGGTGTGTAGCAACTGAATTGGTGTGCAAGTCTGTGAAGTTTCATAATGCAATGCTGCGGGCATTGCATGGTGGGACGTCACAGGCCACGGCTTCACAAAATGCGGCTTCACGAAATCCGGAGCAACTAGCCAAAGAATGCTTCACGTTAAAATAACGGCAAATGCAAAGAAGACGTTCATACCAGTGACTTTGATGTCGATGTCTCCAGGAGCACCGTTGGTGTCAATCTCGAAGGCATTGGCAGAGCCAACCAGTCCCTGTTTGAGGCCGTCGCCACGTGCAACCACGGGCGACGAGCTTGTCCTTGGCGCCGCCTTGGGTTCAATGACCGGCTGTCCATCCCGGATGTCAATCTTGAATGGGTTGCCTGCATAATTACCGGAAAAAACATTCTGAGTGTAAGTCGCAAACTTTCTGGCCTTTAATCATACATAATGGCAATGAGCATCAAACGTTAAGGAACAGCTAAAAGTACAAGCTTTCTTAACCTAATTGAAGTATTACTTTAAGTGCAATAAACTTAAAGTACTTCCCAACACTGACTAAAATATGTGACACCACGCCCCTTCGAACAGAAAATAGTGAAGCTTTTGCTTGTTATTATACGAGTCAAAATGGAAGTGACGATTTTCTTATACTTGTTGTTTCGTAAACATTAAAATATTTTGTCAGAAAAAGGAGTGCAACAAAAAAACCAAGAGTAACTTTCAGAGGCCATAGGAAGCTCCCAAAACAGTGCAAGCACCACGTGACTGATGGCCAGTCACGTGACTGCTAGTTGCCACTTTTCCGCGGGCTTCCACGGGCGCCAACTACAAATTTGTTTCGTGCCATAAATAAAAAAAAAATTTTCCTTGTACACTTTGTTAAAAAGTCTATCCATTCAAGCTGTTAAAAAAATTTTTTTAGGACACAGACAGGGAATTTATGCTCGGCAAGGTTTTATTTGGACATGACCTATAAAAACTCTACTTCCCAGAATACAATTTGTGGCTCAAAATTAACTTCCTTTCCACCCAAAAACAGCCGTTCAAAAACTGGCCAGATTCAGTCGCACTCACTTTCTTTTCCATGGTCATGTAGTGTTCAAACGTACTCCCTCATTATAACAAAATTGCTTTTTTCGAATTATCACCTTTATCGAAGTTCAACGTGCTCCCGACCAAAATGTATGCATTTTTAACCGAATTATTGGGAGTGTATCGGCAGGCAACCACACTTATTACGAAAACCGCAGTGTCAAAAGCATGCAAGCCTACAAGGGGGCACACGGAGACCCTTGCATTCCCACCCCCTTCTCCACCGAGGCAAACGGAACTGAGGGAAAACGGCAAACAAGAAAATGGAGTAAACGGATGACGGAGGGCAGGACGCGCAGAGCGGCGCTTCCAATGCCGATGCACCGATGCAGAGACACGGTCAGGGAGCAGCGGCGCAGCGGGAGCAGCGTCCATGTACCGACGCCGCTCACAGCGCCCGCAGTGGACGCAGGCCGCCTTCTATCAGAATCGGGTCGAGGGAGCGACGGAGCCCAGAGGAGATCATCCCTTCAAGAGCCCCCCGACACGTGCACCTGCGGCGTACTACACGCATGTATGAGAGATGTGGAGTGTTTACCGAAAGTCACTTAGATCTGCAAGGCTGAGAAAAGTGGCCGTCCCAAGTCCAAAAGAGCCGACAGTGTTTGACACTGTCCACCGTTTTGAGACCAAGCAACGTATTGGACGAGTTCAAGAAGTTTTTTGTGCAAAAGAAGGCGTACCCGCGACCCGAAGATGAAAGATTGCCAACTGCTTTGTGAGCATCAGATTTTCTCTCGCGAACGTGCTTGCTGAGTTGGCACAGGATACCCAGACCTACAACAATCTTTACGGGAGTGTGTTAATAAATGCTGGCAAAGCCGCTGAGGATAACTTAGGTTCATTCGCGCTTTTTGATGCGAACGTTCCCGTTGTTGCTCCTGCCACGGATGCTGCAATCGTAGACCTTGCGTGTGGCCAGGGTAAACACAAAGCAACGTTGGAGAGGCACCTCGGGAAATGCCGACGACTGCAGAGACGTGAAACATACTACGGTTGCTCCGAAACAAAGTGGAGTGCAGAGGCGGTGACTGTGTTCTTCCGATGCCTGAAGCAGTTCGAGGAGAACTGATGCCCAGATAAAATTATCGGCAAACTCCACTTAATTACTTTTTAACTTGGTAACGCTGCCGCGAGATATTCATAACCAAGGCTTGTCCGATTAAATACACGGTCAGAGTGTACCGTAGTGTTCCCATCCACCTTCAAAGCTACTGGCATTGCTTTTTGGCTCTATCGCTTTTATTGAATTACGGCTTATATTAAATTTTTTTGCCGTCTTGCCGACTTCGTTACAACGGGGGATAACTATGTACCAAATATGGGTCATCAAGGCACACACTCAATATTACAAATAGAAAATAATAGTAACCTCATTCTTCGTGGCCTCGAAGAAGCTGCAAATGGGTTGATCGAAAAAAGTATGCTGCACAGATCACAGGAGGTACATGGAGACCTCATTCTCAATATGGCAATGTACATGCAGGCTCAACGATATGATGGCGGCACATGACAGATCATGGTTGCAAAGCACGTGGGTCCGCTACTTCGGAACCGTCGCTTGTGGTACCTACCAATCCATCTTCAAGCGCAGAACATCAAGCGGAAGGGATATTAAGTATGAAACAATCGCACGACAAATAGTATGTGCAACTTTGTCGTTGTCGTCGCCTGCATGCCAGAGAAGCGGAGAGAGAAAAACGCGGTCCAGTATAGCCACGTGACTTCCGTATTTTTGGCTTTATTAAATATATATGACTCCGTAGCAAAATATTGCTTGGGCAGTCTCCTGACACCATATTAAATCGCCTGGAAAAAATTAAAAAAAAAACATTTTTGGGGGGTGTTAGTGTCCTTTTAAGTTCGCTATCACAGAGGCAACACTTTGCAAAAAGCACCAAGCAACAACTGCTCAACGTCTCACATTCCCCACCAGGCACGTAGCCAGGATTTTGTTTCGGGGGGGGGCCCGCCCATAACAAAATGCTCTATGAGGGGGAGGGGGGAGAGGAGGTCCCAGCAAAATGGAAGATTTCGGGGGAGGCCCGGGTCTTATGGGCCTCCCCCCTGGGTACTGCCTGTTCCTCTTCAACACTCCGCAGCAGTTACTGACTCGGAGAGAAGCCAGGAAAGAAAGTATCGATTTCGTATTCTAGCACCCGAATTGATGCAATAAAGATGTTTTCTTTCTCTCTGTGTCCCATCCCTGTGTGCCCTCTGCTTACTCACCGGGGATGTCCTCTTCGTTGAATGTGATGTTGACATAGTGTGGAGTCTTTTCCGTGGGCACAAAGGTCACCTCGTAGATGCCGTGACTCTTCATGGCAAACTCGGCACACACTGATGACTTGCGCGTCCGCACCACCAGCTCTAGGGTGCCATTGCCTGCCTGCAGTGCATCCACTGAAACACGTGAAAAGCGAAGGTCATGACAGCAGTACAAAGCTATAGGTTTCTTGCTGACTGCTCAAACAAACAAGCCGTTTTGCTAAGAGAGAATCTGGTGAAGTTTATTGCCACGTGGGCATAACCGACCCAGTAATGAATGCATGAAGCACAGTTGTCAAAGATCTGACCAATATCAGGCGATTCTCCCATCTACTCTAAAATGCAAAGTGCATGGGATACTGGACAATTTAAAAGTAGAGCTGCCAGAAATTTTCAGGCATGGTGGAAACTTCTACGATTAGCATCATGGTACAGCACGCAACACGGTTATCCTGCAATCAGGGCCGTAACCAGGGGGGGGGGTTAGGAAGTTCTGACCCCCCCCCCCCCGAAATTTTTTTCTGTGAACGGCCCTGGTCGGTGCACTTGCAGCCAGTAGATTTTAATCTCCACCTCTGCGCACGCGCAGTGGCGCCGGTCGGCTACCGGGTACCAAACCGGTACCGGTTCGCCGGTTTGCTATAACTCTCCATTATATGCCACCGATGCACATGATTCATAGGCGAAAATAAGACAATAGACATTTTCAAAATGGCCGCCGTTGTCCCCGAAGACCCCCCCCCGAAATTTTTTTCTGGGTACGGCCCTGCCTGCAATACATGGTTGATATCATCCACATCTTTGACGACTACCCACACATAAACAAAAAAAGTTGTCCTGTGAATGACAGAGCGAGCACAAATAAATAAAAAATCCCCGCCACAGAAGTACTACAGGACAGGTTAACCTAATCAAGATGCTGATTTACACAATTCTGGGCTGCAATGCAGACACCAAGCAACTAATAAAAAAATTCTGGTTCGCAACAAAGATACCAAGCAACTGAGATGAATGATTTGTAATTTGGATGCCTGAACTTTGTGCAAACACAGGACAAAGCAAACAAGTTCAATGAGTGGCCAACAAAGCGTTCAACGTGCCTTGAAAGGTGACGGGCTTGTTGACGATTCCAGGGTTCAGACCAGTGACCCGAACTTTGCTTACATCATAGACGTTGCATGTAAAAGGACTGCCTGCCAAGGCTGTTCCGTCGAGCAGCACATTCACCTGGTTTGGACCTGTATAGAGGTTTCATTGGCCAGGGTAAAACCTACGGCATGAACAGACTGTTCATGAGTTTGTCAGTAAAGACCCAATGCTCCCACGGTTGAACCTGTTGGGATATTCTAGGAAGATATCACGTGTCGATCATAAGGTCAGAGGTGCTCGACAGGTACTTGAATAATTAATAGTGGCATTATTAAAAAAAAAAAGTAAAATATAAAAAAATGACAAACAAAATAAGAAATATTTAGGGCACAGTGTACTCCCTTTTTTTTCCTTTTTTTTTAATCCTGGCTACAGGAAGCCTCAAGCAAACGCTCCATTGGTCTGTTACTAAAACCAATAATGCCACTGATTTATAAAACACACAAACCTTAAAACGCACTACCGAACAATACTCAAATTATAATTTAGAAGGGGCTCTCAGAGATAATTAGTGTATTTTCCAGCTAGGCTATAGTCCGCACCCGGTGTATAGTCCGCAGGGGTAAATTTGGAGTCAAAAATAAGTTTTTTTCTTAGATTGTCCGCACGCCGTGTATAATCTGCATCTAGTGCGTAGTGGACACAACAATCTTCTTCTACGGCACACCTTGGCAAATGTCTGCTTTCTTAGCTCACAAAAAAGCTCCTATTATAAATCATTAACATAATCTTTCACTCAGAAAAACCATCATGTCTCGTCATAATGAACGATCATGAAAAACTAAATACCCATATAGTCCACATGCATAGATAGCCCACACAGCCTGGAATTTCAACTTTTAGACATGTATTATAGCACAGAAAATATGGTACATTTACAAGCAAGGGTCTCTGTCTGAGTGTCTTACCATATCTATGTAGAAGACTTCAGGAGTTGTTAATTCAGTGCAAGAGAAACAAAAACTATGAACGCACCAACTTCTGTAGGATGAAACTCGGCATCAAAAGTTGTGGGTGATGTTCTCGTCACAGTGACAGGCACCTTTTTGCCAGAGGGACCTGCAAATTAAAATATTTGAATTAACTTTGGCAATGCTTCACCAGGTGCTCCAAGCTTATTCAGTTCCTCTGTTCAGTATATGTGAAACGAAAAGTTACAAACTAAAGAAGCGTTGAATGCATGTCTTTACACTAAACAAAAATACCACTCATCTAAACAGTCAAAAGCCCTTACAAATATAGACCGACACGCTGTTTACAAACAAGCCCGCTTTTGCCCACACCAGGTGTGGGCACTGCGCGTGCGTAGAAACCAAACTCGCGTGAAGTGAGGCGTCTACGCATGCGCAGTGCCGTCGACAGCGCCACCGCAGCAGCGTGACGTCAGGGCCGCGTGTTGGTCTATAAAATAATGAGACTTATTTACTATTCAAATGACATTTTCTTAAAATTGCTAAAAGTATGGAGAGAAATGCTAACAACACACAGGAGACTAAACTAATGAGGCAGATAATTTGGTACAGGTTCACAATAAAAGCATGAGACTGTGTTGTTCGCCCTTTTTGTTATATTAGTTTCCTCCCTCTGTAAAACTTCACCAACAGAGTTTTTCAGTGAAGAGACAAAAACATGACTCGTCACCGAACCCTAGGCTCAGGTTTCCTTCCTCCACTCACCGACAATGGAGACCTTGCAGTCAGAGGCTTCGGCACCTTTGGAGTCGATTGTGAACTTGGCACCGCGGGTGATGGAGGTGGTCCTCAGCGAAGCACCGCTCACCATCGACTGGGTGTTGTCGCTCACCTTCACGAAGAAGGGGCTGCCTGCACGGACAAAACAGCCACACAAAGATGTCTAGATCCGGCAAACTTTTACACGCAGTTCAGATCACAAACAAATGGAACACGTAAGAGTGCACACTATTTACTTGTGCATCGTGCACCGTCTTCTAAGAAGTTATATCTAGCCCCTTTACAGTACTGTTTTAAAAGGGGAATTCAATTTTATAATTATTTACAAAACTGCTGTGTCCCAATTCCTAGGACATATATACAGTAATCCCTCATTATAATGAAATCAACAGGATGGCAAAACAATTCTATACAGGCGGTAATTCGATAAAAACGAGAGCCTAAACAACCGCAACAGTAGTATTGAAAGTGGACGGAAACACTGTGGAACACTCTGACCGTATACTTAATCCAACGAATCTTGGTTATGAACAAATCGCAACAGCTTTACCGAGTAAAAAAATAAAAAATCCGAGGACGCCTAAACATTTATGAGTTGTGAATGCGAAAGCATGAATGTCGTTCTTTTGCTCCCTTAGTTCGTCTGCGGCGTAGTGGCATGGATGGCCACGTTTTGCTGGCTGACAACCAAGCGCGCGTTCTTATGAAGTGGCTGCACCGCGCTGAGCTCAGGCATGCTCCCTCTCAGGAGTTTGCTTGGGTGGGCTCTACAGCCAGGCACGCAACGCCGCACCCCTTACCGGCGACCGCACTGCTGCGTGCGCAGCACCGACATGGAGAGGGCTACTCTAGTGGCGTACCTTGGAGCTACGCCGCACGAGAGCCAATGAGAACCTCGTTCCTTGATGACGCACGCCAGCCAATGGGAGCCTATCCATCAGATTTCTGCTGCAGACGACATTGGGACAGGGGAAAGGGCCGTTTGGCACGGCTTCAAAGCTGATGACGTCGGATCGCTCCATGAAAGAGTTAATGCTTTCGCATTAATAATTAAGTGGAGTTTGCTGACAATTTCATCTGGGTATCAGTTCTCCTCGAACTGCTCCAGGCATAGCAAGAACACTCACTGTCACTGCAGCTGCACTCGACCATGTTTCAAAACAGCTGTAAAATGTTTTGTGTCTCCGCAGTCGTCGGCGTTTCCAGAGGTGCCTCTCCAACGTCGCTTCATGTTTACCCTGGCCGCACGAAAAGGTTTATGATTGCAGCGTCTGCGGCAAGAACAATGGGAACGTCCACATCGACAAGTGCGAACAAATCAAAGTTATCCCTGGTGGCTTCGCCAACATGTTTGCACACAGTCCCGTAGAGAACATTGTAGCTCAGCTCTGAGGATCGTGCATCTCAGCAAGCATGCTCGCGAGAGAAAATCCGACGTGCGCAAAGCAGTTGGCACTCTTTCATCATCAAGTCGCAGGTGCGTTTTCTCTTGCATGAGAAACTCGTCTCAAACCCATCCAGTATGCCTTCTTTCTTCTGGAAAATGATGGACAGTGTCGAACAGCCGATGCCGGAATGTCAAATTCTTTGGTGATTTTGGACTTGGGCCTGCCACTTTGCTCAACCTCACATATCTAAGCGACTTTCAGTGAACACTCCCATACTTCCATACGACGCACATGTATGCTGCAGGTGCGCGCATCGGGGTCTCCCAAAGGGATGATCTTTTCAAGCTCCATCGGCTATATTGCTTCCCTCCTTCGATTCCAACAAGTCGGGCAGCGTCGGCCGCGAGCGCCGCAAGTAGTGTCGGAACGTGGACGCTGCTCCTTGCTTGAGTTGGCGCATCGGCATCAGAAGTGGCGCTCTGTGCTATCTGCCACCACCTGTTTGCTCTGTCTTCTTGTTTGCCAGTTTCTCAGTGTGCCGTTTGCCTCGGTGGAGAAGGGGGAGGGAACGCAAGGGTCTGCATGCGCTTTCGTGTAAGCTTGCGTGCTTTTCACACCTCGGTTTTCGTAATAACTGTTGTGACATACCTCGTCGCTGGTTGTCTCGGTCACAACTTGCACGCAAGCAATCTCGCTTAAACACTTTATTCTCACGCTTACTCACGCGTAACGGTATCGGCAGTATTGCTGGTATATTTCAGCCCCTCGTTCCTCACCGACCGTCCTCTTTTTCCCCGCTTTTTCCCTCCTCCTTCCAGTACCGCACCGCGGCCCCTGCGCCATCTCTCGGGCTCAGCGCAGAACGGCTACAGCGGTCGCCCATGCCATCCAATAGGTGCGGCCCTCGTTAAGCGCATGCATCATCTGTGCGCTTCCACCGTGGTTGGCCGTCAATACACTTCTCTAAAAGCGGTAATTCAAAGAAAGCGATTTTGTTATAACAAGAGATTACTGTAGTACCGACCCATTTTTTCAAAACATTTCATACTCGTAGGTCTTCACAAGGTACATTGTGTGAAAGGTAGCGAAATCCACCAAAAGCTTTGCTGGGAATTGCCCTTTTTTCCTATGTATAAAGTGTGCTACAAGCAGTATGATTAAGGCTGCAGGTCCAGAGATTTCCACATGTGTGCGACCAATTGCTCTATAACCATTTGTGACCGCTGATGGGGAGAGAACACACTGGGTCCATCTAACACGTCGCCCCAAAAACAGTTCCGATCTACGTTTATTTTCTAATTTTAAACAAATCATTCTTTTACTGCGAAAAAATTCTAACAATATTGTAAACAACCATTTCTCAGATAAATGCGCAGATTTTATATCGTAAATACCGCAAAACTTTCAGGGTAGTTGTGTTCAGGATGTGTCAGCATAAGCAGTCACAAGCAGTTGGAACACACTTGGTCACACTCAAACGCAGGTGTGTGAACCAGCCTTTAATATTTACATTTTAATCCATTCATGGAATTATTCGTCAGGAACAGAACTTGGTGAAAACTGACTTGAAGTCCTCTGCTACATGTCCGCACCATAAAAGATTAAAATCTTTGTTTTCTCTCAACCGGTTGCTCGTGCGACTTGCAGCGCGGCTACTGACCTGGTACGGGCTCCCCGTTGAACTTTACGCTGAGCGTGTGGGTAAGGGGTTCGCTGGGTTTGAAGTTGACCCTGAACTTGGCGTTGCCCTCCGACTGTACGTAGTTGGGCACGTTACGTCCACCCACTGACACGATGATCTCCAAATTCCCTGCACCTGCCTGGCTAGCGTCAACTGCAAAAGTGAATGACGTTTTCTGTACACGAGGATGGAACGACACAATAGAACGAGAGACACAAAAACACAACCAACCAACAACTACTGTTGTAGCATTATCGCCATTCAAACGTAATTCTCTCTTACTATATTTACAGTCGCTGACCGATCCCAATCTTTTGGACACCGATAATTCGGACGTTTGATATTTTGGACCTAAAGGAGGAACCGTGACCTACCCGATAGAAATAGCGCATATTCACGACCAATATTTTGGACAGCTTGAAGACCAAAAGTTTGATTTTTTGGAGAAAATCATTGCAAGCGATCAGCAAGAAAACGCCCCTGAGAAGCGGCCATTTTAGATTCTATGTTGGCTACACATGAATTGGCTTGGTTTGTCAGCGCTACTTAGATACTGCTAAGTCCTACTGCTAAGTGACGCTGTACAGCTTTTTTTTTTCTCCAGCTGCGCTTCGTTATTATCATCGCTGTTGTTTCCACTTTGCTCTGTTCATTCGCCATTGCAGTCATGAACTTGCACCTCTCGTCTCGACCTCATCTGGGTGAATCGTGTTTTCGGGCTACGCTGGCTTGGACGTCATAGCCCTATCTGTTCTTTTGCCGCCGCGATGTGTCACAAAGAGGCGCAGAAAGTACTCGACCATTATGCTAGAAAAGAAGGCAGCGATTCTCCAGCTAACAGAAAGTTTGCCGAACGCAAACGGAGGCGTAACCTAAAAACATGGTGGGCAGGCGTGACCTGAAGCAAGGCACTATTTCTGGCTTTTCTAAGCCCGCTTAGACGTAATAAAAGCAAGTTTTTTCATCTGCTGATTTTTCGGACTGCTCTATCATTCAGATGTTTTTTCGGTCCCTGTGAAGTCCGGAAAATCAGTCGGCGACTGTATATAAACGTAATAAGACCTTTGGTAACTGCATTTGCTGTTCAGAAGCTAATAAATATACTGCATGTCCCCCTCCAAAATATATTTCTTCACCACAAAAATAGACTATGCTCGTCGAACGCTCATTCTCTGCCCAAATGTGGACCAAACCAGATGCCAAGGTTCCAGAACGAACCATTATCTCAATCACAAGTTATAACTGATCTTCTGAAAACTCCAATGGGAAAAAAGGCTCGTTTACGCCAGTTTTCGGTAACTGGCGCCATTCAGCTTCACGTATTCGAGAGCTCCATCAGCCACCATTTTCCCATTAAAAACTTCAGAAAATCACTTGTAACTTTTGAGTAACATAACGGTTAGTTCTGAAACTTTCGCATCTGGTTCAGGCAGCAAGTACTACTACACTAGGTCGGAAGATCAGCGTTCGGCGAGGCAGTTTATTTTTCCGGTGGAAAAAAAACCCTCAAAATTTGTTTTCGAGACACCATCCATATCGTATCACATTCATTGGTCTCACAAGCTCTTGCATGCAAAATAACAATTAGGTATATAACAGATGCATGCTGCCCGTTTCGTTGGTTTCAAGCTGAGCCACGGACGCGAAAGTGTGTAGGGTTCGCTTCTAAATGATTGCATTTCGAATCTTGACAACCATAGCAGTGCACCCCAGGTGTTGAGCAAGTGAAACCCCAGGTGTCGAGCAAGCAAAGCACAAAGCTGAATGGGAGGAAATGTTTGGTCGTTCCACGACTACAACCAGTAAACCCAAAAGGCGTCCATTTCTAAGAGGAGTCGAGCAACCGAGGTACAGTCAGGGGCACTCACTGCTGAAGTAGACAGGCCGGCCGACCGTGCCGCTGCCGATGTCGGCCACCCGGACCTTAGAGGCATCGTACACTTTGCTCATGAAGGGGCTTCCAGCCAAGCTTTGGCCTCCCAGAAGGATCTCCACGGCGTGGTCGCCTGGCGAGAGAAAAAGCAAGAGATGATCGACTGGGGTGCACTGAAGCTTTGTTGTGTGCAAGCACACAAAGCACGAGAGGATCTGCCAGAGCCACTCCGCGTGCCACGAGTGACTCCGCCGCTTCTACTCCGAGCCTCCTCAAGCTTGGATATACATTTTTTATCATGCCCCGGTTCGGTAAAGTTAATGGCTCATCGCGCAAAGCCTATATTATGTGTTCTATCTCGTTCGATAGATAAAAAGTATGAACTAATGTTGCTTGCGGACGTAAGTGCCGTTTACAGGGATGAAATTGAAGCGCATAAAATCAAGAGGGGGGCCAAATGTGGGCATTCAATCCTCATTTCTCTTCCTCTTCTAACCAGTCAATGTCATCAAATCTCAATTCGTTGCGCTACGAACTGATCCATCCATGCAAAAGCAGCCAAGGTCCGTCATTATGAGAAACAAGTAAAAGCAAAAAAACATGACAGAAGAGAAATGGACATGTAGGCATACCGATACTTGTCCTTCGTGTTTTCATTCTCAAAAGTTTTATTCAAGCTACAGGTGGCCTCCCACGTCTGATGAATCTTTGTCAAAAGGTTGTTTTCTAACAAAGTATAATAGTTAAGTGAGAGTGAACGGTCGGAATAAATATATTTTATGAAGAAACAATTGAAACAAATTATTCAATTATTAAAATGCTTGACAAAATGTATTGTCATATTACTGGTTTATGAAGAACTATGAAAATATTCAATTATTAAAATGCTTGACAAAATGTATTGTCATATTACTGGTTTATGAAGAACTATGAAAATATGCACTATATTGATATATCGTTTGAGGCTATTAATTCAAGTTTCCCAGTAGTTGAGATATCACCCAGCATAAAATACTACTAGCATACATACTATCAAAGTCATATATAATAAATGACTGGAGATACAATTGCGATCAAGTTCCTGACAATTAAGCTATATAAGGCATAACTTGTTCTATTGAAGACAAGCTGAATTAGATAAAATATAATCAAGGAACCCATGGTATATTTATACAGTTGAACTCCGATTTAACGAAGTGACCGGGACCCGCCATTTATTTCGTTAAATCGGGAACTTTGTAAAATCAAGGAAGGGAGACCTCGCGCATAGGCTGTGCGGGGAATCCAAATTTGTTCGTTAAATCGGAAAATCCGTAAAATCGGGTTTCGTTAAATCGGGGTTCAACTGTACCAGTTTCCAATATTAAAATAAATAAGGATGCAACTTACAGTACATGGCCTGGGTGAATCATGTATTTGTATCAGCAGAAAAGTTGCTTTTCAATTATTTAACCCGTGATACCACAGGCAACAGTGGTACCGCAAGTAATGTTACCACTCACGTGGCATTAATCGGTTAATATATACATGATTGAACAAAAAAAAAGAAAAGCGGTGCCCTTAAAAAAAAAAAAAATCTGCAATCAGTACGGCTAGCATTTCTACATTAAATACTCCAGACGCTCAGAAACCATCCAAATTTGAATACTGTCAAGACCGGTTATAACGAAGTCAACGGAAATCGGAAATCACTTCGCTATATCCGCTATTTCGTTATAACCAATTTCGGTTATAACAAAGTGCAAAAGGGACTGGGAAATCATGATCGCTTCGCTGTAGCCGCTATTTCGTTATAACCGACTTCGTTATAACCGGTCTCGACAGTAGTCGGTAATTTCAATTCTCCAAGGCAACTTCCTCTCTAAAACTTGGAAGAGCAAAAAGCTATCGATTTTGATTGGAGGACATACCGACTTCGACGGGCGTGTACTCCACCCGGTAACCCCCGTGGTGATTTCCAGTCACATGCGTCTTCAGCGGGCTCTGGTTCGGTCCTGCGGTCAGACAAAAACAAGGAAGCACAAGGAGTTTAGAATGTAAGAACAGTTTTGTCCCAAACATACATTCATTCTGACAAATAAAAAATAAAAAAAGCAAACTGCTAACCCACCACTTTAAAAAGAAAGACAGAAGCAAGCGCAAGCCCCACTTAATGGCAATCAAATAACAAGTAAACAGAATGCAAAAGCATCACCACAGGGCATTGCAAGGTCAAGGGCTACGAAAGGACATAATTTGACCTCCGTACTGGCCACACGCCGTGTAACTTACACATGCTCGTTCCCCCAACGTATTTTCCAGGCTATCGAACTTTTCGCCTCCCTGCTTTAACCGAACCAACTCCTAACGACGACCTTGAGTAATAAGACAAATTTGATTAAGAAATAAAGAAGGGGGCACACGAGACAGACGGGCCATCCATTGACTCGGCCTCCACAAGCCAGCAGCAGATGAGATGACAGTCTCGCGAACAGGGCGGCAGGCCGTTCTGCTCCCAGCAGGAGTAGACGTAATAACGAGCCCTTTACCCGCAAGAAAAAGGAATGGGCAAGCAAGCAAAACAGCCGGCAAACAGACAAAAGAAATCTGGCATTGTGAAAGAGCCCGAGGGGGAAGAGGCAAGGGGGAGAGTTGGTCGTGCTACGGCGATCACACTATTATGTGGAGAGAAGGTGGGGAGAGGGTAGTCTAGGTCCCTTGCAAGCAGAGAGCGTAACGCTAGAGCGACCACGATGCTTGCAGTAGACGTTCCTCAGAGCGGCCGAGGCGGAACGCTGCACACACCTTGTTTGCCTCAGCCTTCTCTCTCTCTCTATCTTTCTCCCTTTCTCAATTCCAATCCTGTAATGCCAGAAAGAGCAGCACACATTCTCCCCTTGTCGGGCATACCCGACATCTGTTTCCTGGATCTTTAGCCTTTGCAAACAATATGCAAACCCCCCCCACCCCCCCCCCCCATCCTCCCCAGGAAGAAATTGATAAGAATCAAAGAGTGCGCCGCAAAGTGGTCGGTGGTGCATTGCATGCGTGCAATGCGACCGTGTTCTCCTTTTCGTTGCGAGAGACGAGCTGCTCCAGTTGGTGCTGAGCAGTCACGCTTCTGCCATGTTGTGCTTACCCTCCTGTTCTTCAAAAATATGTGGTGTCCACTTAAAGTCACAGCTGATATTGTCACACTAGTGCTAGTTAGGCCACATATCTCTCCGGTTTTCACTGAAAGCTGCTCATAAACTTTCTGTGGTGATAAAAGAACTGCTAATAAGGCTGAGAAATGCCAGTTGCCCGACGCATATCCTTTCACATGTTTTTGCTGAGTTTTGCAGCTGCGATCTCTGCAAGGTCCTTTGTCTAACTCCAGAAATGAAGGTCCTGTAGGCTGTGTCTCTTTGAGAAGTTTGAGTACCATACAATGTGATATGTAATGTAAAGCTCACTGTCAGCATTTCTCCCCTGTCATGATCGTTTGCCCTTATGGAATACACTTGTCACGTTAAGAATCACAAAGAAATTCCGATAATTCAGTGTTCACTGAAATATATGTTCAGAGTAGCTGCCAGTTTGTGCATGTTTCGCGGTATATTCAAGCATTAGTGGAGCAAACGACCAAGACAAACAGCACATACCAAGTATAGAAACCGAGAACTGTCCCACGTCGTGTCCGTGAGTGTCCACGACGAAAGCAGCGGGCCGTCCCACTGCGACTCTCTCAATGCCTTCACCCACCACCTTGATCTTGGACAGATCAGCCACTTGACACTGGAACGGACTCCCTAAGAACAGTCGAAAAAAAAGCATAAAGCATCACACAAGAATTATACATTGTTTCAGGAAAAAACAGTTAGGGCGCAGGCGAGCTGGTGTAGGTTTACCATTTTTTTAGACCACCTGAGACTGGGTGGAAGAAACAAGATGACGTCTTGTTTCTGCAGCTACTTTGGCTGTGCAGCTATAGTAGCTCGGTCAATATTTCTTCCGTTAGTTTTTTTTACCTTTCATAGCAGAACACTTCCTGTTCTTTCTTTTCTCTTTGTTCAGAGAATCTCAAACATTCTGATCTCGAGAAACACCTGTGTCTTATTTGATGGCTGAGGAAACCCCTCTTGGTCTTTGCATCGATGCAACACATTAGCACAGAATTGTGTACAGACCTTGTAAACAGTAATGCGCATACTATTGAATGTAATTGGCACATAGTAAAGTACCAATGGGTGGCTCAAATCTTCTAAAACCAGGCTTAAACCAGAGGAACACTTTACTTAGGAGCAGGGATAACCGAGTAAATTTGGCAGCTCGGGGAACCTTGAGGCTGCTTTGGTAAACCACTGAGTTCTTAGCAACTCGGTTTGGGAAAACAAGCTACTGTATACTGTCGAGACCGGTTATAACGAAGTTGGTTATATAACGAAATAGGGGGTACAGTGAAGCGATCACGATTTTCCATTCCATTTAGCACTTGATAAACCGAAGTCAGTTATAACGAAATAGCGGATATAGCGAAGTGATTTCCGATTCCCGCCGACTTCGTTATAACCAGTCTTTACGGTACTTTGATGCAGATTTTATTAACAACAATATTCTGAGAATTTCCAAAAGTGACAATTTGTGGGGTATTTTGAGAGAGGAAAATTTCTTGGTCGGAGCTAAACTCGCCTGTTAAGAGGCCATGAAACAATTTTTCTACTTTCTCTAAATACTACTTAGAAACACACCCTAATGTTAATAACTGAATAAACTTGCCTTAGCCTGTCTTATTTCTAGGCAATGGCAGTCGCCAAAAAGATTTGAGAAATATGAGCATTGTTCATCCTCTTAACTCAAAGCCAGTACAAGCTGCCACATCGCCTGGTGCCTATCGCATGCCGCCAACTTTTATCATAGCCACGAGCTTGGATTGGCAAAGTAAAAGACGTGTGCTGAGCTCCAGGCATTGTTAGAGTTTGGTTATTCTCATCACCACAGTGGCATAGACACGAGCCACTACTCGAACGTCCGCCGAGGCATTGATTGTTACGAGCCGAAGTCGAATGCTCACGCAGTTCTCGTGTCCAATTCATGAGTTGTGCTCAACCGTCGTCACGCGGGTGGTTCGGTCCTCCAATTAAGTTATCAAGCTTTCCGAAGGCAAGACTGAAATAGTCCCCTTTTATTAATAATGCAATTTAATACAAAGGTGCAAGCGAGCTGGACAAGAGTGACGAAAATAATCCCTGGAGTAGGGGAACAAGAGGGACAAAGGACAAAAACAAATCTCCAAACACAGCTAGGTGACTGATGTGCGACCGAAAAAATCCGTCTGGTCCTGGTATTGAACCCAGGACCTCTCCATTTTAAGTGGGGCGCTCTACCAACTGAGCTAACCAAGGGGTTAGATGTCAGTAGAGCAAACGGGTTTTATCAGCTGCCACCAGTCTAACACCAACAAGAGTGAGGGATTATTTTCGTCGTTCTTGCCCAGCTCGCTTTAACCTTTGCGTTTAATTGCATTATTAATCATAACCTTAAATTGCAAGCTTACCCTTGTTGGTGCTAAACTGGGGGCAGCTGATAAAACCCGTTTGCTCTACTGACGTCTAACCCCTGGTTAGCTCAGTTGGTAGAGTGCTCTACTGGAAATGGAGAGGTCCCAGGTTTGATACCCGGACCAGGTGGATTTTTTCGGTCGCGCACCAGTCACCTAGCTCTGTTTGGAGATTTGTGCTTGTCCTTTGTCCCTCTTGTTCCCCTTCTCCAGGGATTATTTTCGTTGCCCCTTTTATGCTCGCACTTTCACTGCGACAAAGAAGCTTCTGAATCAGTGGCGGTCTGTGCAAGTGTACTTTGGCCAGACTAGGACCAGTTCACTTCTGCAAAGTCATGTACATTCCAACTTGATCATGTTTCTTGACCCCTTTAACTCAATTTCGTGTACACCGTATTTGCTTAACCAATTTTTCACCAAAAAAAAATTTATTGTGCACGTCCATGAAAATTATGTCATTGAAAAATGTACAGGATTTCTTGCATGCATTTCTGGACTGGTGTAGCCTCTTATGAATGTTGTTGAGCCCTCAAAACATCCCCATCTGTTCTTCTAAATTATGGGTCCTAAAAACAGGTCCTCTTGAGAAGCTCCTTATGGCAATAAATGTCAAGAGTTGTTACCATATGCCACACACAAAGAAACCTCAGTTCCGTCTTTCCTAGTTACTCATGATATTCAAAAATATGTAGATCAATGAACCATACTTGACAAAATGGAACAAAGGTAACGAAGCCGCTGAAAGAAAAAATTTTAACGGCGCACGATGTGCACTAGTTTCGTTCAATTTTCCTGCACCTCCTGCACCGGTGCAGAAAAGTGTAAGGCAGTGCGCTACCGGTATGTGTATACAGGTAAGACCGGAAGTATACCGTCCTACACTTTTCTGCACCTGTGCAGGCGGTGTAAGTAAATCGAACAAAGCTATAGTATGCAGCATGGTTAGCACAAACACGTATATGACATCAACGCTTCTGTGCATCTTACTAAAACGAGAAAACAAATTCCAAATTTTACCATCAAAATAGCAGTTTTGATGTGGGCTAGGGGCCTGGGGCCACTCATTTGCAAGAAAAAACAGAAAAAACTCAATATTTCCGTCAACTCTGTCATGCTCTGTACCCAATCCTGGTCGGCATTATCTTAGGGGACTGGTATATAACTAAAATTGATGATAAACAGAAGAGCATATACCTAATTGTCATCAGTGATAGGTTGACGATTCCATTTTCTTACGGCCCGTGCTCAAGGTTGAAGGTTTCGAACACTCATGAAACTAGCAACAAGACAGGTCCACGCACCTGGGACGTGCTCGCCATTGAAGCGCACATCAATGACATGGGGTCGGTCGTCTGCAGGAGTGAAGGTGATGGCGTACTGAGTCGGCGACTGCGCCTGGGCTGTTGTTGACACCCTGCCATTGTTCACCATCACTTCCAGGTTGCCTGGACCTGCATGCGCAGTCTCCACTGCTCACCAAAAGAAAAAGCAACAAAGTTAGATGCTTTCCAGCAAACAAAAAAGGGGAAGGGCAATTCAGGTTTTTGATATTGACCTGCCTAAATTCGACCTGCCATCCCTACCATCAGACAAGCACTTCATTTCATCAAAATTAATCTGAAATGGTAATGGTGGTTACTGCAACTCGTCTGATTGTGTCTTAGGTTTACTTCGATGCCTTGTACTAAAGCAGTAAGGGTAGATGTATAAACAAAGAGCATACTTTTTATATTACTTTCATTCGTTTACCATTTATTATACACCAAGCATGAGGCCGTGACATAAGGGCATACTACGAAAATGAAATAATGTAGAATACTACCGGGTGATTCAAGGAGACGGCAGGCTCTTTAAATTGACCGCAAAATTCGGTTTCTTATCCTATCGCGCTACGAATTTGTGCAGCGTTGCCCACAGATGGTGCATTTTTTTTGTAAAATTTGCAAAGAGCAAACTTACCTGAGGAAAAAGTAAAGAAGGAAAAAGGTTTAGCTCCTATGGAAACGCAGCGAAGCCACCGGTTTTTAAACAACACGGCGCCGTTTCGCACGGGAGACAAGAGATGGCGCAAGCGGTCGCGACGCCAACTGCCACCAACGAACGAGCAGATGACGCCGAGAGCCGGCGTTTTTAGCAGACAAGCAACTGCAGTTGCTTGTTGTTACCGCGCTTGTTTTTGTTTCTGCGACTGTCGCCGTTTGCGGAACGCGCGCCGCTTTTGAGTCGAAAAGATAGTCTGCTAAAAACGCCGGCTCTCGGCGCCGTATGCTCGTTCGTTGGCGGCGTTCGTTGCGCCATCTGTTGTCTCCCGTGCGAAACGGCGCCGTGTTGTTTGAAGACCGGTGGCATCGCTGCATTTCCATAGGAGCTAAGCCTTTTTCCTTCTTTACTTTTTCCTCAGGTAAGTTCACTCTTTGCAAATTTTCCGAAAAAAATGCACCATCTGTGGACAACGCTGCACAAAGTCATAGCGCGATAAGTTAAGAAACCGAATTTTGCGCTCGATTTAAAGAGCCTGCCGTCACCTTGAATCACCCAGTAGCATGAACTTATTAAAACACAATAAATTAGTTATGCCATGTAACTTGTTACTTCCTGACCAAAAAAACGGGATCCGTGACGGAAACAATTGACTTCGGAAGGTTGTCTCAAACAAAATTTGTAGTGAAAAACAAAAAGCAAGTAAAAGAGAGGGAGTTTCCTCTTCAAATTATGACTGTGGGCGATGCGCAATGATGATCTACAGAATTCAGGTTGCACGGCACGACAAAAACGAAGTGCAGAACCAAATCATAGTACCAAGTGCATTCAGGAGTACAGTTCAGAGGAATTAGAAAAAGAAAAACAAGCTGCCCGTTGGCAAGAGGGGCACTCACCCACAAAGGTGACAGGCTTTCCCACAAAGCCCTTGGGGATGTCACGCACCTTGATCTGACGCGTGTCAAACACCTTGCACGTGAATGGGCTGCTGGGGATGGGACTGCCCAGGTGTGACACATGGACCTTGTGCTCCCCTAGAACCAGACAGTGCCAATGCCGTCAGTATACAGTTGAACCTCGATGTAACGAAGTCGGTAAAATTCGCAATTTACTTCGTTACATTGAAATTTCGCTAAATCGAAATTTGGCTTTAGCATGCGAAAAAAAAAAAAAAAATTCCGAAACATTTTACGGGTATGAAAACTCACCGAAAATGACATTTATTTAGGGGCAAAGTAGTCCGCGAGTTTTGCTTGCGCCTTGTCCGACAGTAGCAGCGGCGTCGGCGGCGTCATACGGCGTTCGAGCGCCCAGAGCGCTTGCACGGCATCTTGCTGCCCATGCGACGCCGTGTACCTCCTCAGTACGTCCATTGCGTCGAGCACTTCCCGAGTCCTCGTGATCTCGGCAGTTTCTTCAGGATGGCGTCCAAAACGTTTGCTTTCTCATCCAAAGAAAGAACTTTACGTTTCCTTATGGCAGCAAGCACGTAAGTGAACCGCCCGGTTAAAAAATAGAGCTGTTTAGTTTAGGCGGTGCCAATGTTTCCAACCTACACAGCACTCTTGACTGCACAGTTTACTTGCCCCCTTGCGCCCACAGTGTGCTTGCGCCTTTGCTTTACATCACTCTCGCAAGACGATAATCGGTCTTTTCGGTCTTCTCCTAGATGGCACTGCCCGTGCGGTCGCGCGGTCGCGCCATCACGTCGCTCCCCCGCTGAAGTTGGCTCCCGCGCTACCCGCGGTACAGTGGACTATGATGATCAGTGAATGTCAGTGGTGATGCTGTTATGCCGTGTAAACTTTTTGCTCGGCATTTTCTGGCCAGCCTCGCGGGATCCGCTTTGCCGCATGCCTCGCCGGCGCTACCGGCGCCGCATCCTCGGGCAGCCTAGGAACGTTGGAAGGCCTGTCCCCGTGAAGTAACCTATCAAGCGCTCGCGTTTGCGCATAATTTTTTTTTTTAACCACAATTTTTTTGCGAAGTTGTTTTTTAGAGTTGATTTATTTATTGCCTTCTATGGCAATGGCGCTTCGTTATATTGAAATAGCAGCAAAATAGACTTCGTTATATAGGGACTAAAAATACATGGGGTCTATGGGCAAGAAATTATGAAAAATAAAATACTTCGTTAAATCGAGGATTTCGTTACATTGAAGTTCGTTATATCGAGGTTCGACTGTATTGTCTTTTCAAAAGGAATTTCAGAATGCCTGGCTTCCTCCACCCAGTTTAGAAAACTTTCTTTGGCTAAATCACAAAAAGTGTGAGCCCCACCTGTAACACCGACTGTGTTCTGAAAATTTATAGAATGTCTAGCTTTTAGTACGGCCCCAAACAATTATCTTTTTGAACTGGGAGCAACCACTGATACGTTGGCCAACAAATACCAGCCCTGGTATGTCGTCTTTGTCCTTGATCTCGACTTTTGCAACCATTGATACGGTGGCCAACAAATACCAGCCGTGGTATGTCGTCTTTGTCCTTGATCTTGACTTTTGGATACAAAGGTAAGCTCCTTTCACACGTGTGTTGAAATATAGTTGTGCTGAAGTGACATCTTCGTGAACATCTTCGACACACCACTCCTTGGCTCAATTCCCTGTCAGTTGCCCGACTTTTCCAGGTTTGTTGCACTTTCCCCGACAACCCCAGGACTTTTTCGTGTTGTCTATTGAGGGATGCGCAGGTGGTGGACATACGTCATTAATTCCTGTTAGCCTAGCTTGTAATCTTGACAAAATCCAAGAGAATGAATAGATGGGTGCAAGACTGCAGCGCAGTTGAGACAATTTAATGAGTCCCATAACCACGGTCCTTAGATAAACTATTTACTGGTCTGGAAACTTAAGCTGTTTTCGCCCTAGTCAATTCTGTCTCCTCAAGCGGTACTGATGCAAGGAGGAATGAAGAAAAGTGAAAAGAAATGAAAATATTAAACAAGTAAAAATCCCGAAAAAGCTCGATAATGCCTTTAAAGCAGGTGCAGCATCATTCACATGGCATTTCAATTATTTTAAAAAATTATGACCCTCAGGTTTCAAGTATAAATGGCGTTTCCAATCGTCCATTTTTTCGAAGGGTCCATGGGGCTTGATGAAACAGTAGACGCACCTAGCACCTTTCATCACCGTGGCTTCTCCGAACTCATGTTCAGAATTCCGTTAGGTCCACTGAGCGGTCCGACTGGTTGAGTCCTAATATTTGTCCCTTTCCCTAGGGAAGACTTCCCCATAGTGTGACAAAAAGATTCCAGATCAGGTAATCCAAGGACCGTGCCATAACCTAAAGGATAAAAAAGGTTGCCTCGAGATGCTCACCTGTTCGAACAGGGGAGAACTCCACCCTTAGGTTCCTGTCTCCGATGTCCTTGAGCGAACAAGGCACTGGAGAACCCTCAGGTCCTGAAGAGAGCCCAAAACAAGCACACACAATAACTTTACCATCGTGCACTCCATGTTCTCCAACTCAGCAACAAAATTGAGTGACTTGCCCAACAATATACTCAAATGCAAACTGGCAAGATTCACCAAAAAAAAAGATATGACATGAGAAGTTTTAATTAATGAGCCGAGAAACTGAGGAAGAGGAGGAGACGAGAGCGCACAGGGACGTCAGAACGCCGAGCTCTGACTGGAGTGACTAGTGGGTAGACGTAAAGCTAGCTGCCCTCTTTACACGCAGAATGTGAAATGCTGGACGCCGGCATTTGGCAATCAAACGCGTTCAAAGTGTGAGTGAAGACAAAGGCAGCTATCATCATGTCTACCCACTAATCATTCTAACCAGAGCTCGGCGTTCTTACGTCCCTGCACGCTCTTGTCTCCTCCTCTCCCTCAGCTTCTCGTCACATAAGAACTCAGCAGTATTTACGCATCAAGAGACAGTTACAGTTTGATCCTAAGAATGGCGACTTCTGAGAAACGTCATTCTCGATCCAGAATGACAATATGCAATGCCACCATTGACTGCAAGAACGAACGAAGCACCTTCAGCACTTGCCAGAATGTCTCAACATGTCTGCATCTTTCATGTCAGTCATTCTCACAGCCAATGGGAGGCCGGGACATCCTCTGGAGTTCCGTTGAGCTCAGCTCGAGTTACGTAATTACAGCGAGAGACTAGATTTGCTCAGCTGTATGATGAAAATAACGAAACACAAACGAGACCCACCTTCGACCCTGACTGAGAGGTCCTGCTCTCTTCCACCTGCATTCTGGATGACGAATCCAACGGATTTGTCCACCGAAGCTGCCGCCAGCGAGGAAAGGTCCGTGGCTGTAACCTTTCCACCATCCTGCACCTTCACCTTGAAGGGACTCCCTGGAAATTAGCAGAAAAAGAAAACACAGGAAAACATTTCAGATGATTGACCTAACATCTCACGCACGCACAATGCCTAAGCTGCGAACTACAAAGATCCTAATATTATCCCAACTTTTTTATGCTTGGCTAGAATATATTCATTCAAATGCTATTCCAAGCATCTTCATAAGTTTGACTCCAAAAAGAAGTAGGCAAGCAAAACAGAAAAAGGTATGGGGGGACATGGGTCTTTGGAGCCAAAAACTTCCTAAAACTGCATTCTTTTGAAAATGGCGATGGCTGTTGTTTTTCTGAATCTACCACGCTTTTAATTTCGTGGATGAATATTCGAGCTATAAATCAATTTATAATGTCTATGCGAGCTGAATGTGCATTAAAGTTGACTCTAAAACATTGTTTTCTCATAACACAATTTTTGGACTCGTTGAAAATTTGCAGGAGGGATATCTCAGCATCTACAGCAGTCAGGAATATAATGTTTCTTGAAATGTGTTGCTAAAAATGAAACATAAAATGCAGCTAAATACTGAAAATCCAAAAAACATATTAAGACTCATACACTTAGAGTGCACCAACGTCTTTTCTCATAATATTTTTTTTAGATAGAATTAAGGAGGTAAGTGACTTACCCACCATTTTACTCATAAATCTGGTGAGTTCCACGCTTTAAAAATTACCACATTTTCCGGTGTATAGTTCACGGGCTATACTTGTCTAAAGAAAGTATAGTCGGAGTGCAGGTGAGCTAGTGTAAGTTGAACATGATGGTATGAGGCTGGGGCAGGAAAACGAAAACATAAAGGAACACCAGAAAAGAACAGGCAACATTTCAAATTCAGCTACCCCAGTTTCAAGTTTACCACCATGTTCAACATGTTTAAAAGTTGAGATTTTATCCGATGCAGACCATCTACATGAGCGGACTATACAAGGATTTGATTTCTTTTTCTAGATGGTTCACTGTGACAAGATGTGAAGGATTTCATAAATGATAGAGTATCTTAATGTTGATTTATTTAAGATTCAAGCTTCTCTGTGAGCTAATACAGTGGGCATTTGTCAAGGTGTGCTGCGTATGATAATTTTTACGTTCAGACTAGGCACTAGGTGTAGACTATGCATGGCGAGCGGTCTATGCACCGAATGCGGACTATCTAAGCAAAAACTTATTTTTTTACCACAAATCAGGGATGGGCAAAATACATGCAAATATGTATCGAAATACAAATACAAAATACTTCATCAAAAATGTATTTAATTACAAATCTAATTACATTTCCAAAAAAGCATTTAAGTACAAGATACAAATACAACCAAATGTATCTGGTCTCCTCCGAATACTTTTCCAAATACATTCCTCAAAATTTGTGTCAGCGACTTCAGGGCACCTGCAACGGGTTTCTGGGTATCTCATTTTAATTTTGCATCGCACATTCTGGAGTTAGTGTGCGAGGCTCTAGAAGCGTAATAGAAATATAATCACAAAAAAATGTAATCAGCTCTGACGTAATATGTGAAAAAAGTACAGAGCTTCAAGCAGCTTTTTTGTCGATTACATTTTGGTATAGACCAACAAAGAACCGAGACGACCAAAGCGCGCAGCACTAGCTAGAGAATTTTTTATTGTTGTAACTCGCACCAGTTACAAAAATATGGACCCGCGCATTTAGAATGTTCCAGGCAAAAATATGGATGGAAATCAGGCTGAAAAAGCATCACAAGTTGTCACAGGCACTTATTTAGCCAGTCTGCCTGTGAACGTCGATTTCGTCACTATTCTTGCCCTGGACTAGCACCGTAATCACAAAGTCACTAAATGCTTGTGCTTGATTGAGAGACACTGCATTTGGTGCAGCGCCTTTAAAATAAAGCCGGAGGAGAAAAATAAAATAGCCCCATGGCCGAATAAAGGATGGAGACTATATCTTACAACCACATGCATAAAAACAAGAATTGTCGTGACCATAAACTTGAGGGATGTATTTTCGCCCACAAAATTGTATTTAGTTACAATTGTATTTTAAATACCCACGTTTGAGTATCTAAATACACACGTCAAATACATTACCCAATTTGTAATTAAATACAAATGCAAAATACACAAAGTATTTTAAATACTGCCCATCCCTGCCACAAATTTGCTTCTGCAGACTATGCAGACCCGGTGCGGACCCCAAAAATATGGTATGAACACTAATTAATCAAAGTAAAAGAAGTTGTTTTATGGTTTGCTTAAAAGCACGGACAGTACCTGGCACAGGTTCTTTATTGAAGCTGATGCTGATCACATGGTCCGACGGATCACTGGGGACAAACGACACGGCAAACTTGGCGCCCCCCATGGGGTGGACCACGGTGGGAACGTCTCGGCTGCGAGATGTCACCGTGATGGCAAGGTTGCCTTCGCCGGCACAACTCACGTCCACTGCAAGAATAACACCAGGGTGAAGCCGCGCCTCCTATCGGCACTTGTTTAATTTCGTCCATGCCTACACACGACACACCTCATTCTGACAGGTTACCTGCAACCTGTTAGTCAGAGTCTGAATTTAGAGATCATAAAGATTGCCAGAAATATCCTTAACATATTTATTATTTTATCATTAAAAGACATTAGTTTTAAGAAATGTAGGCTATTTGCATGGAGTGTGACAGGTGAGTAAAACTTCTCAGGTACAGAAATGAGAAACAGGTGCATCAATGTTAAAATATGGGCTGTTGTCATGTGCTGTGTATAATATATTTACTTCTACTTTTTCTCACTTTGCAACAACGCCGTTTTCTGTAAGTTTTTCAGTCAAGAAAAGACGACTCATACTTAAGGATGGACTATTATTCTTTCACTGTAAAAGAGCTTGAACTAAAGAAACTCATTGACTGTGCCATACAAAAAAACTTTTTGTTTTGTTTTGCACAGTTAATTAGTCTCCTTAGTTCAAGCTCTTTAACAGTACTGAAAGCATCATAGTCTATCTTCAAGTATGAGTCATCTTTTCTTGACTGAAAAACTTGCAGGAAACAGTATCGCTGCAAAAAAGTTGTAACGAAAGGTAGCGTTATGTGCAATGCATGTAAACAGCCCATTATCTAACATTAGTACCAGTTTCCCATTTTCATACATACCGGAGAAGTTTTACTCGCCTAACTACCACACTCCAAACAAATAGACCAAAATTTTTGAAAACTAGTGTCTTTTGATAAAACAATGAGCTGGCAAAATGGCTACGGTATACAGAGATGTCCAAAAGAAGAAAGGACACAGTAACAAAACAAACCGTCTCAAAAGGCCTATCACAGTGACAACAAAACTTGCTTCTTTTTTCCTGATTAAAGATTAAAACAGCGCAAGGACACGGACAAGAACAAGAAGGTAGACAAACAAGGCGCTGTTTTAATTTTGTTTGTCTACCTTCTTGTTTGTGTCCTTGCGCTGTTTTAATCTTTAATCATGAAATACCAACTAGCCCAAACTTCTACTTTAGTCAACTTCTTTTTTCCAAGTGGATGAAGTCAAGAAGTGCAAAAAAAAGTGGAAATATTTTATTTGAAGGAGCCTAAATCGTTTGATTATTCGTGAAAACATTTAAAGCCCGAAGATAATTTGTCACTTAATCAATGGCCTTTAATGAAGATCTAGTGCCGTTTTGAAGATTATTTTCAAACTCACCCGTAAACTGGACAGGCTTGCCCAACGTCCCCTGAGAAACTGCACTGACATCAACCTTGCGGGCATCATATGCTTTGACCACGGCCGGCGTCCCAGCAAGAACTTTTCCTGCAATCTCTACTTGGACCATGTACTGACCTGCACGTTCAGCATGATTGCATCACTCGGTCACGTCTCCAAGATGTTTACTGATGGCAAAAATCACCCTTCAGTCTTTGTTCAGCAAACCCATATCCCAATCTTAAGTGAATCAACTAGTAGGACGATGAGTGGACTCTGTTGCCCAGAGACTCTTCCTGTTAAATAATACCACATTTAATATGATAGGAATATTTTCTACAAACCATCTGTTCACAACTTCCCTTTCTTCTAATAAAGATGGCAATTCCACCAGTTTACGGTACTCTCAATGCTCAAAACTTCACAAAATCCACATTTGGAGAGTGCTGCTGTAGTGCACCACAAGGCCCACACAGCTTGGAGTTACAACATCTGTTCCAAACAAAATCTCCAGTGGTGGGGATATCAACCCATACTCTGAGTGAGTGTTTTTTCTAACACTAGGAAAAGTATTTGCACAGCTTTTTTCCGGACGTAGACAAAATTACACTATTCGCAAATTATACAGCATTACTATACTTTTCTTAATATGGCACTTGAAGCAACACATATACTAGTCATCTTCCGACATTGCACCTGAGAGCTTCAGAACAATATCATGGCTTCATGCACTGGGCTACAAAAGCTATTCAAACAAAATTATACAAGCTAGATCATGCTGAGAAAGACTGAAAAGCACAAAATGTGCGATTTGCCTTGCAGAGAAGAAGCACAGGGCATCTGAACGACAGCATCTAATGAAGGACATCTAACGAAGATTCGTTCCGATTTCTGACAGACGCCGTGAGATGGCGCAGCGTGACAGGAAAAGCCACGAAGCGTGCGACCGCGTGTTCGTGCGCCGCACAAATTACTTTGTCTTTGCGTGCTCTGAACACCCAGCCTCGACAGCTCAGTCGCCAAAGCACTTGACTGACAATCTCAAGGTGGAGAGTATAAGTCCTGACGGGAAACTGAAGCCTTTTTATACGGTTCCCGAGGCCCGCATAGCTTTCCGGTGTCGGTATGTTCTGTGTTAGAAAAAAGGAGGAAAAGAAGGGATACTGACCGACTTGGTCGGGCACAAACTCGACGTTGAAACCGCCCCTTGAGCTGCGGCTCAACTTCACAGGGACCTTGACCTCGAGAGGTGCTGCACGAGAGGCAACATTTGGGGCGACGGAAGTTCCCAAGTGATGGCACACAGGCAAAATATACAGGCTTGGTCATGCTGACAAAGATTGTGGAGCACAGAAAGTGTTGAGCACAAACTACCACCTCACAGAACCACCTTGCAGAATCACCTCGCAGGAACTGATGTCACGTGACTAAAGGTGACATGGTGTGGTGGTAACGTCACATCAATCTCTTGGCCGAATTTGGCGGAGAAATTTATGTCACGCGACTTGAGGTAGCATGGAGTTCCGTGAAACTAATTTCTCCGCTAAATATAGCGGAAAAATTAATGCAACGGTTCTTAGTGACAATTTTTTCACGAAATTCGGCTGATAAAACACATTCCATGTTAAAAACTACCTGTCTCTTTGGTATATCCCAAAGGTGCTCTAAATGCATAGCATGTGACATTGGGGTGACACGTGACATGACAGCGTCACGTGACTATCATAAAAGCACATGGTCATGCGAGCTTGGGTCGTGTGACCACATGACGTGGCATCACCACAGTGTCATGTCATCACGGTGTTCAGTGTAACATAATATCATGGTGTCATGTGACATCACAATGTCATGTTGCAATGTCATGTAATGTAACAGTGTTATGTGATGCGATAGTGCCATGTCACATCACAATGCCACTTACGATGTTACATGACGTCACAATGTCAATGTCATGTCATGGCTCACGTGATATGCCAGTGGAGTCGTGTGACTTATAACACACATGACACAGAACCATAGTGTCACGTGACATTCCAAGTGTCTATTATGGTGTTACACAATGTACGACGTCAATGTCATGTCACAGTACCACATGATGCCACAGAGTCAAGTGCCTTGTGGCACAGAGTCATTGTGTCACATGACATCACAATGTCATGCGACTGTGTCACATGACGTCATGACGTCACCCGACATCACAACGTCACGTAAGAAATAATGACCCAAGAGTTTCCTCTGACACTACAGTCAGACACCAACTGTTGGGAACACCACGTGATGACCACAGAGTGATGCCATCGTCGAGGCTACGTGCCAAAGATGAGAAAAACCTGGGCTTAGAAATTTTACACATTCAAGAGGGAAAAGCAACCCACACATGACGGTGACTCGCAAGTCGTCCTCATCAGACACTCCGCCGACATAGAAGCGACTGGGCACGTTGACCGGAACCAGCTCCAGGGAGGAGAGGTCCACGGAAAACTGGTTCACATCCGACACCTGAAGAACCACCGGACAACCTGCCGAAAACATTATGTAAAAAAGTGAGTCAGTCTTCAGCAAAGAAATTAGGTTTCCAAATTAAGTGGAAGAACAATTTCATTTGGATGTTACATTTAGTGAAATACCACCTAGAAAATCTTTGAGACACCTCAAAAAAAAAAAAGCTTGCTCAGGTGAAGGTTCAGCTGGGGAATTAAACAAAAGTTTGTTCATCTGAATAGCTAGTTTGTTCGACTAGAGTTTGTTAGGTAATCTAATGCTTAAACAAAGTGGAAAAAAATTGATGTTTGTGTTTATTTAGTTTTGGGTGATTTGCTTTGAGAAGCAGCGACACTGGTTTATCTGTAGATAAAAAATTTTGCCAGTGCGGTACCACTGACCACAAGCCAGTACGATGCTCATCCAGATTGAAACAGGCAAGGGTGGGGATTGAACAGAGTCAAAATTTGGACAAAACCAGGACTCGTAGAGAGAGAGTCGGCACCAACTGTATATAACATAGCCTTAAAATAATGATAATAATGTAATTTACACTGCAGAGCCGCAGTGCCCCAGAAATTGAGAGTAACTCATATTGCAAAGGCTCGAGGTAGGTAGCGGCACCTAGATAGTGAGAATGCAATGAACATGTAAAGATGCAACTAATGGTTGTGAGGCAGGCTACCGACAACAGAAGTAGCAACGGTCACACCTTTTCATAACTGAAAGGTTTCAAACGATGAAAAATGCCATCCATTGCCCCACCTTTAGCGGAAATCCCCAGCCCCTCAACAGTGCATTAGTATCATCCACACTACGATCATGCGCACACAGCTGGCATACGACCGAAAATCAAAAACTATCTTCAGAGAAAGGTGCCGTCACTTCGGATTAGTCGGCAATCGCAGCGTGTCCTCGACATATACAAAAAACGTCTCTAACTTAAACACTCGCAGTGCATGCTAAGGTCATCCGTGTTTGGGAGATACTGAAATTACAGAGCCATTCCCGACAAACTACTTGACACAGCAGAGATCGGGCAGCCTTTGGCATTAACAGGTGTCCACCTCTGCACATCTTGCCATAATTCAGTTTCATGCTTCGTCACTTTCCCGCAGGGCAGCAATGCTGCAAACAGCCCACATATCTCTCGAGTCTCCAATGGAAGGAGACGAGATAAAATAATGAGACTGAGATGAGAAGAAAGTGGCTGGCACTCAAGCCACGGCAAATCAATAGCACGCACGGTGACTAAGCACATACCGGGCACGTTTTCGCCGTTGAACTTGATGCTGACCACGTGGGGCACTGGTCGCAACGGTTTGAAGCTCACGAGGCACCGTCCGCTGCTCAGAACCTGAACCTGGTTGGGCACTTCTCCGTCATTGACAGAGATCTCGAGTTGTCCTTCGCCAGCTCTCGATGCATCAACTGTTCCGGTCGAGAAACAGGACAAGAAAAGCTAGTGCAACTCTGCAGACCAAGGGTCCTCAGACCTTCCGATATCCAAAAATGCCCGTCTCGGTCGACTAACTGATAGTTGAGGCAGGCACGTAGCCAGGGGGGAGGCCCATGGGGCCTCCCCCCTGGCTACATGCCTGCCTCAACTATCAGTTGCTACGGCACTCTCAAGACAGCAGAAACACCCGTGTTGTCGTGTTTGTTTACTTCGACTACAGTGGTGCTTTCTAAGCATTTGTGTTTTCGAACATCGCCCGGATGTCTTATTTGGAGCATTTCATGCCTGCGCTCAAGATGAAGGTATTACTGGCGCGTACCGTATAAAAGGATGCGAATTTTCACGCGTTTTCATCACCGGAGAAAAGTGATTAGGGTTAGCAAACCTGAACGCTCGCAACGTCCGTCTGCAACCCGCGACGCCGTTAAAAGGCTGCGCCAGGCAAAAGTCACTCATTTCTTTCAAAATGTGTGACACACTTGAGAGAGAAGTGTACTAGTCTGGTGAAATAAAGACTTTCCTCAAACTAAGCTTTATTTTTCATCTAACATAAAATAAATTCTTTTACAAAGGTAAGTTGTCTGATGGCATGTATTTTGGCCTGAAAATTGATGTTTTGGTTATAGCGCGGTACCGCTTAAGTGCGGATTTTCGCGACTCCCGCGACATACGTTATATGCGGTCTACACTGTAGTCTGTTTAACTGGAGTTTGATCAAGTGGGACATCACTGTGTACTGTTCTGTTGGACTAAACAAGTGCCAAGCAAGGGCCTACCCTACTGCAAGCCTTTTCTGCTTTTCCAGATCTAACATTCCCATTTCTAGTAATGATTGTCAAATTTTATATGGGTGCTTGCTCAGTATTTTGTGGTAGACTGCACGACAGGACATGAAGCAGGAAGGAAGGATCCAAAGAACAGCAGCTTTACCTTGGAACTGAGAGGTCTGCCCCACCAAGCAGGACTGTGGAACGTCACTGAGGGTGATGCACGAGGCGTCATAGGCCTTGGAGACAAAGGGGCTGCCGGGAATCCTCTGCCCTGCTACCGACACGTCAATCTGGTATGTGCCTAGAAGATTAAACAGACAAAAGAAGTATTTCCTTACCCAGGACTGCAGCCGCCTGTTCAAGAATATAGTATCAAATCTTGATATGCTTCAGTCCCTGCACAAGTGAAGGACTGTCGAGAAATACAGGCTCGTGGTAGTAATGCAACCTTCTGCTTTGCAAAAAAGCAATGTCTGTAAGAACTTGTAATCCAAATAAGCAACATAAGATACGTACAAGCAGTAATCATGTGAGAACATACTACTTTGGTGGAAGATGCCAAGCATAATTAACTACTTGGGATTGTTGTTAAAACATAGTCAATGACATATATCAAGTTACATGAAGTTACATGAGCATGCATGCCTGAAAAAAATGTTGTGAGAAGAGCTTCTTTCTATTTAAAATGGTTAACAGAAAAATTCCAAGGACACCTATAGGCACTTCTTACGAGTTGTGAATGCGAAAGCATGAATGTTGTTCTTTCGCTCCCTTAGTTCGTCTGCGGTATACTGGTGGTGTGGGCGGCCATTTTTTGCTACTGCCGAGGTTGCCGAATGCACTCTCTCGTGAAGTGGCAGCAGCCCCCGCAGCCCCCCCACCCCTTCTGGCAACGCCTGCCATGAGAGCAGCGGCCGAGCGCGCATTCTCGTGAAATGGCCGCAGCCTGCAGTCCCTACCCCGCCTAGCCCCTTTAGCACCTGACGCGAGAGCGGCAGCTAAGCACGTGTTCTCGTGAAGCAGCAGGCAATAGCTATCTAGGAGCCGTTTTGTTTTGCCAATGGGAGAATGGGCATTTCTTTCGTGTTTTTTTGTGGTTACAGACACCGCCAGCTCCACTCCATGGGATAGTTAATGCTTTCGTATTAAAAGCCTGCACATTTCTGCCTTCCATAATAAAGATAACAGAAATCAAAGGCACTTTGCAACACACTGTGCGAAGGTGTGCACTTGAAAATATCTAACAACTGCAAAGGGCAGGGTAAGGTTCAGGTGGGCTTAAACCACTTTAGTAACACACAGACCACACACCATAATTGGAATACTCAATTGCAGTACCAGAACCTAAAATAGTTTTTGGCAGCTCCCAAATCAATGACCTGAAACTCAGTCCAACCATGAATCTAGTGCCATTTTATGTTTTTTTCTTTGTTTTAGCAGCAGAACTACAAAAAGGTTGCGCATTATTGAGTAGAGAGGTATCATCTGTTTCTACTGACCAGCGTCAACAGTAGCAAACTCCACCACATGGCAGTCCGGACGCTCTAAAACGGTGTGCTGGATCTTGGACTTTCCGGGGCCTGCGGTGGGAAAACAATCATGAGCCATTCAACTCTGTGAAGGTGAATGACCAGCAAAGCTGTTTAGCAGACGACACAGACCCACCCCAAAGAGCCGGAGGAAACTAGACACGCGCGACGGCACCGCCACTCCGGGAGAGGGGAAGGAGAGAAAACTAGGCACGCAAGCGCTCGGAACGACGACAAAGAGAGGGCGGTGCGAGCGTAGGCATGGCCAACGCGAGTTGCACAGTGGCAAATCTTTGAGAAACCTTTATTATCCACCTGAGAGCCTACTGATCTTGAAAATGTTGCCTATTGATAACTGATCTACTGAACAGACCTAATGCTAAATTACCAAAGCATCAAGGAGATTGCAGAGAATGGTGTTCCACGCGCCGCACGTGCCAGCATCTGCAGCAGTAACTGTTCTAAAGCAGCAGCCTAAAAAAAATGGCATCTTGCACGCACATTCATCAATGCTCTATTTTGGTTATTTACTTCGAATTTATTATACAGGGAAGGCGTGCGGCGCGGCGGTGCGAGCGTAGAGTTTTTAGTTACTGCACACGAAAAATCCACGGAACCCTAGCCATATACAGCTTTGCTGTAAAAGGGTACAAGCCCATTTTCGCTCATTCCCGTGCCATGTATGTCACCAAAACAAAAGTTGCACATGAGCTCCGATCAACGACACGTCAAAGGAAAGTAACAGGTCTCAGAACACAACTCGCCTTTGATGCTGACTTTGAGGTCGTCTTTGCTGCAGCCGGGAGCATGCACCTCGAAGCTAGCCACCTTGCCACAGCTGAAGGTCTGCAGCGCCTGACCCCTTGCAGAAATGGGACCTTTCTTCGGCATGTCTCGGACCTCGCACTTCCACGGGGAGCCTGCAACAAGAAGCATTTAAAGGGACTGCAAATATTTATCTTACAGGGAACACAGTAGCAGAAAAACTTGGGCAAGCGTGAGGTTTCTGCCCTTACCTGGCACTTTCTCGCCGTTGAACTTCATCTCGACAGTGTGGACAGTGGCCGTGCGTGGCACGAAGGAGGCCAGGAAGCGGTGTCCCCCCAGGGGCTTCACGTGGCTCGTCACATGGTCGCCGTTCACCATGATCTCCAAGTTGCCGGAGCCAGCCTCCGCCCCATCGACTGCGTTACGAGGGAAGTGCTTAATACACTCAGATACGAGTTTCTTTTAGGATTGTGCACAGAGCTCGCTTCCACTGTGTAGCTTCTCTGCAGTGCACCAGTGCTCGATAAGAAGCGCGCTCAACGGGTCTAACTTGCCGTGGTCTTAGAAAAGTACAAATATCAGTTGCATGCTTAGGAGAAAAGCACACTTTCAAAGCAGGATGGTGCATATGTGCACCGGGTGCATTTAGAAAAAACCAGAAACTTTGTGAATTTTGATATCTACATTGCAGTAAAATTTTCAAAATTAAACTGTGGCTATTCTGCAAAAGTATATGTTAGGCAGATGCCTAACAAACTGTGTTAATCAATTGTGGTTGTCTTTTTCTTTTTCCAAATTCGAGATTAAAGAAAGGATATTTGCATATAGCAGGAAGATTCATAAATCCCCTCGATTAGGAATACCTGGCATCTCTGTTACTAGTTTAATTTTATGTCAAATGTGTAGTTCATTTGCCATCCCAATGTGGGCATTGGACTGCCTGAGGCCACAGTCCATGTAATTAAATTAAAATCAACTTAGCTTACAAATGGGCAAGTGGAAGCATGGGAACAACCTTCACAAGTTCAGCTGGGTTTTCGTTGGAGCGTGGCGCAACGGTGAAAGGCTTGGAGAAACTATTTCATACTCTATACGAAAATATTAGGCCAAAACCACCGTTTCTTCCGAAATCACTTTGAACTCAAAACCTACTATTCGCACATGCCTAGTTTCTTCACTAACCCAAATAAATAAAGCCTGTAAAGATGTGTACCGCAGACAACAGCAAACTGCTGGAATGTTTCGTCAAAACAGCACCCTCAAAAGAAGCGATGCATGAACATAAACACACTCCGGAAAACATAGAACTGACGGGAAAGCTCACTAGATATGGTAAGCTTGAGTGCCTCTAAATATTGTACTGGAATCAAAACTCTCGCATAAATCACAGCCAGTAGATGAGCTTCTAGAAAAATAAAAACTCGTTGCCATTTTTCATTTACATCCTCATCGTTCATTAAACCTTCAAGGTTGATATAGGTATTACACAAGAGTTGAGGAGTTAAAGGACATTATTATACAAATGTAAGTAGAACCTCACTGATACGGTTCTCAGGGGACCGCAGAAGAAAAACATATAATCCGCGAAAACATAAAAAACGAGAAAGCCCTTGCAGGGCTGGAAGCTCAGCGGGACCGGCAGCTTTGAACGTAAAAGCTGGAAAAACTTAAAAACCAGGAACATATCCATGAGGTTCTACTGTATAAGTCAGGACCTAAAGCAGTAACACATCCTGTCCAGAGCTATTCCAACAAAACACAAAGTTTGTGGAATGAAGCAAGGCTAAAGTGGCAATTCATCAACAGTGATCAATCATCTTTTTCATACGCGTTTCCTCACCTACCTGATTACATCTTTGTGTGACGCAGCTGGTTTACAAGAGCTAACGTTTGGGTTTATCTAGTGCCAACTTTACACTGTGGTATGACCCCACAGTGTAAAGTTTGTGACTAGATGAGCACACGCATGAGCAGAACAATGTGCGCGTGGAAATTTTTTTAATAAGCATTCAGTTGTCAGTCAGCGTCTGTCCTGTGTGCTTCTTCTACTTTTGTCCTGTCCTTATGCACTTTTTTTAATAATGTCACTAAAGTGGGAAGTGTATTTTTGCTCATAAGGCTTAAGTTTCAGCAAGCTTTCATGGATCTGTGCATACAAGGGTGCCATGGCTCGAAAAAAAAAAGCATTCCGATAAAACTGGCTAATAAGCTGCGACACTGAGGCAAAGAAACTTTCTGTGACAAAAATGTAGACGGGGCACTTACTTTCGAATTCAACGGGGCAGCCAACAGTTCCGTTGGGCACGTCACCGACACGAATCTTGGTTGCGTCGAAAGCATGGCTGCGGAACGGACTTCCAGGCAGGGGTCGACCCTCGACTTTGACTTCAATCACGTGTTCGCCAACTTCGGGTGTGATGAACTCCACCTCAAGCTCCCCGGGCCGGAGGACATCCACACGCACGGGAAACTCGCGTCCAGACGGTGCTGCCGACAAAGACCATGCTCAAGATGAGACGGATGTGCACTAGATAGATTGTGGGATTGCTGCATTCAATTACCGCAAAATACCGAGCAAGCGCCCACCCAAATTCAGAAATAACTTCGGAAAAACTGGGGGATGATTATTTTGATAATCACTGATTTGCCTCAAAAAAGGTTCAACATATTAATAGAGACATCTGAACTAATAACCCAATTACAAATCAAAATCACTCTTTTTTTTTGCCAAGTTATTGAATTTTTATTTTCGTCCGAGTCTGAGAGGCTCTATTGGCGACACTAAAAATGTTACGTCAAAAGTTGTAGTATGAGGGCAGCAAAGCTTGTTCCCAATGAGTTACGAGAAGTTTGACGGTGTGAGACGAATGCTGGGAAGGCTCGCAGCCAGCAAGGCAAAACAAAACGTGCAAAACACTTTCTTGTCTAGACTGCCCGCTCGACTTGCAAGTTATACAATGTGTGACATCACCCCACCGTAGAGCACGGGAAGATTTGGATGCCTGTTTTGGCATAACCTTCATTTGCCGTTTTCTCTATGGCTGTTTAGAATTTATCAATAATGAATAGCGTGCCAGGAAGAGTAAATCTGGGTCTTTCAAAAATGTGTTTTGTTTGGACGGCTGAGAAAACCAACCAGAGCTCATTTGCACACTTGCACTTGAAGGGACACTGACATCACCCAAAATTTTTTTTTTGATTTTTTTGCCAGGCGATTTGTTATGGTGTCAAAAGACTACCCGATCAATATTTTGCTACAGCGTCACATATATTTTTAATATATTCAAAAAATGCAGCTGCTCTAAACCGAAACCGAAACTGGACTGGGGAGCAAATATAGAGGAGGAGAGAGTTGGCAGAAGTCACTTGGCTGTGCAACTTGTTTTTCCAATCAACATATTTGCAGCGTTTCAGAAGCCACAAAAAATGGGTATCATATTTCTTTTCTATTTTTAATATTGTGTGTGCGTGCCTTTGATGAACCACGACTATACTTATATCTGGTGGTTGTGCCTAAACCGTAGAAAACTGCACGTAATCACGAAAAAGAGAGCGAGCACAACTCAAACTGGCCAGTTCTCGATCAATGGTTTACGGGCGGAAAGAAAACGAATTTCGAGCCGTGATTTGTTTTCTGGGTAGTTGGGCTCTCATGTGTCATGCACAAATAAAAACCTTGGTGAGCATAAATACCCTGTCAGAGTCCCTGTGACCAAGTACATAATGAGCTCCCTTGTGGATGGGAGAACACATTGGTTTGCTGGCGCCACCTGTCACGTAGCCCTGGAACTGCACATAACTAGACTGAAGGTTTTTCAATATTTGCAAGATCAAATATACATAGTATACCATTTATGAAAAATGGACGCTTATAGCATTGTCGAAAGTTTTTCAAGTTCACGGTGAAAGACTATTGGGGAAAAAGATTACGAGAGATATGCAAAACGGAAGTGTTCCAAGACTGCCGGGCAGATGGCACCACCAGTGAGTTCCCTCGTCATAGGTGATTACAAGGAAGCACCACTCACTCGGTCGTACTTGAACACGAGTGTGTGATCCAGCCTTTAGGTTTAAGAGCAGAAATATTGCAGATGGTGCACACAAGAGGGTGGGTTTCACCGCATTGCAAAGGGGTGTTTGGAGAAGCGACTCACATGGAGAAGCATCTCTGTTGGCTAGGTGGGCTCAGAAGTTTATGGCGAGCGTGCAATTTGTGCTTTGCTCAATTTACAAACGTTTCAAAAGAAGCGGGCAGGTGCTCATTGCCATGTGGGCGCACACTCGGTATTTTACAAGTCGATAAAAGTGTGCGAGAAAAAGAGAGCATTCCGATTTATGCACATGTGATGATTCCTGTAAAAAAAACCATAAAAGACAGAGCGAATCTTTGAAACAGTGTCTATGAAATGTAGACTGTTCTATAAAAAGGAAGAATAACAGCTACAGTTTTCAAATCTGCTGTAATAAAAAGCTTATTATTAAAAAAACAGACATAGATTGTCTGTTATGTTGTATTCATTGAAGCTATTAATACAATGCAGTTGCATATAAATTACTGCTAATAGGCACACTTGAGGTACAAAAGACGATCTTACTGTTTGTAATAAATATGTTTCTAAACTTTAATAATGGCTCGGAAATATAAGATATTTTTAAAACATTTTTATACGAGTTCATTGCATAAAACAAACAGAAGAAAGTTGTTTTGAGACAAAAAAAAAGAAAGAAAATCTTTTTCCCCTTTTTACCCAAACACTTTAGAAAGAGTGTCAGTAATGTTCAGAAAACGAGTGATTATGGTTAGATGCTTTTCGGCGGCTCTGAGCGCCAGGTTGGAAACGGCCCCCATTTTAGCACACCCACATGTGCGGCCAAAGCTACAAGCCTTTGGGTTCATCAGACATGCACCCGAATTATCTCTTCCTTCATCTCACACTCGCCAAAACAGTACAGTGCAAAACAAGGAATATTCACGGCATACCCGTAACGGTCACCCGGAAGTCGTCTCGCTCAAAGTCCGGCGCGCTGATCCGGAATGTGGTCGGCCGCTTCACCGGAACGAGCTTCAGCGCCTCCCCCGATATCTTCACCTGGGTCACATCACCAACTCTCGCTGGCGCCATCTGCCTCGCTTCGGGCGTCTTCCGTGCTGCGCTCTCGACGGGCGCGCCTTGACTCTCCCGCGTCGTGGACGCGAGCTGTTCAACGACACGACGCTGCTGCTGCTGCAGCTGCTGAAGATGGGCATGCTGAAGACCCTCCCTCCCGTCGACCCTGTCCCCCTCCTTCGTCGACCGATGGGCCACGACTGGTGGAGTCATCTGCCGCGACTCCGGACTCTTCCGCGAAGGCGGCTTTTCCGGTGTCGCGGTGTCGCGTGTCAACGAAGCGATCGCTTGAACTTCCGTCTTCCGTTGCTGAACATCAACCCTTCGCAGCTCTTCGCTGCTTCCCTCAAGCTCGAGGTTCCTGCTTGTTGGGGACGGCGTGGGAATTGCGGGCGCCGGTTTCCTCGGGGTCGGAGGTGGTGGTGCCTTAGGCGCTTGCCTCGAGGCCGGTCTCTCCGGTGTGACTACTCTCGTCGTCGACAAAGACGTGACAACCTTACTGATTGCGTCGACTTCCATCCGCTCACTTCTCGTAACTGCGATGCTCTCCTGGCTCTGCCGAGACATCTCGGTTCGCAAAGTCGGCTCAAACTGGGTGCGGGAGGCACGGCCGGGGTCGGGGTCTAGTTTGATGGGCGAGGTCACCCGCGAGGAGGTGTGGGAGGACGCAAAGAAGGAGGAGGAGGCGGAGCTAGACATGGCGTCGCCTATGGGAGATGCGACAGTGCGGGTAAAGAAGGAGTCGGTCGTCATGGAGGTCTGGTCGGTGTCTTCGGCCACGGAGATGATGGTGAAGGGAGAGCCTGTGGGCGGAACGAGAAAAGTAGATACGTATCCGCGAAAGTCAGCTTCGGTCTTTCAATTATTGTATTCGTTCAGAAACTACTGTGGATGAGGAGAAAAAGCAGGAATGAGTAATGGACACTGGAAAAGGTTTAATCTTTTTTTTTTTTTGATATTGGGTGTAGTTTTTTACATGTCATGGCTCAAAGTTTGGTTTTGAGCGTCTATGGCAAAACCGAAACTATCTGCTAGAGGGATGACAACACTGATCATCAGCCACACGGTTGCGACACGACGTCCCCGTGGTGCTGCGGTACGGGGTACAACCAATCAACCACAGCTCCACTGCGACGTGACGCCACGGGGTGCTACGCCAGTGTTCCCTGACTAAAAGTTAACCCGCTTGTTGCCCGCTAAAGAGCAGCTGGTCATATTTTTAAAATTGGTAATTGGTTTAGTGGAGTTTGCGGCTTCTTTTTGACATAATATTTCGGCTGTAAACATATTTTTTGCCACTAAAGCCACTAAAGACAATAATGGACCCATATCTCTGTGCAAAGATCAGAATGTCCGATACTGCAAAACCACTCTATAGTCAACTTCAGTTATACTATGAGTTAAGTTTGTTGTATCAGAATCCAATTACAAATTAACAAATTACCATGTAACCAGCTCAGATACATGTAATATTAAGCCTAGTGACTTGTTATAACAAGTTTATTACAAGTGGTGTGTAGCCTCAGTGGAATACAAATATTATTTTGACACCACCTGGCTATGGCACTACTGCACCTTACTAAAAAGTTGCATTTTACAGTGCGTGAAGAAGCAACATCTGTTGCCTCAATATGAAGGAATACACAATGTGCTACAGTCGTGTTTCATTAATATGGACCCCATCAATATGGACACCCCATTATATAGACAAAGTTTTCGGGGACGAACTGGGTGTAATACATGCATTCTTGTCTCATTATTATGAACAGATCTCATAACGGGTAATTTTTGGGGGGAACGAACGTGTCCATATTAACAAGGCATGAAATAGCATACAACTAATGACCATCTGCCGGCATGCCACATCGACGACCCCATGCGCAACTGATCTACGATAATTAAGATGGAGTGCTCACCGCGTACATCGATGTTGTTGAAGGTGACAAACAATTTGTAGTGGCCCTCCCGAGAGGGCAAGAAGGAAGCGGAGTAGATACCGTCACCGCGCTCGTCCACGCTGACCGGAGTCGTATGTCCGTCAAGTTGCACCTCCAGTTGCACCTTGCCCCAGCCCGCACGACTCGCGTCACACTCAAACGACACCTCCTTGCCCATCCGCACCATGCTGGGACAGCTCACCTGAAAGGTGTAAAAGAGCACATATGAAAAAGACCCCGCACTCAATGTGCCATATCGACACCGCATGCACATCAAACGAGTGTATGCGAGGTACGGTCAGTGGAGTAGGCTAAAAGGCGGCTCTGGGGTAAGACCTATTTTCTGCCCCCAACACACACTTCACACCCAGCTCCGTAATCATGGAGATCTCAACCCTATACCCAGCTCCCCCAAAAAACATCCCTAGTTACACCACTGGATAAACTTATGTATGAGCGCTATTTGTCAATAAATACTTCGATGTTACGGTAAGCATACTATACCGATAAATATAAGCATCTCAATCACACACCAAATGCAATGTTTTAAAGTTTAAAAATAAAAAAAATTTGTAGTAAAGGAATAAAAAAGTAAGTTTGTTTCGTCAGCATGCTAGAGCACTGGGGTCTTCATTTGTTGTTCCTTTTGTACTATAGTTTGTTTGTATACTTCCTTTAAATGAGGCATCTGCAGCGATCATAATTGCTTTTTTCTACTAGTTTCCTATGCGGGACACAAATTAGGCCCAACTTGCCACATAAGGTTGCACTGCATTGCTGAATACCACTAGATTCGTTCCAAAGGCTCTTGCTTGAGACTGAAACGTAATCAAAATCGGTGATTCTACCTCTACGAAATACAAACTTAAACTACACTGCTAAGTTTGAGAAAAATAAATACTGTACAGCATGGTGCCCAGATAGAACAATTTCTCGCATAGCCATAAGAATTCTTCCGTGCACGGTAAAGAGAAGGTTAATACTAGTAGCCACAAAATGGTGTTTCCCTAACTAAGCATACAGTCATGTCTCATTATTAGAAACCCCGTTATTACAGATACCCCGCTACAGTATAGACCACTTACAACGTAACCGCTTATAGTGCAGGACCGGGTATAACGCGGTTTTTTTAAACCACCGGTTCACCTCCCATAGAACTCCATGTAATTACATACCGCTTAAAATGCAGGCGCGCGAAGGGAAATACCGGTTATAGTACGGTTTTTTGCACAGCCCGCCGACCGCGCCGACGACCGGAGCAGCGAGCTCGCTTCCCTGTGCGACACTAGATAACGGCGCTGACGGCGTGAGCCGCAAACTGCACTCGCGGGGCAAGGAGGTTGCTGGAAAACGCGGGGAGAAGCGAAGAGAGAGGCTTCAGTTGCCATAGCGACGGAGGGACGCACGCACGAGTCGTTCACGTGCGTGCGTCCCTCCGCTGCATTGGAAACAAAGAAACAAACAACCGCAACGACAGACCAATCCCAGGTCGAGGAGAAGTGTTCGCGCGCGTTGCATGCCGGTCGCGGGCGTCGGTTGTGATCGTTCTGCGTAAAAGCGCTATCCTTGACTGTGAATTTTCGTTGTGTGTCGCTATAACCCAGCACATACTAGATGGGAAGATCCACCTACTCGTGCGGCGATGTCGTGGCGGCGCTCTCAAGACGGCAGAAACGCCCATGTCGTCGTGTTTGTTTACTTCGACTACAGTGGTGATTTCTAAGCATTTGTGTCCTCGAACATCGCCCGGATTTCTTATTTGGCGCATTTCATGCGTGTGCTCAAGTTCAAGGTATTACTGGCGCGTACCGTATGAAGGATGCGAATTTTCAAGCGTTTTCATCTCCGGAGAAAAGTGATTAGGGTTAGCAATCCTGAACGCTCGCGACGTCCGTCCGCAACCCGCGACGCCGTTAAAAGGCTGCGCCAGGCAAAAGCCGCTAATTTCTTTTAAAATGTGTGACACTTGAGACGTAACTGTACTAGTCTATTGAAATAAAGACTTTCCTCAAACTAAGCTTATTTTTTCATCTAACATAAAATAAATTCTTTTACAAAGGTAAGTTGTCTGATGGCATGTATTTTGGCCTGAAAAATTGATGTTTTGGTTATAGTGCGGTACCGCTTATAGTGCGGATTTTCGCGACTCCCGAGACATACGTTATATGCGGTCTACACTGTATATAGGTTCACAAGAAATAAACACAGTAAATCAATCACTGAAATAAAGTGCAGGACAGACTGTTACAAATACTCTTATTTTCCTCGTACTATCCATGGCTGGAATGCGTTACCTGAACAAATTGTCTCTAAAAATTGTCTAACGTTGTTTCTAGCATTGATAAACGAATTACCAGAGTTTTGAGGTTTCAGGCCTTGATACCCCTCAAACGAATATTTTTCTGCTCTTCGTGTGTTCGTGATCATATATGTAAAACGTTTTTTTTTCCTTTTTGCTGCGCTGCCACACTCTGTGCTTGCTTTTTTCGTAAAACTTGATCCATGTATCCCTCCTACCTTGGCCACCCCACGGCGGCCGGTAGTATAAATAAATAAAAAAAAATATGAAACACATTTTTGGAGATGAACTGGGTAAATACAGGTATTTTACAGCGAAGCTGTTATGCGCTAGGATCTGGGAAAAATGTGCCCGCGGTTGTTGACAAAAAACTCCCCATTGGTCGTGGCAAGTATGAATAAATAAAAATAAAAAGAGGGGGCAACCCGCGTGAGTCAGCCGTCCTTGGCATTACTAGATAGTGAGGTCCTGATTCCTTGTTATCACCTCTAGGCATCATCCTCGAGGTTGTCCTAGAAGTCGTCCTTAAGGTCGTCCTAGGCGTCGTCCTTGAGGTCGTCCTAAAAGTTATCCTTGCGGTCGTCTGAGAGGTCGCCTTCTAAGCGGCGTCCTAGAAGTCGTCCTTGAGGTCGTCCTAGACGTCGTCCTCGAGGTCGTCCTAAAAGTTATCCTTGAGGTCGTCTGAGAGGTCGCCTTCTAGGCGGCGTCCTAGAAGTCGTCCTTGAGGTTGTCCTAGACGTCGTCCTTGAGGTCGTCCTAGAAGTCGTCCTAAAAGTCATCCTTGAGGTCGTCCTAGAATTCGTCCTTGAGGTTGTCCTTGAGATCCTCCTAGACGTCGTCCTCTACGCGTCGTCCTCGAGGTATTCCTAGAAGTAGCCCTTGAGATCGTACTAGACATCGTCCTCTAGGTGTCGTCTTCAAGGTTGTCCTAGAAGTCGTCCTTGAGGTCGTCCTAGACGTCGTCCTCGAGGTCGTCCTAGACGTTGTCCTCGAGGTCGTCCTAAAAGTTATCCTTGAGGTCGTCTGAGAGGTCGCCTTCTAGGCGGCGTCCTAGAAGTCGTCCATGAGGTCGTCCTAGACGTCGTCCTCGAGGTCGTCCTAGAAGTCGTCCTAGAAGTCATCCTTGAGGTCGTCCTAGACTTCGTCCTTGAGGTTGTCCTTGAGATCCTCCTAGACGTCGTCCTCTACGCGTCGTACTCCAGGTCGTCCTAGAAGTACCCTTGAGATCGTACTAGACATCGTCCTCTAGGTGTCGTCTTCAAGGTCGTCCTAGAAGTCGTCCTTGAGGTCGTCCTAGCAGTCGTCCTCGAGGTCGTCCTAAAAGTTATCCTTGAGGTCGTCTGAGAGGTCGCCTTCTAGGCGGCGTCCTAGAAGTCGTCCTTGAGGCCGTCCTAGACGTCGTTCTCGAGGTCGTCCTAGAAGTCATCCTTGAGGCTGTCCTAGAATTCGTCCTTGAGGTTGTCCTTGAGATCCTCCTAGACGTCGTCCTCTACGCGTCGTTCTCAAGGTCGTCCTAGAAGTAGCCCTTGAGATCGTACTAGACATCGTCCTCTAGGTGCCGTCTTCAAGGTCGTCCTAGAAGTCGTCCTTGAGGTCGTCCTAGACGTCGTCCTCGAGGTCGTCCTAAAAGTTATTCTTAAGGTCGTCTGAGAGGTCGCCTTCTAGGCGGCGTCCTAGAAGTTGTCCTTGAGGTCGTCCTAGACGTTGTCCTCGAGGTCGTCCTAGAAGTCGTCCTAGAAGTCATCCTTGAGGTCGTCCTAGAATTCGTCCTTGAGGTTGTCCTTGAGATCCTCCTAGACGTCGTCCTCTACGCGTCGTCCTCAAGGTCGTCCTAGAAGTAGCCCTTGAGATCGTACTAGACATCGTCCTCTAGGTGTCGTCTTCAAGGTCGTCCTAGAAGTCGTCCTTGAGGTTGTCCTAGACGTCGTCCTCTAGGCATCGTCCTAGACGTCGTAAAAATAACAGCTTCGCTGGTCCTCCATCTTAACATGAAGTGGAAGGGCTCTACAATTTTTATCTCGTTATTATAGACAACTTATATAATGGACGTTATATACTTTCAGACGTTGCAGTCCGAAAGTTTGATTTTTCGGACAAAATCGTTGCGAGTGATTGGCAGGAAACACCACCAAGAAGCCTCCATTTCAGAGTCTATGTTGGCTGCACATGGACTGGCTTGATTTGGAAGCACTACTTGAGTACTGCTAAGTCCTTATGCTAAGTGGCACTATGCTATGGCTTCTTTTTTTCTCTAGCTGCACGTCATTATTACCATCATCGTTACCATTTTGCTTTGTTCATTCGCCTTTCTGCAGACACGGACTTGCACCTCTCATCTCGTCTCAGTGAATCATGTTTTCGGACTACGCTGGCTTGGGCGTCACGGCCGCATCTGTTCTTCCACCGCCGCAAAGTGTCACTAAGAAGTCTGGAAAGTACTCCACCATAACGCTAGAAAAGAAGGCAACAATTCTCAAGCTAATAGAAAGTGGCGAAATGCAAGCGGAGGCTTAACCTGAAGCAAGGCACTATTAACGGCTTTCTTAAGCCTGCTTAGACGTAATAAAGTCAAGATCTTTTTTAATCTGCTGATTTTTCACACTGCTCTATTATTCTGATGTTTTTTCTATCCCTGCGAAGTTTGAAAAATTAGTCGGCGACTGTACTACTTTCTTTACAGCATCCAATATTGATTTAGGCTATAAAAAGTCCAGAGTAGGCCAAACAACTCACGGTGACTTGGGTAGGGTCGTACACATAGCAGGTGAAGGGGCTCCCCTGAATGTGCTCCCCGGAGTAAGTCACGTCGATTTTCCATTCACCTAGAGAAGGGAGTCACCAAAAAAAAAGAAACAATTTTAATCAATAATTCCTCCTTCTCCTTGCACTGTAGGAGAGGAGGATGCTAAGGGGATTATCTTTCCCGCAAAAAGCCGTGGTTTTACATACCGTAATACACCGAGCAACAGCCCATTCCACAATAAGTACCCACCCCTCACTTTTGTAACATTCGGAAAATGCACAAAAAAAGTATCTTTACATGTTGTTCAACTAAGAAGCACCCATCCCCCAGCCTTTACACGATTATCTCCAAATTTTGAATGGGCACTTGCTCAGGATATTACGGTAGGTCTTTACAAATGATCTTTCACCAGTCTCGTACCGATTTCGTTGGGCATGAACGTGGAGGTGAAGACGCCGTCACTGTCCTTGACGGCACACTCCCTCGACTTTCCACTGGGAGAGATGGCCTCGACGTGAATGCTTCCTGTACCCGCACCGTTAGAGTTGATCTGTAAAACGAGGCAGAAAGTTGTTTGTCTAAACATCAAACAGAAGTTGTCCGGATATCACATTTACTAGCGTACATATTTCACTGTTGATACTGGAGTCCCAACGCCCTTTGACAAAAATTAATAATTGCATTGTGTGTATGTTTCGATAGCAAGAATTTAGTTGGTCACAATGACTGGTGTTTCGACTGTAGATGAGAAATTTAGCTCCCGCAGCACCACTACTAGCCTGGGGTCTTTAACATGCACCATGCAGAAGCAATAGTACACGACTGCACGTTAGTAGTACAATTGACATGGGAGGGGGTGGAGCCTAGGATCTCTGGGCTCCAACATCCACCCCCTCCCGTAAATGCAGGGGATTTCTCACCAGGACCTCGACGAGCGATCCGAGGGCGCAAGGATCGATTCCAGAGAAGAGGATCCGTGAGATGTCAGGGTGAACGCGGACGTGCATCGGGCAACCCGTCACCAGCTCTCCTTCACAGTACACGTTCAGCTGTCATTCGGAAAAGAAGACAACGGGTCACAAACATTCCAGCACTTTGTGGATTCTCGTTCTTCTAAATGTATTTCAACAACTCCCTGAAAAATGGGATTGACAAAAAAAAAAATCATTTTGAGCCAGTCAAAAAAAATTTATACAAAGCTTGATAATGCTGACAAAGACTGGTAAGCAAAGAATGCATGATAGGCCTTCCAGTTATATTGGCGTTCATGTGCAGGGCCCCTGGGGAAGGCTCCTCCTGATGGTGCTCCCCTTTCTTGCGTTCCTAATAAGCTTGCACATGTTCTGCGGCCGTCTGTTTCGTAGGAGCCATGGCACGGTGGAAGAGAACAGCGCCTGAACAGCACCAGCTGCCCAAGATTCACTCCCATCTCTTACACACGCTGTGAGATGGCACAGAATGACAGGAAAGAATCGCAGAGCTAAAGATACAAGGATTAGAGGTTGAGCGAGTCGATAAATACGAGCACCTAGGAGTATGGATTATTGAGGGTTTAGAGTACCTGAATGAACATGCAAAATGTGTAACTGGCAAGGGCAACAGAAATGCAGCTCTAATGAATAATAGAGCACTGTGGAACTATAACAGGTATGAGGTGGTGAGGAAGATCTGGAAAAGAGTTACGGTTCCGAGTCAGACTTTTGCACATGGAGTTTTGTGCATAAAACTGGACGTCCAAACAAGGCTAGAAATAAAGCAACGTGGAGTAGGTAGGTTGGCTCTAGGAGCACATGGTAAAACACCGGACCAAGGTGTACAGGGCGGTATGGGATGGTCCTCATAGGAGGGCGGGGAAGCTATAGCCACAAGATAGAATTTTAGAATAGGCTAAGAGAAATAGCGGCGCAAAGATGGGCATGAAGAATTCTTAGCTATTTACACATGAGAAGCATTGATACAAAATGGAGAAAGCGGACTAGAAAACTTAGATCTAAAAATATGGGAAACAGCAGGGAGGCAGATGAGAAAATACAGGTTAAGAAGAGAGTAAAAAAAGTGAGAGGGAAATATGGGAAGCAGGCATGCAGACTAAATCGGCCTTGGAAATTTACAAACTGTTAAAGAAGGACATTACAAAGGAGCCCATCTTCAACAATTCTAGGGGGAGCTCCTTGTTGTTTGAGGCATGGAAAGAATGTTGGAGAATAAGACGTATAGAGATAGATATCAGGAAGTAGATATGGTCTGTGGCGCTTGTGGAGAGGGGGAGGAGACGGCTGAGCACTTGACACTTTACTGCAAGGGGCTTCGCCCTGTAGCAGCTGAAGAGGCGACTAATTCAACAAACACACCGGGATTTCGGGATAGTGAGGGGAAAATAGACATGAGGAAGGTGGGGATAACCAAGAAGAGATTTTCTGACTAGTGACATAGGTCGAAAGAAGGATGAATATTTTCTTATTCCCTTCCGGGTGACCCGCAGGGCGGAAAGTGTGTGCACCCGGTTGCATAGAAGCGCCTCCATCTTACGGATCGTAGCTCTTTAGAATAAGTCTCTAGATATAACTCAATGTTAAATAAATGTTAAGAAAAAAAATAAAAAAACACTGGGTAGGTGGCGCAAGCTGCCGCCTGATTTAAATGGTTCACCCTCAACCATCCATCCATCCGTGAAACGCGTGACTGCGCCTTTGTGCACCGCACGGATGTGTCCACTTTTGCGTGCTAGCAACCACCGACCCTGGATAGCTCAGTCGGCAAAGCGCTTGGTGCACAACCTCAAGGTGGCGAGTTCAAATCCTGCCAAGATCTGAAGTCTTCATATGGTTCCCTTGTGGGTGTAACGCTTTTCGGTGTCAGTTTTTTGTTACAGACACCAGTCACAGAAAATGTTACAGATCTCCATGGAAATCGGCTGATAAAACACACTCCGTGTTAAAAAGTAGCGTGGGATCAGTGCTCCAACATCAGAAGTGTCCAGGAGATGAAGGGGCAATGGAAAAGAGGATTTCCCTTCCTATCCTCAGCATTGTTTAATAGAAATATCTTAAAATGTTTGGAGGGGTCGTTGTTCCAATACCATTCAACATTTAGTGTGTCTATGCCTGCGCTGGCCTGCAGCCGATAGTTTGCCAATGAGCAGCAATACTCAGTTCCATTGTCCGATGCAGAGATTGGCAGACAAAGAATTGTAGCACATAAGCTCTGGTCAGAAGCTGGTCACGACAATATAAAATTCAAGTATTCTTGAATTTCCGCATAATTATGTTTTTTTTTTAATTAATTTTCTGCACAAAACCGTTTGTAGAAACCTTCCTACCGTAAAAGCAGAAATTGATCAGATATTAACTAGGCCAAAATTTACCACAATAAAAGGCTGAATCTTCAATTCAAAACAGCAGTCGTGAACGATGTGGTCTTAGCCACCTGAGAAGGCATTTCTCTTCCCTTTATGGTTTACAAACAATTTTGGACCGGCTTTTTTTTTTTTTTTTCCACACAGGTGACTTTTTCTTTTTAACCAGCTCCATATGTGGTATACTCCATTTACTTCCAAGCTGACAGCACGGTAGAAGCTATGCATTCGCCAGACTGATTGACCGCCTCCCTTTCATCCTCTGACCCTGCTCTCTGCGTGGGGGTATGGAGTGGGAGCACGACCATGGTGCGAAAGACGGGTGCGTGACTGGTCTAACAAGCCCATAGCTTCCACCACTCCGTCAGCTTAGGGTCGAACAGAGTACAGTAGTCACCTTCCAATTAACAAAACACCACAGTCTTCAAAATTTTGTGGAGTGCGTTATTTTGCCTAAAAGTGAGGTCGGTGATGTTTTGGAGGTTAGGCACTGAGGTACTTTTACAGATTACAGTCCAGCCAGGCAAGGTACACTCACGGCGTGCATGCCGATCTCGACAGGCACAAAGGTGCCGGATCCGCCGGCCTGGTTCAGTTGAAGCTTGCACTCGACGGGGGTCAGGGACGGGCTGCGCACTTCAGCGCGAACCTGCCTCAAGTCCACCTTGCCTTCCTTCATGTGCACCTTGAAGTGGGCCTGGGAGTTTGCAATATAAACACCAGCTACGGTACTTGCATACCCACAAAATACAAAAGAGATAATATAGCATGAGGACAGTGAAAACATATCAAAAGCATCAGTACTTCTCTCATTATAGCAGTTGACAGTTACTAACTATTTGTGTTATATGAAAAAAAGTTTATACATTAAAGGGTTTGCTGGTGTTCAGTTTAGTTAACTTTTTCCAGGTCGCTGCTTCAGTAGGTGCGGCCTTCGACCCATGATAAGTGCAAAAACAGCCAGAAAAAAATTGAAGTTTGCTTCACTGGCTCATTATATTCCTCCCTTGGCTAGCTATTTGTAAAAACATAAGATAGCGTACACCTCCTACTCATTCATGTTAGACATTTGTTTGCTGTATACTGGATCATTCCCCCAAAAATTAAACATTAATGTGACTGTCAAGTAACTTTCAAACACATTCTTCACATCATTTCTAAAGTATAGTTTGTATAGCATAGCACCAGGGTGTCTTAAAAACAAATATTTGCAAGTTCTCATAATCAGAATCTTAAAAACAAATATTTGCAAGTTCTCATAATCAAAACTATCTTAGAAAAAAAAATTTAATTTAGATTGCATCCAATGTGTAATTTCAGCACTTGTTTTATATTTCTAACTACCACACAAGTTTCAGAGGCGTGAACTTTTGTTTTTCCGAAATAAACTTTTATAAATTTGATTTAAAAAATTGTACACCTATGTCAGCTCCACTTTACACCTACGTCAGCGCTACTTCGGACCCTACAAAGTGCTTCGTCGACTCGGAATTCTGAACAACAAGGTGATGCCCGACGGAACACGGACTTCATCACGCCGCTCTCCACGACCAGATGTCATCCATGGCATGCGATTCAAACCGTACTACGATCGATAGGACGGCGAATAGCATCTAGTACTATGCTCGATAGAATTGTGTTTAACAAGTCTCCATAGTTTGCCACTATTTTTGTTTGTTTTACTGTTTAGTTTCCCGGAACATCGCATCGAAACTATGCGCTTTAAAAGGGGGAGTAATGCCATGCGCGTCGCTGAGCGAGCGCGTAGGTGGCCGAAGGTTACCACGCTTGACTGTCGTGCGGAAGATCTGGGTTCAATTCCAGGTCGCGGAATGTTCTTTTATTTATTCTTTTTACTTGTCATTCTCGCAAGTTTGAGAACTTTCTTGTCTCATCAAGTTATGAACGTTCTACGCGCCGAACGTTCTAGGCCGAATGTTCCAGAAACCCGCACCGGTACAAAAGGTGCTCCCTCCGCGTGGCGAGCAGGAGTCAGTCTAGCCCAAGCGTTCGATCCTGCTGTTACGCCAACTTCGACGCCCGCGACACTCTGTTGTTATCTTCTGTTTCCTTTTAGAGCACAGCTCTTAGGGGCCCGTTTCCAGCCTGAGCGGCGTCGGCGTAACCGGGGGGGGGTCACGTGACCCCCCCCTCCCCTTCGAGGTCCCGTGACCCCCCCGAGGTCACGTGCCCCCCCCCCCCCCGAGGTCACGTGACCCCCCTCCCTCGAGATCGCGTGACCCCCGGGGTAACGTGACTACCCGCAGGTGACGTGACCCCCCTCAGTACCCTTCCCTACTCCTCCTCAAGAGCTGCGCTCCAATTCGGCGTTACAGGGATTTGTAAACGGCTTTCATTTTTTTTGTTTTAGGCACAAGTTTGCCCCATTAAACATTTTGGTTTCCTCGGTTAATTCTTTGTTTCGTCACCTCACCATTTGTGACAACATCTCGATGGGAAAAAACTTGCAGTGACAAAACAGACATACGTTCCTGGGGTGTTAAAAATATTAATTTCAAACTGAGAGTTTTTTTTTTTTTTATAAAAAATAAATTTACCCAAATTGTCAGTCGTGTAACGGTCAGTCGTATAACAGTCATTTGTATAACGGTCGCATAACAATACGCAGAAAACACTTTGGTATAGAGAAAATGTTTTTACTGTATATATTTTGCATGATAAATTTATTTTTCGGTTTGTGTAAAGATACTAAACTGCCATCAAAAAATGGACACGCTCCTAAATAAATGATATTGTGCTTTAAAGTCAACTATGTTGAATTAACCTGAGACTGGGATAGAGAGGGAACATCAAACGTAGAAGGGACAGAAAGCAGGCAGACGTCGTCCTGTCTAGTTTCTGTCCCCTCTACGTTTTGCTGTTCTCTCTCTACCCCAGTCTCAGGTTAATTCAACATGGTTAATATTCACCAGCTTGCCTGCACCCTTATGATGCTTTCTTTAAAATCAGTTTAATTACTTTTCAAACAGACCAGGTGGCGCATTTCAAGAAACTTTTGCAAACGAAGCAGCCGTCGCAAGAATATTTTCTAATCTAGACACAACATTTGAGTCTATATTTCTATGTATGCTATTGCAAATATTAATAATGCAAAATAGAAACAAAATATATTCTGATAAGCACACAAAAAAGATAGTCATAAAATAGTTATCGCTCATTTCATCTTGAATATACATGTTCTGCAATATTCATTGTTAACAATATAAAACATGTTTAGGAGCTCGGCTGTGTTTTCTATGAAAATAACAAATTAATTACCTATTGATCAACATAACATAGTAAACTAAAGTTTTAATCTTTGGGAGAATGACCCCACTATACTATATTAAATTAAGAAATCAAGCTGTTTTTGGCCCAGTGGTAATCAAATTCCAGACTCAAATTTGTTTGCATGAGTATTTAGACATTGTGAAGTCAGTCTGGCACAAAATAAGTTTACCGTCTCTAAACTTTAGAGGGGCAATTTGTTCATTACAGTAAGGGAAGTAAGACTGCTAGCATGTGGTCCTTACAGTGGTAATCGTTGGGGAGAAAGGGGAGGATTAGCATATATAAGTTCAAGATCTTTAGTGTCCATACTTAGTGAAATTTGTCACCAAGCTAACGAAACAAGCATACAATGTCTGTTGATTCGCAGTTAAGAAACTAAACTAAGATGTATTGCAGCGCTGGCTAATTGTACACACAAAAAGAACCAATCGAAGGAGAAGTAAGGACTAACGGGCTTGTTGACATGGACGTTGTTGAGATCCGTGCCGGTGACAGTAAGCTTGTCGCGGGGCCTCCGCCTTGGTGTCATCCCTTGGAAGCGTGCGATGTAGGCCATTACTCCCAGAGGCTGCACCTCGGGGTCTGCTAGCTCCTTGGCGGTCAGCAAAGGGTCCACACCAAGGTACTTGCCTCCCATAATGCCTGTGCAAATAAAAACATGAGTGTATTTCGGGCAGTCCACCAGATGTTGTTCAAATACTACCAACCATCAAGCTGCATGATCCATCGTGACTTTCAAATTAAAACATTCTCTTTAAAATAATTGTTGTCCAGCTCCAAATTTAAGGGTTTCAATTGAACTTCTATTCCAAATACTACAACATTATTTGTATTCAATGTCACAAAGTACTCCTTGTTTTCATGAGACTGAGTAGTATATGATGCTGTGTCAATGTTTAAAAGGCACAAATGTGAGTCGCATGGGGGCACATCGGTCAATATTGGACTATATTGGATAATGCAGGGTTGTCTTCGAGGCACTATCCTCAAATGTAAGTATGATTTATCTCTACCAAACCTCGTAAAAGTTTCCAGTAAAAGTGCAGCCAGGGTCAGTATAATCAATATGTATCTCTCCTTGCTACGAGGCAACTTGTTGATGATAATGAAAAATAACAACAAAAAAATGGTATTAACTTGTGACCCAAATGTGAGTTAATTAAAACTGAAGGACTGATATGAATTTACCTTTTTGTAGGTTGGACTCCCACTGGGATCGATCTCGACTTAGTTGCTGAAAATCCTCGATGGTGGCTCCCAAGGAGTGGACCAGAGAGCACAGGGCCAAGCCATCATTCCAGTCGCTCTGGGAACATTGAAATAACAGAGGTGCATTGCACAGGAGGATGTGTGGCTTGGGAACACTTTAGGTGTAGAACGAAAGACTGGGCAACCTTTCAGGTAAAGGCAGAAAAAACTTATGTACCCTTTAAACCTCATTAAATACCTAACATACCTCAACATTTCCACACACACATGGACAAATATAGCGTAAAGATTACTAAAAAAGGTGCAGAAGAAAACACTTTGAAATAACTAAACAATTCTTTTCCATGATGGTTTAAACGAAATTGGGTACATGCACATACACACTGCACATTGTAGTTAGCAGAAACACATAATCAGAACTTATTTTTTTCCTTTTTGTCAAAAGAAGTAGTGATGAACGCCAAATACCATTACCCCTCTTTCCCCTATTAGTCCGTCCCAATGAACATATTCCACCGAACTCATCGTTTCTATGAAATAATTTCATTTGTGTAAAAAAGTATAGAAAAACCAGAGATAGCTTGACTGCACAAACAGTGTCACGCTCCGTGCATCATTAAACAAAAAGCACAAACATAACCAAGAAAAAAAAATATTTCCAGAGTTTTAGGGAAGTTCAATTAATGCCTATCACACATCAGGAGGCTATTAAAAATTGCAGACAGTATATATATACACGAAAGCATTTCAGTTTCTCTTCCACACTTACTAAATAGAACCTCTAAAACCAAACGATGCTCGAAGTCACAACTTTAGCAAGAGAAATGGGCAGGACGTTTCGAGGGCTAACCACCTCTTCTTCAGCAGCCTCTATTTTGTACCATATTTTTCACAAGTCTCGTTATTTGCGGGTAGGTTTCCTTTCTTCCACACTTAAAGACAGCGCCCTTCTTTCATAACAGAACAATTGAAAAGAAACACCGATCTTAAGAAATGCAGAGCTGTCGTTTCTTCAAGGCTAATGAATTCATCAAATCCCCGGGGTCCTCATCTCCACATCCGCCTTGGACGGCCAGACTCACGGTGAAGTTGGAGAGGTGCAGCTGGGGCAGACGTCCCTGCACCCAGCGCAGGGTGGCCTTGTAGCCCGGGCTGTCCTCGTTCATGAAGTAGGACAGGTAGGTCATGCCCGAGAGCTCGTCCAGGTTGGGGTTGGCCAGGTCGTCCGGGGTCAGGATCATGGGCACCCCGAACTCCTCCTTGGCCTTTTCCATCGCCATGCGGCAGTTGTCTTGGCTGCACCCATTAATGGTAACAACACAAGTGACGCCAAGGTGTCCGGGGAAAAAAAGGGCCACTGCAGATATTCATCATGATGTGTAAACCCCAAGGTTTGTATGGAATCTGAAGATAAATTAGAAGGGACAGAAGAAAGGCGACAGGCAGAGTCTCAGTTGCCTGGAGACACTGTCTGTCACTTTTCTTCTGTCTCTCCTAATTTTTCTCCAAATTTCATTCCAGTCTCAGGGTTTACACATCATCATTAATACACACCAGGACAACTGCAGGTTGACAATTTTTTTGCTAACACATATTTATTCATTCATTTGTTTATCTTAGGTGCTCATAAACAGTCTATGTTTTGGTAATGATGCACAAGAGGAAGGTTAGATATTAGTCAGAAACTACTCAAATGCTACAAGATTTGAGGTAAAAGTGTCAAAACCTGCTGCACCAAAGGTATTATACTTGTGCTGTATGTCGGTGAAAGGGTTAATGGGGTGACATCATTAAAGAAACAAGTAGAAGGAAGTTGCAAAAACTGTTTCAGAACAATAATATGAAAACCTGCTCCCAAGATCAGGGCAATTAATTTTAATACATAAAGGCATTTATAGAAATTATGGAATCTTGCTCATGTTTGAACTCAAAGTATGGCGACTGCATTATTCAAAATGTCTTGTATATTCATAGTAAACAGTGTGACCAAATTAAAAATCATGAAAAATTTGAAAGAAATGTTTCTGAATGCCCTCTACCTTTGCTTGACTCGTACATCCAACAGAGTTCCAGAGAACAGAAGATGAGGAACAGAGGATAAAGATGTGGAAGCGAAAGAAAGGATAGGAAGAATAGTACACACAAAATTTCTTTCTCTTTTTAATTTGAGTTAACAAATATATTCTGCATGGTCTAGGAGCAGTGTGTGTACATGCATTACTTTGAACTTTATGCAGAATATTGCATGTCATTACACCATACACACAAAGACAAAACTAAAATGAAGAGGTCTCTTCACACAATTTTGCATGAAAATGTAACGCGAATCTTGGGAGGTTTACACAATAGGCCGGTTCTTTGGCTCGGAGCCATTAAGGTGGCATGAGTAAAAATGTAAACAACTGTCATAAAAAAAAAGTATTTAAATAATATACTAATACAATTTTGACTTGACTTGACTAAACTACTATTCGAGAGTGATCTTTTTCTTTTTCGCAAGCAGTCATACTTTCACAGATAAGACAGATGGCTGCTCAGAAAAAGCTGAGCAAGCTCCCTGTGAATGAAGTTTGATGTGCAGTTGCTTAATAAGACTGACATAGCTGCATCATCAAGCATATTTAGCTTGAGTAGCCACAGCCTTGCACATCCAAAGCATCAAGCGTCCCTAAACCCAATGCACAAGCGCCAGAGATGGTTCCAAGCTGCATTTGAAGAACACTACCTGTATCCATATCTGTGTAAAAAAGATTTTATTCACTTTTATCCAGATTAGCTAGTTTCACTGTAGCATCCCCGCAAATATCTGTGGGTAATCCATGGGTATGCAGAGCTCTCGTTAAATGGAATTTGGTTGTATAGTGTGTCCCAGCTCTGAGAAGGAGTGCTGTATAGTCAGTACTTAAGGAACAGAGCAACAGTAAAACTTTATCTAAAGCTTTCTACACTTAAAGGCAGTCTACCTGAAGTGAGCCGCTGATGCATGAAGGGCATGCATGTTTGAACATTCTGTGCCAACTTCCTCCTACTGCTATGTTACCTTGTTGAGGCTCCCAGAGTCCTCCAATGTGGAACCAAACCAGGTCGACAGTACTCCAGCAAGGCACTGCATAGGGAAACATGCAAAAATTAGCATACCAAACATACACTCTTGAAATTTGGCATTGTACAAGGTTGCAACCAGAAATTGATTTTCTGATTTCTATATATCATACATTTCATCTTATCTCTGCAACAACTTAATCAGGCCCCATAGGAGCAATTTACAAAGGTAAAGTATTCGGCGAATGTCAAAGCCTAAAAAGAATAATTTAAAAGATTGTGCTTCCAAACTAAAAAAACTATCAACAAAAGAATACCTTTCGCTTTTTTTTCTTTTTTTCAGGTTTTAACAGTTTTGGGATATTTTGCATTGTCTGAAAAATTACACAATCTGAAAATCATGTCATCGGAAAAATTACACAATTTTTAAAGAGTTACTAGAAACCTTCTGCAACAAGCCGCACATGCACACAGCATGAGCGAACTTAGAAAACAGTCAAAGCATGTGGTAATCTATGATATCTGTATTAAGTGATATCACCAACATCTAATTTACCTGACTGATCATCAGCCTAGCCACAAAATAGGAATGCTTTAGCAGCAGTTAATTTGGAAACGATGAACATGATACACATGTCTGGCCATGCCTAACAATGGCAAGACATGGGAAAGCATGCTAGCAGACATGGTACTAAATGTTCAATATTTTGATGAAATTTACAATTTTTCCAGAGCCAGAAACTTATCTTAGGGATTATGTACTTTATGAATGATAACTTAGAAAAGTATGGTCATTGAACTATGTAGGCTACGCGGAATAAGCGCCACTATTCCATTCCAACTCCATTCCAGGGAATTAGATTTTCCGATAATTCCAGACCTTTGAACTCCTAGGAATGGAAACACTGGGCCCATTCCCACTCCTGAATGGCTGAAATATTCTATTCCGTTTCTTTTAGTCCCACCGTGAAAAATAGCGGTTGACAGTTACATTTCGTTGCCGGTAAAAAAAACGTCGGCACAAAGCTGACGTCATCAAATGCATAGACAACTGTGAAAATATGCAAAACACTTTCAAAAAGCATTAATTCAACTAAGCCGAGCAGTGGTAACACACAGCGCTGGTGGCAATTGGTATGGTGCCACTGCAGATATCAATCGCGCGACCAAGCATAAAAGCCTTGTAACAGACAACAAAACTTCAAACCACCCGTTTTCTTCACAAAAGGACCCTATATATTCTTTATTTCTAAGAGATACATTGCAAGTGAGGAGTCATACATCAAAGGAACATGGGCGGTGTGGCACTGTCCCAGCCTGATGGCCTACTACTGGTGCTATAATCGCACATGATCACAACAGCCACATTGTCGCGTCTTGCGGCGCCAAGAACGAGACCTTGCCCGCCTAAAACTCTACAGTATTGGGTTGCTTTACCAGGGGTGCCACTTTCATCCTCAAAGGAACACGAGCCGGTCAGATAACCAAGCCGTCAGTTACCTAAAGTGCAATGACGCTGTTTTAAAAGCTCCTTTGACTGTATTGACACAGCTTGCATAAGAACAGAGCCCATTCCATTCCCATGCTATTCCGGGCAAAATACACCTAATTCCATTTCCATTCCATTCCCCCCCCAGTACTGCCGCCATCCGTTCCCATTCCATTTCGGGGTCGCAGATGGGACGAATTATTCCGGAATCATTCCAACTCCAGAGTGGCAACTCCGCAATGATTGACCAATGTTTAAAAAATTTCAGCATTTTTTTATTATCTGAGTAGAAGATCGAAAATAAAGATATTTATTTTCATACACAACAAGGCGAAAAGTTGAGCTAGTTGGTGCATTATTTTCATACGAGTGGGAGTCTTAAAAATATTATTTCTAAGAGTAAAAAAAAAAAATACCGATGTTACTGTTATTACCTACTAATAGTTCACTTTGAGAAACTATGGGTAAAGGGTGCAGGCAATTTGGGTCAGTAAATATAAATTCTAGAATTGTGCAAATATTCCAACTTTCGAACAGTAGTTTCTAATAATGCGCTATCCGATATTCGCTTCAAGATGAGCTGCGATATTCGTACTTTTCGAAGTGTTGATCGCGGCGCGTTAGCCCCGTTGAGTGGGCTTTTTGCAGAGCACCGGTGCACTGCAGAGAACCAGTACCCGCGGAGCTGACACCACAATCCTGCGAACCTCGCTTCATCGCAGTGCAGCCGCGTGCGTGGGAGAGAACAACACCTTCAAAAATGAAAACTTGGGGAATGTTAATATCTGCAATGCAATCTCTTTTTTTTTTTTTTTTTTTAGTTGTGGCTTGTATGCAAGCGTATATGTTAGGCAGTGACATTCTGACAACCTGCGTGCATCTTTTTTTTTTTTCATATTAAAGATTGAAGTACACTCACATATAGAAAGAAAATTTATAAATCCCATCAATTAGGTATAGCTGTACATACCTATAGGTACAGTTTTTTGTCGAATTTATCGACATAAATGTGGGCATTCGACTTTCCGAAGCCGAAGTCCCTAACCATAGATTAAAAATAAGTGATCTTAGAAGTGGACAAGTGGAAGCTTGGGAACAACCTTCAGAAGTTCAGCTGGAGTTTCGTTTAGGCATGGTGCAAGAGTAGTGTAAGGCCTGGAGAAAGGTGCAGCAACTATTCGATATTAGATTTGAAAATATTCAGCCAAAACCACTATTCAATTGAAGATCGCTTCGAACTCAAAATCTACTATTTGCACATGCCTACTAAATGTGCTCTAAGGCAGCCTGGCATTCCCCGTCAACCTCTTATGGCTTTTCAAATAAAATGATAAAACAACATAGATTTGCAGGAACATGCGGCCAAATCAGCCTAGAGCACTATTTTAGTATGCTGATGCCCATAAAAAAATAACTTCATAAAAAAGAATTCCTTCAAAATTCTGAAATTGTGCACTACATGCTTTGCATCTGACGTCATTCCGTCAGCTCTCCGGCCACAACCGGAGAAGAGGGAAAGGAGGAACTCTCCTCTCACCGGGACTCTCTTTTGCGTGTTCCAGAGAAGCCCAGACGTCGCTATTTTCCCCCTAGAAGATTATAGAGGATTAACCCAGTGCAAAGCATGTTCAGCGGAACAAAACGAAAAAAAGTTGAGCGGTTGGATAACTTATACCCTAGTTATACCCTAGTTACACGGGCGCTCTCAACTGCCATTGAGTTCAATCACAGTTATCGGCCCCAACTGTGATTGAACTGAACTGAACTGAGATAGTGCTACACGGCTCTCTAGAACCCAGTTGAAGCTAAAACGAAACTAGTTATTGTGCCTCGTGATCAGTCTAATTGTTAAAGTAATCTACTCGGAGAAACATATCTTATTTACTATAAGTATATCGTACATCATGTTCAATACCTTGTTGCTTTTTAGCGGCGTTTACATCAGTACCAAAGCAAATGCAAGGCTAAGTTGCGCATATTTTAGGCTAGGTGGAGCTAGCTACAACCCGCTACGATGGGTGCACCCATTACTATCTGTCCATTCACACAGCTGGCCCCGCCGCCATCTTCGCTCGTTTGGTGGCTTGCCGGCTAGCCGGGATCGTTTTAGCGGCAGCTCGGACGCCTAAAGCTATTCCTTCCCGGATATTTTGCTGCTACGATTCTTTCTAGACGCCTCCCCCTGCATTCCGAAACAGTAAGTGCCTCGGAAACGATGGTTGGCGGCAGCGGTCCCGCGGACAGGCGCCATTTTACCTCAGTTGGGGAAGTCCGTTCAGTTGAACTGAGGTAGGGGAGCTCAGTTGAACTCAACTGTCATTAGCGGTTCGATGACAGTTGGCGCCGCCGTGTAACTCCGGCCGATCGCGATTGAGTCAACGACAGTTGACTCAATGGCAGTTGAAAGCGCCATTGAGTCAACTGTCGTTGACTCAATCGCGATCGGCCGGAGTTACACGGCGGCGCCAACTGTCATCGAACCGCTAATGACAGTTGAGTTCAACTGAGCTCCCCTACCTCAGTTCAACTGAACGGACTTCCCCAACTGAGGTAAAATGGCGCCTGTCCGCGGGACCGCTGCCGCCGACCATCGTTTCCGAGGCACTTACTGTTTCGGAATGCAGGGGGAGGCGTCTAGAAAGAATCGTAGCAGCAAAATATCCGGGAAGGAATAGCTTTAGGCGTCCGAGCTGCCGCTAAAACGATCCCGGCTAGCCGGTGTAGGACGCCGATCTCACTACCCCTCCGCTTCGACTACGGTAGTGGTTATGGCGTACGCCAAAATCAATACCGTAGTCATATCGGCGTACGCCATAGTCAATACCGTAGTCTTTTTCGCATACCCCAAACACACTACCCTTACGCCAAATTCAATACCTTGAATAACGTCGGTTGAGCAGGGGTTGAGCCAGGTTGAGCTCCGCATTTCGCTAAAACTGGCGGAAGTAACTTTCTGCAGCATAACACCCTGATTGTTTGTTGTTGTTTGTATCGTGGTTTGTATGAGCGGCGGAACGCGCGGCAGGCGTTGATTAATTGTGATTAGCGTTGATACGGCTGACGGCGCGCAGAGCTGAAGGGCACAAGCAATGAAGCTTGGAGTGATTCTGTGTCGATGTGATTTGACATCGCTTCTTTCTGGTTCTTCGATCATGGTGCAAATGCAGGTCGCCCAACTCCCGAGTGATTCGAAGGCAAGAGTGGTAGCCTGTCCGCTGGTCTTTCAGTCGCATTTACTGTCGTCATTTTGGGCACAGCGGAAGAAAATAAGACGTTCATTATTTTAAATAGCGTGCGATCGGCCTGTCTAGGTTCTGGCGACACCGTTTCAGGCTTTAGATGAGAAAATTTAGGCACTACAGTACGACTGCTAGCCTGGGGTCTGTGCCTCACAACAGATCGAAACGGGTAGGGGTGGGGATCCCTGGCAGCGGGACCTTTCGCCGTACGAGCTGCGGTGCGCTAACGCACTCGACCTCCGATACCCCCTTGGGTCACAGCGCTTGCTGAAAGAAGTTTGGATCGTTTTACGCAGATTTTGCAGTGCGTACGAGACGCACAACAGCTACGTACTA